AGAATGCTGACACCCCTGTCTTGCTGCAGTCCCTGGTCAATGACTTGCAGGATCTCGGGGAGGCTTGTGGGAACAAATTGAATAGAGTTTATCCCAAGGCTAGAAGAAATCATAGCTAGGTTTTCCACACTAATTTCAACATCGAATTTATGCCTCACAGTTCTTTCAGGGCACAGTCGAAAGACATTGTCTAAACTCATTTTTGCGTGGTGACCTTTTTTCAGTTCTGTTTGTCCCAAATGGAATTAAAAAGGACGCCTTCCAACTTTGAACCATTGTTGATAGGTGAAGGTCGAACTGTCCCACCATGAGCAAGATTCGGATGGGAAATGGCGATCAGCGAAGAATCTTGTCTTCGTGCTTGACCAGTTGCAGGATGATGATACCCGCACTACCAAGCAGGAGAAGAAACGGAAGAAAACATCACCCATCACTGCCAAGACATTTGGCGCCTACGTGTCTATCGCGGCCGCAAAGAACTCGGACAACCTCTGCCTGGCATGGAGATGCAGGACATTTCCATGTTGATGTTTTGAAAACATTTGTTCTGGGTAGTGCTCCAACAACCCTCGAAAATGTCGAATTTAAACTTAAACCGTCAACATTAAACTGTGCCCTCAGGATGGATGCTTCTGCTGCGAACTCTAAGGGGGGCAGAGTCATCATGCCCATTCGTCCAGTCATGCTGCTGAAGTACCAGCTCGAAGTCAACAATGAGACAGTTTGCTTGGTGTGAGTGAGCCACGTTGATCCGGTACAAACTGGATATACTATATCTACTCCCTGTGACCTGAGAAGTGTGGGGGCGGAACACTATCCTTTCCATTCAAAGTCTAATGATCCCCAAAAAATCCAATAAACAAATCTTCAAAATAGCTAACTTTGGGAAACACGCTTTTCAGGAGGTCGTTGCCTTGAAGCAGGGGCACTCTTAAACTGAGTGCTTGCTATCTTTTGTTGGGCAAACCGCTTGCCTATTGAATTTCTCACACGATGGCCGAGCCCCTCATGCAATTTATATTGATAATTTTCTTCAATTTTAATTTTGTTGTAGATTGTTCTAGAATAATTACTTTGTGAATCAAAATTGAGGGACGTTACCGGAAGAGATCAAACAACATGGGTCAGAAAAAAAACAATTGCCAAATATTTGCTGGTTTATTCCATCACAGAACACCTACACTGTGAGAATCAATGAGATTGGATCCCGTGCAACCAGTGCATTTTCCTATCTTTGAGCAGGGTTGTAGTCGTCAGCGTTTGTTTCATGGCGAGCTTGAGTCAAGATGATGATGATTCAGTTGTTGAAGTACCCTTGGTGACGGCACCTTTCCGACCACCAGCCCCTTGGCATGGAAGATTAAAAGATGGGTGCCTAAGGGAAGTTCTTACCCCCCAGGATTGAAAATTAAAAGATTGGTGCCCTGATAAATGCACATCGAAAATCATCGCAAAGTTCTTATCCGCTGAGGCGTTTAACCTGCAGCGGCTTCTCTCTTCGAACACTTTGCAGAGCCCACCGCAGAGATCGACTACCCCGACCACGCCTTCTTCAGCAGTGATTGCTCGTGTGCCTGCAGCAGCATCAGCTGGAACTAGAACAGGTGGGAACACTGATGAACTTGGAAGTTCATGGATCCCAATAATCTCTAGAAGATATGCATCTTGGTTTTCCTACATTGGTACCTGAAATTGAATTAAGATACAATGGCCCAGGTTTCATGAATGATTTTCGGGTACATAAGAATAACGATAAAATAAAGATAATAATAAATCTGTTTATTATGTAATCAACTCAACAGCTCCATTTTGGCTCTGTCAGGATCAAGTGGGAGTCATGCTGTCCCTGGCCGTGTTGGGTCTTCTGACTCATCTGGAGATGGTGCCGGGGGGCCAACTAAGAAATCCGGGAAAGGCTCAACAGATCCCAAACCCAAGAAAGAACCCAAACAGAAAAAGAAGGCAAAGAAGGTCATCCCATCCCCGGAAGATGAACATGAGCCAATCGATGATCGTGATGATGATGATAGCGATGAGCAAGATGATGATGGGGTTGAAACTCATGAGCACGATGCTGGCAGCAAGAAGAATCCCATCAAGCGGCCTGCTGCAGCGAAGAGTTCCACCAAGAAGCCGGCCTCGAAGTCCCGTAAACACTGTGAAGAGGACTGCTGTTTGTGGGGTGGTAAGGGAGAAAATAATATTATATTGAGTTCAACAACATGGGGTTTGTACGTTCCAATTAAGATTGGATCCATGGTTATTCACAATCTGGAATTGCGGGTCGGCGCATTATGTATTTTGATTATTATGTTTTTCCCCCTCCCTCTTTCTAATTAATTCAGTCAATACCCCTTTCCTTGACATGCTCCAGGAAGACCTTCCTTCTGAATCCCTGCCATTCGAGTATGCCATTGAGAAGAAACATGAATATGCGGAGCTTGGTCCTTAGGAAGTCCCCAAATATGTTTTGAGATTTTGGAGTGACACATGTTATGATCCATCGTGCTCGCATGTGACTATGGCAGTGGAATAACAGCTTAATATGGTTTCATGGAGAAAAAAAAAGCTCTCTTCCAAGGTTTGTGGATTCCAGTGGCTATTGGCCCGACAATCAGCAGGGCATCTATCCCGATTCAATGACCGCCCCTGCCGCTTTGATGCAATTGGCTGGACAGGGCTCAAACTTTCTATAGCTGTCAAAACGACAATCTAAGGGCATCTTTCCCACAATGACCACCGTTGCCCCTGAAATATTACCGCTTGTTGGATCCATACTAAGGCTGGGTGCCTTGATTCGGATGGCTATGAGGGCAGCGCCATGAAAGATGCGGCGCTGGTGAACGAAGCTTGGTTTGCATCCAAGTGAGAAATACTTGAATTTGTCCTGATATCAAATGTGTTCCATGTTTGGTATGGAAATGTGCACAAAAAACTGAGCTGGCTGCTGCATGCGTTTGAAAAAAAAACAAACCCAGTTTTATCAACTAGGACACATGGCTGGATCCACCAACCCCTGAGAAACGTGAGACCGAGATCCCATGTGCCAAGGTGTCTTGGTTTGTTCTTTTAAAAATGTTGGCAAAAATAAAGTTGCGTGATATGTTCCTAGATAGTTGCTAAGCACGGTAGTCCAAGAACCTGAAAGCCTGAAACTAGTTAACCCTCATGGCATTTACACATTGAAATGTTTCTTGGTTAACCCATTGGTATTATACCAGTCTGGCTGAGGTAGACGAGGCATCCAGCAGCGCTGGCATTCCAGCGCCTGCATGTGAGCCTGCACATGAGGACCTAGCTCATTCCATCCCTGGTCTCACTGTGGTTGACAGGGACCTTTGTCTTGCCACCCTGGCAGGCATTGATGCTTGCTTGTATGAGTTGGGCAAACTTACCTTGTCTGTTTGTGGGGCCCGGGAGGAAGATGCCGCTTCCACCGCCTCCACTCTTCCTCTTGGGAGCCCTTGGGAGGAGTCGGTGGCGGAAGTTTCAGAACCGCGTGCTGAGATTGACGTGCGCAACTCGGAACTCAACAGTGACCAATACATGGACGCGCTCATGGATGATGATCTAGCAGTCCGAGATGACGCCTTGCTTAAGAACCAGGAGGAGAAGGATGTGCAAAAGCGTTTGGATGCTGGCTTCCGTGCCTTGGACAGGCATGAGCTTGGTCTGAAGCCTTGTCCGAAGCCATCTGCCGTCAAAGGCAGGAGCCCCCAGAGCAAGAGTGCAGGAACCCCGCGGAAACCAGTTAGGAAAGCGAAGAAAGTTTCCCAGGCGTCTCCAAAGGCGCTCGCTAAGGCTAAGGCGTCTGCAAAGGCACGTAAGGCTTCTCCAAAAGCACGTGCCAAGGCAGCAGCCAAGGCGTCTGCAAAGGCGCTCGCTAAGGCGTCTGCGAAGGCGTCTGCAAAGGCGCGTGCTAAGAAGTCTGCAGAGGAGTCCGCAAAAAGGTCGCGAGATGAAGAGTCTGATGAAGAGAACAAAAACACGAAGTTGAGTGAGAGTGAGCTCAAGAAGAAGTTGCACAGCGAATCTAGGCTACATTTTTTGGTAACCAAATAGCTTTCTATACTATGCATTTTTTTGAGAAGAAAACAGCGCATCTTGAAGAGTGCTGGAGATTCCTTCTAGCTTTCTGAGGTCTACTCTACCGCTTCGAAGTTGGCAAAATCTCAGGGTAAAGATGTCCGTGCCGAATCTGTCAAGGCCAGGAAGGAGCTCCTTGGCAAAACTTAAGGGGATTTGACGTCATGTCAACATATGTCAATGCTTTATTCATTTTGACATTTGTTTTCTTGATGTTTATGATCCCACTTTACTTGGCCAGAACCTAAGGTGGATTCTGGCCAATGGGTATGAGAACTACGCTATGGCTCGTGGACATCTGTGATCCCAAAACTTGATGATGGTAGATTTGTATGATCCCAAAATTTGATAAAATTTGGTGATTTGATGATGCCAAGCAGTGCATCCAATCAAGTTCGAACGCAGCTGCGGGGAATGCGGCGAGCGGCCAAAAAAAGCGACATCAACATGTCCTGCAGTGGATATGAACATTGTATTTCATTCATCAGATGACATCATACTAAGGGCCCAGTTCCAACTTGGAAAGGACCCAGAAAGGGTTGGACTTTGTTATGAGTATTTACAGTATATGTGATTGTTCCATGGGAGTTATGCATGGCTATTTTTATTCATGACTTATGGCAAACCCTCAAATAGATAGGACACAAGGAACACTGGAATTTATGTTCAAGACATCATCTAGTAGATCATCTAACTCTTCGGCTTATTTTTGCTGCCATAATTATGATTGGTTCTTCACTACACCATGATGGTTTTATATGGTTTAAGTGTTAAATCTATATTCACCTTGGTTTTTTTCAAACATACTCCATCATATAGTGAGGATGTTTGGATGTCCATATTATCCTTATTCCATCTACTCTAAGATGACTCAAAGAAAGGGTGACTTCCCCCCCACGCAAAGCACTCAAGGCACTGGGGCTCCTGAATGGTGAAAACAACCTTCACGAACGGGTAGAAGCACGGGGAGCCTCTCCAGGCTTGGTGGCTCTCAAAATGGAAGGTTTCATGGAAATAATGAATAACTTATAATAGGGGTACCAATGGGGGTACCATTTGTCATAAAATAGCCATCTCAAAATAGTATATAGGGGAAACCCAAAAACATCTACTTTCCCTTGGATTTTCCCTCTCCTACTTCGACTCAAGGGGTACCTAGCATGTACATCCGCAAAACCAACTTTTGCATCACAGCAACTTGATTTCAAGGGCATTCCCCAGCGGGGCCCCTTGAAGAGGGCCCCGCTGGAAGAAAGAGCATCATTTCCCACAGAATTTTCCCTAAAATGAAATAGCTGGTTGGTGGTATACCTACCCCTCTGAAAAATATGAATGTCAGATCGGATCATCATCCCAACTATTGGGGAAAATAAAAAATGTTTGAAACCACCAACCAGAATAGTTTTTTCCACAGGCCACCCATTTCATGATGGAAATTGCCCGGCCTTGGCTCTGGAAGTACTCCGTGGTCTCAAAGTGGAGCTCAAAAATCTGACATAGGTGGCAATGAATCATGAAACTATATCAACATAGGTCACAGGTACTATATCAATGCAAAGTTATACCTTGGTACCTACTCGTAATCTAACCTGGCAATAGAAAAATCCTCCATTTGAACCTATGCATACACCATGTTCATCCATTTTTCAGGTGCACTAAGAATTTTCCATATCAGATTGCCAGAATGCATCTCCTCCAGCCAGGATGCATGGACAGTGGCTGAAGGACCTGTCAACTACGTGAATTCGAGATTCCTCTCCAGCCAAGAACACATGTTTTTCCACATTTGAATCAACAAAGGAATGGCCTTCAGGGACCTTAACTGAAGGCACTTAGCATAGGTAAAGCATGGTAAAGCATGTGCAACGCCTGCATTTCAAGATAGCATAGTCAGTCATGTACAGTCAGTGTCCAATAATCATCGAAAAGAGTTTCATCGTCGATTGGAGAACATCCAGGAACATGGGAACACCCTGGGAATAGCAAGCTGTGCAGGCACAGAAGCTGAGCAATGGGGATTCAGCGTAGCAAGTTCTGCTTGGTGGTATACCTACCCCTCTGAAAAATATGAGTTCGTCAGTTGGGGTTACTATTCCCAATCTATGGAAAAACAAAAATGTTCCAAACCACCAACCAGAGTTTAATGTGCCAAACCCAATGCCCTAAACCTTCCCATTAACCATGACCGGTGCTCATCAACAACACCATCCCAAGTACGGCCATTATACCCAATGCATCGCAATGTTCCAATGATTTCCAACGCCATAAATCTCTATGATGGTTGAGATGGCATTTAATGGCATTTTAATGGCATTTTATGGCCTTTTCCAGTGCCATTTGATGGCGATGGCACTGGGTTTACCTCCTGATTCCCCCAAGGGGATTCGTCAAGGCGCCAAGGCGCCTCGCCAGCTTGCAAGGTTAACCCCTCAGACAACGCGCCCGCACGGCCGTCTTGGGCGGTCACTGACTCCTGTCCAACGAAAATTCCAGGTGGGCACATTTTCCGGTGGCAGTTGAACTTTCAAATCTGTTGGTTCAAATAAATCAACGCAGTGAAAAACTATCACTGACTATCACTCTCCATTTCTTAGCCAATTCAAATCCTGTCAGCTTTCTGTTGGTTTGATTCAAGTATATATCCTGGTTGGTGGTTGACCTACCCCTCTGAAAAATATGAGTTCGTCAGTTGGGATGATGACATTCCCAATCTTTGGAAAGTCATAAAATTCATGTTCCAAACCACCAACCAGTGATTATTAACAATCATTAACCATCATTAACCATCAATATTTCCCTAAATATGCCCTAAATATGCCAACCAGTATCTATATATCTTAATGGATTTGGCTGGCGACCCGCCTGGATGGTCTTCCATTGCAACTCGCCTAACTCGCCTTGCTCCTTCCCACAGCTCCTCAAGGCGAAATCATGGCAAAATCATGGCGAAATCAGTCTTTGAATGTGGAAATACCATGAAAATAAGACATTTTTGGGTTGATATGGGCTGATTGATGCCTAGTTTTCCTGGATTGATCCTAAATTAGATTCATGTTTTGTCTTTTTCTTGGGTGGCTCCATCGTGGTGTCATGTCTGAGTCGCGATAGTTCGCCGAACTATATGACCACATTCTTACCGATTTGGTTTTGATTGGACGAATCTCTCTTTGGATCAGAATGATTAAAGAAAAACATGGCAGATTGTCATGCTTACCCTGAAATATTCAGCCAAAATCGGAAACAGCTCCAGGCTGCAGGGTATTGGTATTGATGCTGAATATGACATTCTTTACATTGACACTTTCAGGGCCTGGGTTGGATTCGACAAAACCTGGATGTAAGTTCCCCACCTGGATTTTGCTTCAGCCAGTGGCGATTGGACCACCACAGTTTTGAACAGTTGGGAAGTTGACGTCAAGATAAAATGATGAAACAACAACTACAATAACATAATCAAAATGCCATCAAGTATATTCGATTTTCACCATCTGATGCTTAGACTCTGAAAACAGCCATTTTCAAAGGAACGGTTTGCCAATCCGGAACTCCTAGCAGGGTCATCATTGTAGTTGTGGCAGGGTACTTGGAGGATCATTCGATATGTTAAGTGGTGAGTGACCCTGCTTAATAAATCCTTTAACTATCCTTAAGTAGTTATTATCCAGTTTATAACCGGCTTCAAGTTTCTAATTGTCTTATAACTTATAACCCATTAGATCTAAATTAGAACCCCACGTAAATCACCAGTTATGAAGTGCTCCATCAGCTCCAAACGCTCGTTTAAGCGTCTGTTTCAGGCGTACTCGGAGACCGGAGGCCGGAGTACCAGTGGCAGTGTTCAAAACCTCAAAGGGTCTGTCCAGTCCTCACAAGGAAGTTCACTAGGTGTGTTGTGTACATGTCACTAGGAGTGTTGTAATTATACATGTTACATATGGGTATGGTTGGATTGATGGGTTTATACACACACATGTATATATATATATACAGTAATATATGTTTACACACCAACTTATAACAATCTTATAACTGGTGGGCCGTACATTGCAAGGGTATATTCAACTCCCAATGGCGTTGGCTGCAAATATAGAGTTTACCAAGCTGAAACATTGGTAAAAAGAGGGATACCATGGGACAAAATGGGACAAACACAACATGTTTTCATCTTAATGTGGCAACTGATGCCAATTTTTGAGACAAAGCTATACTAAGATCAAGTTGGATGGGCCAACATCACCATTGAACCATACTGAGGTCCACCAAGGGTGATTCTGGAAGTCAAGCTGGTGGGGTGAAAATAAGTTTGCACACACGCGCATATATATATATATATACTATATATATATATATCCAATATATATATAGATATATATAGATATATAGATATATATATATATATATTGACACGCGTTGGGTTTTGATCCCAATGTAAACCATGATGTCAATGTGGTTTCACCGCTGTCATGAAAAACCAGGCAGCCCCACATGTGTGGTGATCGGCGTTCCGGGTGAAGTACGAGCTTTTGCGTCCATGGCTACAGCAATGATGCTGATCCCTGGGACCCTGCCCTGGTGACTCCTCCAATAATGTATGGTTGATAAGCCCCAATAGTAGCGATTGGTGCTTAAGCCTGATTCTTTAAGGGTTCACCCATATCTTGGCTGAATCCTACGATCGCATCGCAAATCGGCTGCCATGTCGATCCGGGGAGATAGCGAACAAAACCAACATGATTGCTTTTGAAAGCTCAGCATTGGCTTGTTATTTGCTACACTCCATTAACCCTACCCAAGGTTTAGCAGCTTAGTGCATCTTTTTGCGATTCACGTGGCAGTTGGCGACCATGAATTGCAATGATCCTGAACAAAAAACAGATTTCCAAAGTAGCCCTTGGTGTTGCACATGTGGCAACCGGAATTCTAATCTTGAAAGGAACAACCATCTATAAAGGAGATTGAAACCAAACATGGCCAGGTTAGATCACCAAAGGGGTGATAACATAATATCTACGTGTTGAAATCGGTCGTTGGTTAAATTAAATCCCAATGTTTGCCATTTGGCACATCTAGTCAAATCTACATCCATTAGTTAGTATATCGACATCCATTAGTTAATTTATAAACTAACTAATGGATGTTGCTAACTAATGTTTATATAAACACATGTTGGTCTTATTTGCCGGTTTGTCAAATCTGTTGTTCAAACATACCCATGCCAAGGGATTCGCAGCGGAAACGTTGAGCTTAACGGCAGCGAAGGTGTTGTCACCTTGCATGTCACCAACAATGTTTCAGCTTCGATACTCCGAAAAATAAGAGTTGGGCATTCCTGAAACAAATGGTAATCACATATTTCATCAACCAAGAATCGTCGAGAATATCAAATGTAATCTATGTACGTCAAATGATTGCAGTAGTGTTGAATAAATTATCATGATTTTCGTGAACATATTATAGATATCTATACATTGCTTATGCCGAAATTCAGGAAAATGGGTCATAGAATTCACAATGACCAGCATCTGTGGTGTCCAAAGGCTTGACCCAGTTGCACCTGAAACCCTGCAGATTTCTGCAGATTATGAACACTTTCGCCCACAAACACGTGAGCTGAGTCTACTTCAGAACAAGATGGAACAAGTACCCTTTGGTATATAGTTTAAGATAGCTATTGAAAATAGTGATTTACAATTGATTTACCCATTGAAAATTGTGATTTTCCATAGTTATGTTAGTTTACCAGAGGGTAGAAACTTCATGATTTTGCCCAAGTGCAATGCTGCTGGCACAACTCTTGAGTGGGTTTACTCAGAATTTGAATGGTTGATTCAGTCAATTCCCTATCTTCTCATATCTTCTCCGCCTCAACCTCCCCTATGATCGGACCTTTGTGTTCAAAACCTGTCCTTCCAAGGTTGTATGATCCAGACTGCATGTACAATAATTAAAAAAAAACATATAAACCCCTAAAACATCCTAAAACCATCAAGCAACACTCATTCATCAATTATCTCACCATATTTCTAGATGATCTTCCCTAAACATGATGTTTCAACAGGGGTTGGTAAATGTCCTAATTGAAAATCACTCAAATATTGGGGGTATAATTTCCAACAGATACTTTTTCAAGTGATGTTCAAAATCCCCAAGTTGGACCATTTCTAGAACCTAGATGCCCATATTAAATTAAATATGGGTAAGAAATTTCTAGAACATTTACCAAATCCTGTTAAAACCTCGATACCCTCCGGTAAATTAACATAACTATGGAAAGATCCACCATTTTCAATGGGAAAATACATTGTAAATCACTATAAATTACCATTTTCTATAGCTTTTTGTATGTTTACCAGGCCGGGTAAAACCTCGAATTCATCATGGAACATCAAGCTCTGCGCTCTTTCCGGTGCCCCTGGTGCCCCGGGTGCCCCGACTTCTCCTGGATCTGTTCCCTGAGGTCTTTGAACCTCACCCGAGTATGCGTCGCGAGGGGAAATCTCCGTGAAATGGACGTCATAAAAACCATGCATGCTGGGTAGTCAATGGTTAATCCTGGTTACTGGTTATATAATACTGGTTATATAATAATTATAATACTGGTTAATTCTGGTTAATTCTGGTTAATTGATGTTTTATGGTGATAAATGGTGATAAATGAAGATAAATGGTGATAAATGGTGATTGTCGGTGATTAATGATTAAACCATCACTGACAATGATGGTTAAACACTGGTTAATACTGGTTCATCATGTTGTATAATCCCAATTTTCACAATAGTATATCCAATGATTATCCCAATTAATGATATAGATATTCACCAATTAATGTGGGGTAAAACAATGGTAACAATGCCATAAACCACCCATTTGGGAATCGTTTATACCTATTAAGGGTGACTTGGGAAATGGTATATTATTGTTTTACCCACATTATAGCCCTTGAAAATCCCCACATTGGTTTATAGAATCGAATCAATACAGGGGTTGGACAATATTCTCATTTGTCACATCTCCCAACTAGAAAGGGTATGTAATATATAATTTCCAACAAATATATGTTCAAAATCCCCGACAGCGTGAATTTTACCAACCTCTGCGCTAAACCCAGAAAATGCCAATGACTCATTCTACCCCTGGATGACGTGTGGATTGTGTGGATTACCACTGTGGTGATGAAAACGAGTATATCCGGCCCATGACAGGCTTAAGCTGGGATACACATCCAAGTAGGGGGCTGTACATTGCGAACCAGGTGGAGATTCAGCAACAAGTATGGGGCGACTTTCAAAAGGAACCTTGATGGTTAATTAATTGCGGTTAGTTAGTCAAGTGGTTTGTCAGTTGATTATGCGCCCTGCGCCCATTCGTGTCCGGGTACATATAGGGAAATGATTTTCTTTTTGCCAACCAGCCAAGTAACGCCATGGATCCTCTCTCTCTCTCTCTCCATCCCCATCTCCAAGAGTCTAGCGAAAGGCTAAAGGCTAAAGCCGAGCCAAGCCCACTGACAAGAAGGAGGAGTTCAGCCCGCTAGCGTTGTTGCTAGCTGCTTCACAGCGCCACTCCATGCCACGGGCAACAAAGAAACTTCCACTACTATTCAACACAAATGAAATGGTTCAAAAAACATCTGTGTCTCTCTCAGAAGGGCATCTACATGATTTTGCTCAAGGCTTGTTTGGAATAGAAGAAACGCGCAGGTGGAAAGTACTGCGCCACAACCACTCACTGCTCAGAAGGCTTTTGAGCAAAGCCGCGAAACAATGGCCACAGTATGATTGTTTTATATTGTTTTCACCATGCATTGACTCGATCTATCAATGGCCATTTCAGGATCCTAGATTGGAGGTACCTACCATATATAAGGCCTATTTTTTAGGCCTATGTAAGGGAATATCCCCACAAAAATGGTACTAACGTACCTCCATTTTAGGATCCTGGAATTCCCATTGAATCTATGTACCTCCAGAAAAAACCATCTCGGATGAAGGCCTTCTTGGCGGCCTGGTGACATCCCACCTTGCTGCCAAGGTGCTGTCCGGAGGAGATTCGCATCACCAGTTCACCTAAACCTCGGTGGAGAAAACATAGAGAACGGGTACTGCTTCACCAAATGGATGGAACATGGATGGAACATGGATGAACCACGGTGATAGTGAACAACAGAGATTTCGGATTTGGACCAACACAAATAGGGATGTATACAAGTATCAGTTCTGGTGATGAAACTTGATTTTAGCATTATATAAGTATGGATTCTACAGTGATGAAACTGAATTTGCAATCAAAAAGGATTGAATCAACAGAAATCGGGATTCAACCATCAAGTGGGATAGAGATGGTATGGTCTTGATGGGGGCATAAACCACCAAGGAGCAATATAGCTGGTGATACCGAATAGGATGCCATTTGGTATGGTGGGGTATAACTGCTTACAACACCAACCATTCAAAGGAAATATTACCTCCTGAAATAAAAACAAACTAAGAAAACACGACTAAATCGTGCCAAAAGCACCAAACTTAAATATTCAGCTATTCGTTCAGTTATTCTAACCATGATATTTTTTGGTCACATGAGGATTTGCGCAACAGAAACGCTGCATCCCAACGTTATAAATACCATAGTCATACATCTCATTCATCCCCAATGTTGTATTCATTTTAATTCGTTTAAACGACGTGTAGAGTTTATAAATTTATAACCATGTTTCTTGTCATTTTGTGGGGGGGTATATACAGTCACCAACACTTCTTCTCTAAACATCCCCATCCAAGATTTACATAGCGTCCTGTAATTTAACAGTTGGCTACGAACCATTGACCCTTTTGTTCTATGATTTCCATTGCCAACTGTTAAATGATGATTTTACTAGCCAACTGTAAGATGAATTGTGGTTGGTGGTTTCAACCCCTCTGAAAAATATTAGTCAAATGGGATGATTGTTTCCAATATATGGAAAAATAAAAAAAAAGTTCCAAACAACCAACCAGAATTGTATGTCCCATGTTTTTAAATGATGGCAATTTAGTTTCTATGATTGTTTGCATGATGATGTTCCATGTCGCAAAGTGTAGGACATGACTAGTGGCTCAGGGATTCATGAAGCCATCAAACAGTAGTAGCTACAATTGAGTCCCACTTAATTCCAAGTTTCTAAATGTTTCTAATTAATATGAATCTCAATGAAAAGTGGATTACTTCACATGTTTGATCATATTAAAAACTGTTAACATATGCTAAATCAATTAAATCTCCAACTTGGCTACTTGAATCATATGACGTCCCAATAATAAAAAAAAACAACATTTTGATGGTTGGGATGTGGTCCCCCTGTGCTGCAACTGGGTCTTTCTGACTTCGTCCTTCGAAAGGTCGTTGGAAACTGGCCATCCTACGCTGTGACGGAGCGATAAACGGTGATTTCACTGGTAAATTCGATAACTGATATAGTTGGGATTTAATAATTATAATTGTGATAATTATTAAATAATCGACAATGGTGATTTCAATTGGCTTTTGATAATTATGATAATTGATATAGTTTGTTTATGATAAGGCAAATTCGACATCCATGGGGGTTGCGACGGATATATCTGTCGTTTGATGGGGTTATAACATGTTATAAACCAACTTATCACCGCGAGCCCTTTGTGATTCTGTGCAAGTAGGAAATCATGTTCCGCTAATCTTATCGTATTGATCCACATGTTCCATGAAAACGGTGAAGAAATCCTGCTAAGCAACCCAACAACCCACCAAATCGAGCTAAAAACCTAGGTGGCTAGATGGTATTCCATATGTTTGATATCCGCGATATAGTCCAGCGACAATGGAACCCATCTAAATTCATCAATTCACAAATATGTTGTTCATGTCATCTTCTCACTTGCTTATAGGTTCGAACATATTAAGAACTACAACTTTATATGCGATAGACCGTCAAGGTTACGATATATATATATATTATACTGGTTCGAGGTTTCAACCTCTCTGAAAAATATTGGTCAAATGAGTCAAATGGGCTTCTTATTCCCAATATATGGAAAAACAAAAAATGTTCCAAACCACCAACCAATATATATATATATATATATATAATAGACCATTCATGTTGCGAACTGTTCATTGGCATCCTGGCTTACCCAAATGAACACCAACAACTTCATTGTCTGCACTTGATCCAGCAACTTCATCGTGACAACACCCGCAACGCTGCTGGAAGAAGGACATCCTTCCCTTCTCCAAAGACTTGGACACAAGAAATAGTGTCTTCATGTGCATGAAGATATGGACATATATGGACCAATATGCACATGGAGGTTTCCTAAGTCATCCAAGTCCTATGGTAGGACTTAACCCATGGTGACTTGGAGATCCCCCAGGACCGTCGCCAAATTGAGCTCCCCAACTCGTAGAGGATGACCCCCAAACTCCAAACCTCGGACCGAAGCGGAGAAAATTCAGAGGGATCCCATGCTTTGTAATCCACTTCTGTAGGCCGCTGGAACCCCAAATCATCCCAGTTGTTGAGCCATTAAAAAATAATTTTCCCATGGTTTGTTGGCTTCCCTATGTGGAGAATCCCTCAAAATCCAATTCCGTACGCAACAAAGTTCAGAAACAACCCTTCCAAAAACCATGAAAGAAAGCCCAAGAAAGTCCAAGAACCATCAAGAACCCCCCCAAAAAAACGAGGTCAACAAAACCTTCCAAAAACATCAGAAAAAGAACCTTCCAAACCCCTTCCTCTGGGCCCGACATCGCAGGCCGCACCGTAAGGATCTCCGGACACGATCTCCGGGGCCTATGTCCGTCGGGGTGCATTGCTGTGACCAGGAAAGGCCGCAAAACAGGGTGTAACAGCTGAACATTGTGATTTATAGTTGATTTATAGTTGATTTGTAGTTGATTTATAGTTGATTTGTAGTTGATATTTTTGATAGCTAGGCTAAGTTGCTTAAGTTGCTTTGTAGATAAGTGAATTGTCTGGTTTATGGTAGAATATTGTCTGGTAAAACTAAATCAACTCATAACTCGGGAGACACCAACGATTCTCAGTGCCATGAGTTGGGATTTAAACATTCGAAAACAATTCGTTACCAAACGATTCTCAGGGTGCACCTTAGTTTCGGGCTTCGGCGAATGGTAAGAGAACCGACATTTCACTTCTCGAAACCAAGGCCGGAAAGTCTGAAGCGCTAAATTTTGATTCAACTGGAAAACAGTATATAGGATGAGGTATATAACACAAATCTTTGCCCATGTTTAGCGGAGCAATGCTGACCTAGTAATAATATATGTCGATTACTGACGCAGCAGGTATCAAAGCAACTTGACGGTAATCAATGTGCATGTCCCATGGCTACGAGAAATCTTGTCGTAGCATGTAGTAGCAGTAGAAGCAAAAAGTGGAAACATTGCTTCTATAGATGTTTTTGCTGTAGCATTTAATCAGTGAAATGTTCAACTATCCTATGACGGCAGCAGTAGCTGTATCGAGGATGAACAATGCTTCAATGGGTTGAACTTGGATCGATGGGGTCCATGATTGGTCTATCACAGCACGACCGTTGCAATCAATTGCAAGTAGCAAGTGCATTTAAGTCCACTTACCCCAAGAAGTATCAGTAGCTACATTCTTGGATCAATTAGTAATACACTGGTTTGTGATTTCAACCCCTCTGAAAATATGAGTTCGTCAATGGGAAGGATTATCATTGATTATCCCATATATGAATATATATGAAATGGAAAATGGAAGTCATAAAATTCATGTTCCAAACATTTCCAAGCCACCAACCAGTACAGGTACTGTACCCAATTGCTTCAGATTGTCGACCCCACACCACCAGACCTCAGGGACCACCATAAATCGGGCTTCCCAGGCCATGTAAGTTGGAGAGCCCACGCAGGTCATATTGTCCATCACCGTGGTCCCAGCCAACACCTACCGTTGGTGGAACAAAAAGGCGCTGACACTCGGTGAACATGTTCAGTAACATACATAATCGTGAGATTTGTCAAAGCAAACATTAGGATAGAAACAAACACTGCGATTTGATCAACCCAACACCTGGATTTGAAAGCAAGCGGAATTAGGGATTGAAGATGATTGACTTACTGGTGCTAAACGTAGGGAATGGATGGGACTGGGGGTTGCTGTGATGAAATGGATCATTCCCGAAAATTCCCTGCGTAAAACGCACCATGGCAGTAAGTTTATATCCATTATCATCCCATTATACAATGTGATATACTTATCCGTATTAAACCATGGTCAGAACCATAGAAGATCCCATTATGTTTTCGTGACGCACGTTGGGATGTCGCCAAACAGTGTTGAAATTGTTAGGATCATCCGAAAAGCAGCACTGGCATGAAACCTGCAGTGAGATTTCCACGAGCCAACCAGGTTGTTTCAACAAGTGAAATGCCAAGATATGGAAAATTACGGCAACACAAAACATCTGGACATGCAATAGTATCAATAGTCTCTGATGAAAATTGGTAAAAGAAAACAACACCCAATTGTCTACCAATTTCCAAGTCAATCTACTTTGCTGAATTGTATCTTAGTTGTCAGGGTAAACGGGTCATGTCATTGGTCGGTATCGTAAGGTGATCCAGCATTCGGTTGCTTCATCCAACTTCCAATTCAACTAAGAATGTATCCCAAAAAAATGTTTTACCCATCTCTCTCTCTCTCTCTACCCATCTTTACATCCCTAAGTTTGCATATTGAAAAATATACCCTATGACTATCACCAGCCAAGGCCCGCTCAAATGCCCAAATTTCCCAATCTCGCCAGAAATTCGTACACATTTCATACATGATCAGAACATGTCAAACAAAACCTTTCAAACACGTTTTTGCGGGCAACCCAAATGATGTCTTTTCTTTGTTCGTTTCGGGTGTCAATATCCCAACATTTGGTTGCTTACCCGGCCCATTTGCCGATTTGTTTCTTGATTCAAACCCAATGTACATATATTTGCTGGTTAAATCACCATCTGCTGATTACTACGTCGTATCGCGAGATACCCTCCGGTAATTTAACCGTTCATTATTGTATACAGTAGATGGTCCATTCAGTTTGAATGATTTTTCGATCTTTACCTATTAGAAATCCTGCTTTCCAGAGTGGACTGCAAAAAAATACCAGATGCTGGCGCCTCGCTTGGCTTTCGCATGATAATAATCGGATATGTGTGGGATTACAAGGTACAATGACAGGGCGTCAATAGATCTATGGTGGGTTTATATGTTTTATATGGTTCTTGATATTTTTTCAACATGAATTAAATATGCACCGTACCATCCCATTAAACAAACCATTCGAGTAAAAACAATGCCGCCCATACCCCACTGTGATACACATATACATATACATAGTTATACAAAATTATTAAACTTTAATCATTGATTTCATTATTAGTGTATTTAAGCACCTATTTCTCTATTTATTTAATGACCATAGACTATACACATATTTTAAGTGTGCTTTCCCCAATGTACTACCATTCCTGTTGCTTAACTGGCTCTGTCTTGAAATAGGGTATAATCCAATTGCTGCGTCCATGTCCAAAGCTGATAATCAAATGAGGTACCCGAGTTTCTCGCAAACCCCCCTTTTTTTGAGCTATAACCATCCTCACAAATACGAGGTTTCTATAGCTACCGGTTTATCACTACCATTTTCGTTGCTGCGTTCCACTTTTGTTCTATGTACCCATCAAAAGTCACCCAAACTGCACCCCATCGGGTCAGCCTTGGCGACGCCGAAGTCGCCAAGCTTCAGCAAACCATCACTGGCGCTTATGGAGATGGGAAGGGAGCAATTGATGCTGGAGAAATACGTGTATTTTACGGTGGATACATGGTGAGTTTCTGTGATTTCTGGTGTTTTTTTCAAGACACCATTGAGATTTGGTGTGATGTTGATGATCATTTTATGTAAATTGATTGGACTTTGCTGTCAAACGCCCGGGATTTCACTTGACAAGGTCTGCCAAAACACAATTTTTGGTGGAGCTTGCGAAGGCATGGCCCGATTGCCCGATGGCCCGATGGTCATTTTAGCAATTTCTGCACTGTCCTCTTCTTTAATATCCAAACAAACATCATGACAAAGGGATAGGGGAGCTTAGGTTTGCCAAGAAAAATGTTGTGTTTTACTACAACAAGTTCATCTAGTCAGCAAACAATGGATGCAGTCAACGCAACCTGAGTTTTAACCACAGAAAGATCATGGCATTTTTTTTTAATTCACTAACCTTTCTAATAATTTGCCCAGAAAGGGCAGGAGAGTGACCCCAAGCCGTGAAAGTAGCCCGCGTGGCCTGGTCAACATCACATTGGAAGGCTTCAAGTCGCGATGCAGGACTCGATTGGAGTGGACCTCGGCTATCGGCGCCTGAGGCATAAAACAAAAGCCCTTCCAAACTACGAAGTAGGCCATAGAGTCAGTGAACTAGTTAGTAAATGGATCATATTTGAGATTTTGGTTTATGACCCTACCTGTCACTAACCAGGAATGGCTAATCCCATGGCCCATCTAAGTAAATGTGCATTACCTCGCTGGCTGGTAATTGTGTACACAGTTACACGTGCTGGCAAGACGCACATAACTAACAAGTACAGTAAGTATGTTCAAATACTTTCTCTGGAGATGGATTTAACATGGATGTCGCAAGTTTTAGACATGTCTTTGGGTGGCAGAGTGGCTGTCAGCAGGGCTTATATCCCACAAATGGATCGAAGCAAAAGATATTAAACACATAAAAACATTGATAGGTCTGATAGGTGGATGTAGAATGCAGATGGCTCTCAGCATACCACGTCCTGGAAATGACACAGGAGAAAGTATGAGTACCCACGTCCCTTCAGGGCAAATTGTTAAGCAAACATGGCTGACATTTCCTAGTGCGAAACCACCAAAATTTAAGGCGGGAACCCCGGGAATTGGGAAAACTGCACATCCAATTTGCTGCGTGCTCTAATTAAATCATCTGGCAAAACTCTATAATTCCCAACTAAGAACTATGCATGGCTGCTTTGTGGATAATTCAGCTACTCCTAACCCATCATGAACGCTTTTGTGACCTCGTGAAGCTTCTAGAATATACCTTGACATCCCCTGAAATACCCATATATAAAATAATATAATATAATATAATTTAATACAATATAATATAATTGAATAAAATAATATAATACAATAAAATATAATATAATTTATTTTAATATAATATAATTTAATATAATATAATATAATACAATAAAATATAATATAATTTAATTTAATATAATATAATAACACTTATTTTTCAAAAATATCACCTAATATAAAATAATATCATATAGTAAAATAAAACATAATAAAATAAAAAACATATAATATAATATGAAATAAATAATAAAATATTATATGATATGATATAATAGATTAAAATATAATAAATATATATATATACAGTGTATATCAAATTATATCCCCGGAACGATCCCCATGTCTGTTGATCCCCCATGAAGCCAAAGAATCTTCGCCTGCCTCCGGTCGCAAACCCTGGCCATTGCTCCAAGGCACATGAGCCACAGCCTCAGGGCTGATACCCTCTGGTAAACTAGCGTTTAGTATGGAAAATCACCATTTTTAATGGGTAAATCCACTATAAATGGCCATGTTCAATAGCTATGTTAGTTTACCAAAGAGTAGGTTATCCAGTGTATGTTGCAATTTAAGTCCCTGGTCTTCCGTGGTCTTCTTCTTGAGGACCTAAGTTGAGGACCTAAGAAGAAACAAACGAAGAGTACTGTATCACATAGTAAAGCCAAGTACAAAAAACATTGCTAGCTGAGAAATCCCCGAGCTGCATGGAGCTTTAAAGCTGGGAAGATCATCGAACCAAATGGGAAGTTTCCAGCAAACCATCTTTGATTACCAGAGGGTATATCAGACAATTTTCCACGAATATCCCACTACATTTTTTTAAATCCCCATTATATACCCATTATACCACAATTTCTGTTTATCAAACCAAATTATATAATCTCACTCATAATCCCATCACCAGTCAAATCATAGCAGTGGCTATATATGTCCCAGTCTATTCCCAATTTATGATTGTTAAAACATGTTAAAACACAATTTTATTGTCAAAACACAATTTTGGGTGTACATATATATATGTGTATAATCCCGTCATATGTCCAATTTATATCCCCAATTTCCATCAACATCTTTGTTGGTTGAAACACATTTTTTGTTGGTGAATCCTCGGCAATCCTCATGTACCACAGCAGTATAAACTGCTGCGAGGCCGCAATGACCAGCTGTGAGAAAAGGGCGAAGAGCTGCGCAGCCTCCCGATGAACTGCTGGGGAAAAACCATGTTTAACCAACCGACATGGATATATTTTCATATATATATATATATGAATGAATATAAATCCTTTTCACAAACAAAAAACCTGGCCCACATTGAGCTCCTTTCAAGACCCCAACTAGGCGACCTCGAAGAGATTCCCGGAGTCCGCTTGCCTTGGAGCACGGGCCCCGATGTTGGCGATTTCACCCCCTAAATCCCGGTAAACCTACAAGGTGAGCGACCCAATATCGATGGAAAATCACAATTTTTAATGGATACACTGGGTACCCTCTGGTTATTTAACATAGACATTGGAAATGGCCCATAGAAATAGATGGTTTACCTATTAAAAATGGTGGATCTTTCCGTGGCAAACTGTTAAATAACCAGATAGTAAATCAAGGAACTCAATGGGCCATGTCCGCTATTTTGACATAACCAGAGGGGAACTTATATATTGTTTGTTATACATATCGCCATGATATTCCTATCATCCCATAATTAAGAAAAACATTTGAAAATGCCACTGTAACTGTAACCCTCTTTCTTGGTGATTATATCAACCAACCATCAGTTACCAACAATCAATCCACATGTTTGTTGGTCATTTTTTCGCATGTATCACCATAATGTCACCATTATATCCCCATTGAATGTCCATTCTACCACAATGTTTATATTACATACGTATAAATGTTTGCAATTGTTTGCATGCTTCTTTCTAACTCATTATGCCATATGTTTTCCCCATATCAGGGTCGTTTACATTCGCATTTATATCGCCATTATATCAATCTGTTCCCACTATACCATCCTTACAACCTCGTAAGTTAAACCAGGGATTGGTAAATCTCCTGATTTGGGCATTTTGAACATCACTTTCAAGTATATGTTAGATATGATATCCCGAACAGTTGGGTGACTTGCAAGTAGGACATTGGCCAGCCCCATCCAACCCCTACCACATCACGACTCTTGTTGGTTTCAAAAAAATAGAAAACAAACAAACTTTCAGAGAAACCCCTGTAAACCCTAATGTTTCATGGATGAAACATGTCACGTACCACCAAGCCACGCTTTCAGCAGATGTTGCAAGTCGCCAGCATCGGCAAACTCCATGACCTCAGTGCTGTGGCCGTGTCTAGAACACCTCTGCAGGGATAACTGATAAAAAGTGGGATAACAACCAACAACAATAGGGATCTATTGCAGCAAAAATTTAAAATGGGGGATTGATAGTTGATATATGTTGATATAGCTGATTTTTCGGAATCGCGAAGTTGGTGAACGCAACTCCAATGACTGGGCTTTATCATACATATATCATAGATCTATAGTTCATAGGGGTTAAAACACAACTTAAAACTGGGGCACCAGCGTGCATCTTATTGTTATAATGCTTAGAAGTTTCTTGGTTATAACCTACAAGCTGGTGTTACAGTTTGTTTGATCGAACTCATAACTGATATGTTCTTAGGGTCTATGGTCAAACTAATCGCATGGGTGAAGCTAACACAGCGAACATCACTGGGGACCGCCTGAGAGGGATCCAACCCTGCAGGATGGTCCAGTATGACTAGGCTAAAACACCCCAGTGATAAGTGGACTACCCGGCCTGGTAAACATACAAAAAGCTATTGAACATGGCCCTATTATAGTTGATTTACCCATTGAAAATGGTGGTTTTCCATAGCTATGTTAGTTTACCAGAGGGTAACCCTAGTTTAGACATAACCTGCACTATGGGAGCTATACTCATCTACTTGGATGAACCACCAAGTGGAGCTTTCACGGTTGACGGTTTCAACATTTCTGCAATGGACTGTCGACTCGGAGATGGAGATCTTCCCAAACGATCTCCATGAGTGCCACTATCATGGGTGCTTTAAAGATAAGCATGGCGGCACAAGACAGCAAATGTCGTGAAACATCCGCAGGTTTCAAGTGGTCCATACGCAAATATATATATATATATATATTATTATTTACTATTATTATTACTATTATTATTATATGATAATATATATATATAAATATTATAATATATATACATATTATAATATATATATACTATATATATAAATATTATATTATATATAATATATATACTATATATATATTATATATATAGTATATATATATATGTAAACCGTATTTTAGAACGCCCCAAACACCCCTGAAGCCATATATATATACATATACATATACATATTATATCTATGTAGTATTATATAGTAACCCCAGGAAAAATGCCGACAAGTAATTCAGGGCCGTTGAAAAAAGTGTTATTTTTCTTTTCGATCTTTTTGGGGTTCCCAGTGGCCCAATCCATCTGACGCCGATGCGCCAAGCTCACCGATTCGTCCAACTCCGTCGAGCCGTAGTAGCGCAGGATGCACCTCGGACAAAGGGCGCCCGAGCAACCGCTTGGGGCACAAAAAACCCTCTGGAAACCATACAAAAAACATACACAAAAACTATGGAACTGGGTAAGTCATGGTAAATCAACTCTAAATGGTCATTGTCAATAGATTTTTTTGTATGTTTACCAGAGGCTAAAATCACGGTGGGAACTGTGGCTGTGCCGCGTTATTTTTGCAAAGTTTATCCTAGGCTTGACCCCTGAAAGGGTGGATGAGGCACCAGCCTGAAACATATACCCTCTGGTTATTCAACATAGCCATGGAAAATGGCCCATCTATAGATGATTTTCCCACTACAACCTCCATTTATGCGGGATTTTCCATGGCTATGTTAAACTACCAGATGGTATTAGTATCTTCCCATTTCCAAGGCCGAAAATGAACCAAAAAAAATGTTTGAAAACGACCAGCCAGAAATTGATTGAAACTGTGGATGCCCTGAAAAAAGGGACGGTTTTCTTGTGGATCTCACATTGGCCCAAAATCCAGCAATGATAGCTGCATCAACTGCAAAGAAGCGGCGGAACAAATTGTCAGAAAAAACTAGTAACCCTCTACACAAGGATAGTGATTTGGCAAAATACCAGCTCCAACTCGGATATCCAACTTCGTGTGAGCCTCAATGTTATTTTTTTGCTGATGACTGTCAAGAAGTGGAATGTGCAAAGCTTGGCGAGTTCACCAAACCTATCGATATTGACCCCATGATGATCATGCTCATGAGCACCAAGCCCCAGGTGAAAAGCAGGTCTGCCGGGGAAGTGAACCACTGATCATCCTCCAAGATCTCCAAGAAGAGCGTCTCTTGGAAAAAGCTGCCATTTTCACGGAAGTCTTTAAATGGAAGTTGAATTTGGCCAGCGCAGCACAAATGACACACGCCTTTCGGCCTTGAGTTTGCAGCTCCTGGTCGTTTTTCCCACAACTTGCACCTCGGCCGTGTCACACCTCCAACCAAAGCACGACAAACATCAGAGGCGACGTAATTTATCAAACACTGAAATGCTACTTTCATGCCACAGGGTAGCACCGTTGTGATATTCAAAAAACTGCATTTGTCTTTCTTGATGAGGGTCTTCCTGAAAATGGTGCCCCAACATGGCCGTTTTCATGAGAAACTTGATCAACCATTGAATCTGGGAGGTTCCCACTGAATTTTCAGACAAACCAGGACGAACACAAAGCCATGTGTTGATGATTGGTTCAGCCACCATGTTTCAGGATTGTCCCAACGGTAGGGCCGGTAGGTAACGGTAGGTGAGGAGTTGTATCTTTGCCTGTCGGTCGAGACTCCGGACGGATGCTGCAGCGCTTGAAGGGCTTTCACCTGCTCACGATCTACCATTCGGTGCACCCCATCCATCCCATGAAAAGGACAACAGTACAGAATGGGGTATCCAACCCATTCCTGGACAAACCAAAATTTCATGTTGCTAGCATGCTCCCAAATTATACCACATTAATAGTATTATTATATAGTTGTCTTGGTTAACTTTCCTGTTTTGATGCTTTTTCTGTTGAGTTTTGAGTTTGGTTTCCACATTCGACAGCTTCCCACTTTCAACAAAGTCGACACAATCATTACAGATAATTACCCATGACTAGCCATTCATATCCGGTTTCAAATGGTTAGAGTCCTCTTAAACCATCTTAAACCCATATTTCCTTGTGGATTTCGTGTCTGGGTCGGCTTCAGGCAGGTCCCAGTTCCGCCTCCGCCAGGTGTTCGGCCTCCTCTCCCGCCTGGAGCTGGTTCATACGTGATTGATACATGGTGAGTAATGGTGAATCACCAATTACCATCTGGTTGTTTAACATAGCCACGGAAAGACCCACCATTTTTAATAGGTAAACCATCTATAAATGGGCCATTTTCCATGGCTATGTTAAATAACCAGAGGGTAATCTAAGTTAATAAGTCTATTGGTTAATCTAAAACAATCTAAGAAACAAAGGTTAATCTATAAGAATCAAAGGTTAGATAAAAAACATTATCTTAGTTAATAGTTGTTGGCCAGAAGCAACCATTGTTATTAACGTTAATCACCAATTGTTGAGCAGATACTAACCAGAACTGACCATTTCAGTCATTTCACTATTTTTTGGTGCCCCCGGCTTAAACAAAACCTTGCTGCGCACAGCGGGCGGCGCAGCGGACTTGGAAGTTTCAGAATGGCTTTTTGGATATTGGGATGGTTGGAGTTCACCAGTTCCTTTCGTGGGCTCTTGGAGATATGTTCGCATGTTGCCTAGCCTGTGGAGAGTGGAGACATGTGGAGACCTACCCCAGGAATTTTGGGAAATCAAGATACAGTCCCGGCACGCGCAACTGAAATGTGATGGAATGGGTCTTCCGGCGGAGTAGCCAATGTTTAGAATTTAGAGCAAGGTTTCAATCTGTTGTTTGAGTACAAGTTGTGCTGCAGTGAGGGGGGTTCCTGCTATGTCCCATACACGAATACTGGATGCTCTAGAGATAAAAGTCGCTTTAATACCTAGACCTAGCGCACTACGAAGCAACCTAAAGAAACCGCTTTCAATAGCCCTGAAGTGATTGGGGCGTAATGGACTGAGACCGTAGAAAGTGGACAGGACCACTGATTGGAAGATTCTGAACTCTGCTGCCCAAAATCAGCCGTAACTGCTGCGTCGCTTAATGCAAACCTGGAAGAAATAGCTGTTTCTATTGAAGTTTGGCCCTTGGCTCATTGACCCATTAAGTTAAGTTTAAATTTATTAAAGCGCACGGATTTTGCCATGGCTTCTTGATAAACCGAGGTTATTGTAGTATTGATGCAATGCTTCCGGACAAGGAGCCGCTCCGATCTGATTCATGGAGAATTCCAGCCCGAAAATGACGAGCCCGAAAATGACGAGCCCGAAAATGACGATCATATCCAATATATATATATATAATATATTTATATATATATATACTGTGCTGTGAAAACCCCACCACATAATATAATAATCAACATATGATAATTCATTATATTCATTGTATTCAATTATTATTGAACTCCCATATATATATAATTTTATTTATTATATTCATTATCAACCTATGAGTTTTCGAATTTGCCCAATTGGATTTAGTGATGGTTGATTGACTAATGCAGCAAGGACCCATTGTCCAGAAGCACAACTATCAGTTTTTTTCTTCACAACTCTACCTTGACGCTGGCATACACATACAATCTCCTTCAGACTAGATGATGACTAGATTCCAAAAAAATGATCCAAATATATCAAATTCACAACTTCAACTCCAGGATATAAGCAGTAGCAATTATGTTTTTGGTGGTGTTACAGGGATTGTTTTGCCCCAAAGCTCTCTGCGGAGCGAGCGCACCGTCATCGCTGCTTTCCCTAACTTTTTGACCTTGGACAGAAACAGGATCACCAACCAAGGCCGATGAGAACTTCCCTTACGAAGCCAACTTTAGATGTACCCTCTGGTAATGACTAACATAACTATGGAAAATAACAATTTATGGTGAATTGTCCCATGAAAAATGGTGATGATCCATAGTTATGTTAGTTTACCAGATGGTATCTACAGTAATGTGGGTGAAACACTGCCATTTGCACCATCCCTCAGTCATCACTAATAAATAGGTGATAGAAACCATTCCCAAAGTAGTTTATTATTGTTTGAACCACAGTAAATCCAGCAGGTACTGAATGTAGATCGAAACTGACAGAAAGCTATCGTGGGGACAGCGTTTTTTTCGGGCTAGGCGGTTGAATCACGAGCTGCTGGAAGGTTGAAACCACTAAGAGGCCACAAGCCATGTCTCCTTTTCCGCATGGTCCATTAAACAAACCACTGCGAGGGTATCTCAAACTGCTTAAGAGTCCATGAGTTTGATTGGTTAGAATGGCGACCTACAAAATCAGATTTACTACAGGAACAACTGACATAGACACTGGCAAACAGGATGTTGGAAGATTTGTTTCCAGTAAACAGTTGCTATTCTCAGGGTTCAATATTAGCTGGGGTCGTGGCAAAAAAAAACATTGAAACCAATCACAATTCAGTAGACCTATTAAAAACCTGAATGATACCATAAACCGACCCATATCAATCGTGTGAAATCCATATTGAACTATATATACCTGAAGGATCGAATGTATAACTTATTCTTGTTCGACCAAATCTTCTTGTTCAGACCAACTATTCTTGATCAAACCAACTATTTTTGGTTACTTCCTAAAGACCAATTGTTTTTGTTTTTTCTTGTTGGAAGCCACTTGACCCTTCGGCAGTGGCTTAGCTCAAGCCTTGCTGCAATCATGCCGGTGCGTCCCGCATGTTTTCCTTGCTGGGGCCTCATTGTGCTGCCTGTGAAACTTTCGTATCCATAAAGAACTTTTCTACCATATGCTTGCAAGAATGAGCAAGAATGGTTTGAGCATGGCACGTTGTGTGACAAGTATTCATGAGCCATCTTGGACATGTTTGGATATATACCGCAGGGTTTGCACCTCATATTTTAGGGTTCGCCACTCGCTGTGTGGAGCTGGCAATGGTGGAGGATGAGAAGAAGCTCATTGATCCAAAGTTTCCTTTCCGGGTTACTGACGACCAATGGGCTGCTGTCTTAGATCTAAGGGATAAACTGAAAAAGGATGACTCTTTCAAGTGCCAAGCAATTTCGGTCAAGAGTTTGGTTGATTGGCCCCCAAAGGGTGTTCCAATTCACAGCTGTCGTACACTTGCCAGCAACTTTGACTTACTTCACTTGGTAGTCCCTTACCTGAACAAGACCTTGGCTATCAAAAGGGTCCATTGCCTGCAGTGGATTCTTGAGACTGTGGTTGCTATCCGGTGGAAGGCTTGGTTGGGAACATGGGGTGTGATGGGGTGTGATGGGGTGTGATGAAAGAGTGTGATGTGAGACACACATGCATGTATACTTTGTTTCTGCTAAAGAGACCTGGGTTTTGTTGGAACAAGTGCGCCATTGCAGGTCGATGACTATACCGAAACACATGTCGAAAGGGATGCGCTTGCATTGCGCAAGATGATGAATCACCTGGTTCGCCTTCGGAAGAGATCTAAGAAACAGCGTGATAGAAAGGTACATCAATTGGCTGACCTCTTGTCAGAGACTTTACTAATCATTGTAGAGAGGAGTCTTTGTAGTTTCCACGTACAAGCATGTTTTGACACAACATGTTCTCTTATTCTTATGTGTTTCATTTGTGTTTCATGTGTGTTTCAAAAGTGTTTCATATGTGTTTCAAATGTTGAAAGAATTCCCTTTGTGCCCGGTTCTCTCAGGAAGATCTTCTCAAAGCTGTTGATGAAGATGATGACGATGATGATGAGGAACAGGAGAAGGGAGGGGAGTCGGAAGTGTCAACCCCTAGTGAGCCAGCCCCAGTTGTGAATCCTGAGACAGCTGCTCCTGATGTCATGCCTGCAACCTGTTCTTCACCAGCTCCAAGCCTTGCCCCAACCATGAGTGATGATGAGGGAAGTGTTGCAGGGTGTGAGCCGCCTCCATGTGATCCCTGTGTTGGCCAGCCAGTAGTAGAGCAGCCTCCTGCTGGCCCCAACCCGCTGGATGAGAAGCCTTCCCAGTTGGTTATGATTTCGGATGAGGAGGGTGAGGGGACCTGTCCTGTTAAGGCACATGATCCTGACTGGCCGGAGTGGTTTGACCCATTGGTAGAAGATTCCCAACCTGATCCCGATTGGCGTTACACTGCCCCAAAGCCTGAAGAACCACAACCTTCAGCCTCCACTTACAGTGCCATACTCAGGACTCATATTACGTTTGCTTCCCATTTCACAAACCAATGTTTACCCATGTTGGCCCTTATACAATATGTTTTGGTCTTGCTTGGAGGTTGCCTTTCAGCAGAGTTGAAGCAGAAGCTCCGCCTCAAGGTTGCCAAGATCCCAACTGATGTTCAACAGACCATCCCGCTTTCGGAGGAAGTATCTGAGGCGGGTTCCCAACAATGTGTTTCTATTAGTAGCTGTAGGCTTGATGTCCTGGTACTTTTGCCTTTCTCTACCTTCCTTTGTTTGTATCTTTCTGTCAAGGGCTGAAACTTTGAATAGCCCTTGAACAATCAGTTAAGATATGATACATGTCCACATTTGGCAGGCTTTGGCTGCCCAATGGGTCCAAGAGCAACAGCAACCTGAGGCAGGGTATGGGGTGTGTGTGTGTGTGTGTGTGCGTGAACATGTGGGCGCAAGAATGGTAGTTAACCAAAAACATCATTTAAAAAGATTGGGGTGCATGAGCCAAGAAAGCAAGACCAGTAAGGGTGACACCTTTCAACCTTGTTTAATCAGTTCTTTCTTCCCCGAGATGAATTTGTTTGCCGCAATCTGCAGGTGGTGGCTGCTAGTCCTGCCAAGCCTCTGCCTTCTCCAGAACCGGAGGTGCTGGGTGAATCAAAGGAGCAGGGTGGGCCTACTGACATGAAGGTTGATGAGCCTGATCAACTGGTGGCCGATGATGAGACAGAGAAGTGTTTTGCCTGTATATATAGATGTTTCGATATTACTGTCAAGTTTTCCCCCTTGACTGAACCACCAAATATAACCTTTCCATCCCAGGCTTCTCAAAGCCAAAACCTTGGTCTTGGGAGAGACTGACGATACTATCGAAGATGCGGGTGGTCCACCTCTTACCCGTGAGCAGCAGCGTGCTTTCAGGAAGTCTCAAGCACGTGGAGCTGGCAAGGACTTGCCATCAGAGGGGGGGAAGGGTCGAGGCCGGAGACGTGGGAGAGGCAGGGGGAGAGCAAAGAAGGTTGTTGAGGATTTGGATGAGGGTTCAGAGATGGAAGACTTGCCTGACCAACCTATTCAGAAACCAGCCCGTCGACAAACCAGAGCCAGAGCCACCCCAAAGCCGAAAGCCAAAGCGTCCGCAAAGTCAAAGGCCAAAGCAGCCCCAAAGTCCAAGGCTAAAGGGACCCCAAAGTCCAAGGATTCCCCTTCCCGCAAGTCTCCAGCCAAGAAATCTCAAAGGGCCAAACCTGCTGCGACCCCCGAAACCAAACCGAAGCGAAAGCGCGGAGCAGCCAATGACACAGCCAATGACACTGAAACCACAGAGCCAAAGTGTGCCAAGCGTGGAACAAAACCTGCAGCTCTGGCTGTCAACCCTGTCCCCATGGAGGAAAGGAAGGAGTTGAAAAGGTTTTTCAGCTTGATTGTTCCAAGATTTTCTTGTGTCATTTAGTTTCAATGCACCTTGTGTAAACATGGGTGTATGTGTGGATCATCCATGCACATGTGCAACATGCATATTCAATCATATTCAATCATATTCATATATACGAGTTGTTACTTTTCTTGCAAGCACATGCATTTAAATAGTTTTGCAAGCATATGGCATTGTCCAACTGCATGTTTTATCTTAGGCTTTTCGTCGACAATCCCACGTACAGACTTGAAGCCTATTGGAGTCGATGCCAGATGGGGATTCGCCGTGTAGTGGATGATAAACATACATGGCTTGGGACCCATTCCAACATGCAGAAGAACATTGAGGCTGCCAACTTTGTGGAGCCTCTGCAGCATGTAATATAGGGCCTGCCCAGTCCAGCTATTAGCAGAAACACAAGACAATAGTTGTATTATGACTAATGCTTTTGACTTGTTGTCACTACAGCTTCCCAATCTCAGCCCATTCCCCTTCCGCGTCAGGTGAAATGGTTGACGGAGCCGGGAAGGTCATTCGAGGATCGCCTTGACCCAGAGCTTGCCAGAGGTGTGGCGAAGATTTTTGATGCATAGGTTTCTGGTGGCACAATCTAGCACATCCTAGCCAAGAAACAATACCGGTAATACTATTTTGCTTCCCTAATGTCAAAACATTCTGCTGTCAGAGTTGTGCTACAATGGTGAGGGTTAATCCTCAGCTGCCTTAGCCTATGGTTGCGGGGCATTTCATGGTATCAACAACAGTTGAACCTTTTCTGCTGAGCCTTGTGATCTTCATCGCAGGGATACATAGAAAGAACCGTGTGACAACATGTGACAATCAAGACTGCTTGGGGGAATGGCTAAAAACCAATGTCCGACGTGCGCCCTGCTTGATGCAACAGAGCAAATACCCACCAAATAAGAAACAGCATCATAACTTATTGTGTTGTTTTCCATTTGGGGTTGAGCAATTTTGGAAGGATGAAACCAGTTTTCAAAATGGGCATATCTCACAATCCCAAAGTATTGCTTTTCAATCGAACAATAAAAAGTTTCGGGATCCTCTGTTTTGAAAATTCCCAAATGGTTCTATTCAAATCCTATAAGGGGCATGTTGCTAGAAATCAAGTGTACTTCAATTGAATTCTGAAATTGTGTGGCAGCAATCCCACTGGCTGAGCCACTTATCCATGCACCATCTGTTTTAAAAGGTCTTGGGGTTGCCTAACCATGCCCGCTCCGAGGCCTCCATGCCGCTATCCAACAAGAGGTTGAAACGGAGCCTCCTGGAAGTCAGCGGGGCAGGTGTGGACAAATGGGGTGGGCTGCGGAATCATTGGGGGAACCTTAGGACTGTGAGCTGGTGAAGACATATGAAAACACATCGAACACATTTGAAAACATTTTTCCAAATTCTGCATTGGTCGCTCGTACCAGTACACATAGCACATTGGGGCTCTGAAACCAGCTGTAACTTGTGGCTTCGTGTGGCCATGAGAGCGTGGGATGCAGATGACCTCCTAAAGCGTCTGTATGTGGCTAGAATGCCCAAGGCGCGAGAAAGCTAAATGGTTTCCCGCTGACCCCACAAGAAGCTGCTAAGGAAAAGTGGGGGTTCTTTTTGCCTGTTTTTAACTCTTTTGGCAGGGTAAAACATTGCACAATGCTTTAACTGTGCAAAATGGGTTTGTCTAGAATTTGACTTGTGTGTCGAGGGGTTGATTAAATCATTGGAACCAGGCGGTGGTTTCTGTGGCATTGATGCTCCTCTGGTCATACAACTTGGAAGTCTCTCGAGTATCATGGTTGTTTTAAGCACCCATCTTTTGAAAAAAAAAACTGTGAGGTGGTATAGATTTCTTTGCCCCATCTCAAGAACTATTTGTCTCCCCCAGATGTGTAGCTGTAAGGTATGGCGCTTCGTTGAGATGTTTGCTGGAGAAGCCAATGTCTCCAAAGCATGCTTGGAGCGATCCCTTCCTGGAGTGAGCTGTGACTACATCTATGGTGGGAGAGCAATGGATCTAACAACACCTGCTGGAATGGCGTTTTTTCAGCTGTAACTTGTGGAACATGTTGGGATTTGTTGCCCCCCACACTGTTTACGGTGATGTTCTTTTCAGCAACATGATAGGTATTAAGTCATAAATTACACTATTGATATTTGATTTCCACATCAAAATCTTAATATAAGTTGGTTTATATATTTGATTTGTGCTCCACATTCCCATCCCCAGCCCTCCTCCATATGCATCTGAGGTTAGCGATCCTGGCCGTGCTGCGACTGGAGCCACAATCTCTGGGACTGCTGGCCCCTGTTTGCAGTTCTATGGGATGGCTAGTGTCCTCCTTGTCAAAGAGATCATTTGTATGTCCACTTGGTGACCCATCGGTTGATTTTGTTTCTGCGGGAAACTTACTTGCACTTCGGCCCCTTAGTATGGTTTCAGGGAGTAAGATTTTGGGTTCTATGTGCCCATATTGGCGTGTGGGTTTTGATCTATATTATACTATATTATATTATATATATATATATTATACTATTATACTGTATTATACTATATTATACTATATTATATATTATACTATATTAAACATATATTTTACTATATTATACTATGCTTTAATACAAAGCCTGGTGTTGGGTTTCTTGAAACCTTGTCCCCCAGGTCAATCATCATATGCTGGCTACTGGCTGCATTGGGCCATGTGTTCATTCTGGAACAGCCACGTGGGTCGCATTTCCGCCATTTCCCACAGTGGCGATACTTTTGCAAGTACATTGCCGTGGATTCTTGGTAGTAAAACCATGTCACCATGTTTTGAATCTTGTATTTTTTACTCACCGGAATATAGGCTAAGGAATACAATCACCCAAGAAAAACCAACAACATTTGGGATAAGCAGTGCCTGTCTGGCCTCCTAGGTGTACAGGCATGGAATATGGATGAAACACTGGGGTTCTACATCGTGCAAAAGAACTTCACTTTGGTCGAATAGTTCAGTGGCGCAAGAGCTCAGCCTTGGCAAGCTGACTAAGGAGAATGGTTTGCTGGAGAAATTATATACTAGACTAGACAGCTGTTTTTGCAATAGCTCATATAGCCCACCATGATTGACGCATGGCCCAAAAACCAAGCTTATTAGATGGCCCATACAGTATTGACAATAGCCTCACTAGCTATATATATATATACATATATATATGGACCAAAATCCATCCTACTTAAAATTGTTGATATTATGTGTGGCCCAACCATCAACCACATTTTAAATATTATCACCACATTAGTTTCTAATGTCATCGCCACGTTAGTGTCTAATGACACCAAAATCAATTCTTGGTTCAAGATGTTTGATACAATAACTCCCTTAATTGACAACACCAGTTGGGGTACCTGCATTGTAAGACAGAACTATAGGTCAATCTTAGATGGGTACTTTTATCCTTTAGTCTTTTGATATCAATGGGATTATCTACTCACCAGCTAAGATTTTTTTTGCAGGGTATCTAAGATTGGAACTGATAAGATGGTTTGAACAATCAATAGCCCCATTGGTTCTGTAAATGCAGTGACCCAGGGTTTCATTTTAAGGTTGTATAGTTATAGTGTTTTAAAGATTGTCCAATCCAACCCTGCCCCGCAAGAGGCGCAACGGTCCGATGCTGTCCCCTTGGCGCTGCCTTCTCTTGATTCGCGTGGACAGAAGAGATCTACTGGTGTGAAGAAGCGCTTGAAGACGTCACAGACCTTTGGCTGTGATGTGGTGGATGTGCTATTATATGTGCGTGTGTGATCATGGGTATAATCATGGGTACTTGATGGGTCCCAAAAAATAATGTAATGGGGCACACCTGATCTTAATAGCAACCACTAACATCCACCAATTTCCAAACAAGATTGAATAAGCCCAATCATAACCTACTGAGTTGATCTGAGTTGATTTTTTTGTTTTCCCCCTTACTTACTGCCCCAAAATCATGGTTGGAACCCACAGCAAACAAGTTTAATTTTTGGGGAAAGAGACAAAACCCGTGGACAAAAGTTTCACTTGAACCAGTTGTGTTCAAGGTGGACATTCATTACATTAAAAGTTATCCTAAATTTTGGGGTGCTTTTTGGGTGTAAAAAGCTCCTTAAAAAGGTGCACCCATAGGTCAATCTTACTTGTAGAGGGTTTCCTCCCAGAAAAAAAGTTCACTATGCCCACATCCCTGAAAACCTTTGTGTGTAATGATTATAGTTCTAAGCCCTGGACTGGCCAAGGACTTATACCCCGGCCTTTGGAGCTAAAATTGCTTCTATCTATGACCGGCTGCCTAGTGGATGCAAGCCGCTGCGGAACCCACAGGATAAATGGGGTAGGGAATGACCAGTTGGTATAAAATGTATTCTTGAGGTAAAACAACTTCATTGTTTTTCATTTTCCATGAATAGAAATCGAATTAACGACCATGTATTATCAGGCACATGTTGGGATTTCACTATATTTCATTCTCCTCCTAGCACTGGCATTGGAATTTAAATCGCCGGGGCTTGGCAGCAGGACCCTTCTGAAGCATCGGGACCAACGCTTCTTTGTGCTCTGACCCAATCTGATCTTTGGAAGGATGCTCAGATGGAAGCAGTTGTAAAGTATATGTCTTGCAACCGATCCATGGGATGCCCCGATCAGTATTTTCACCTTTTGTTTCAAGGCTTGGAAGAGCCGCTGTGATTTCCAGCTGCCCCTTCTGAGCACCCCCTTGACGTTGAACGAAAATAAACCATATGCTTTACAATTTGCCAGTGTAACTGTTGAGGGGTGCGCAAAGAGAAGGAAATTCACCTGCAAATAGGCAGTGGTATGTTCCCATTGCACTATGATTGCAAAAGCAATTTGTTGTTCCCATAGTGGATCTCAAACCAATAATTTGCAGTCTTCGGCAAAAAATGGCTGCGCAAGAATGCGTAAGAAAACCAAGAATCCGGCTAAGAAAACCAAAAATACGCGTAAGAACGCGTAAGAATGCGTAAGAATTTTTTGGGGTTCTTGCAGCCTTTTTTTGGGTTCTTGCAGCCTGCATTTTGTGGCCAGGCAGTTCCAACCAGAATTTGCTCAGCCCTGCGGCCTCTTCGTCGAAGGAAGGTGCGCTCTCCACCCCAAGCCTTGCTGGGTGTGGCATCAAAATTCCAAGTGGGATCAAGTGGGAAAGATTGAGAGGATTTGAAAGGGTTGGTTTCTTAAAGAGATCATTGTTTAGCTTGATCGGTTTTCTCCCCATTCACTGTTGCAGTGGCTCAGCAACCTAGTAGCCCTTCTTCAAGGTAGAAAGGGGGGCACCATGCCGGGGTCTTGTGACAGCCTGCTTGCTGGTGCCAAACAGCTGCAACAGCAGCCTCAGCCTTCTACCCCAAAACGTTCCTCTTCAGGGGTGTCTTGTTATTGATTTACTATGGAACCATGATTGCCATTGTGAAATATGTCCATGGTTTGCCATTTCCGGTTTGCCAACATTATCTAAGGTGAAGTGTGAGGTTGACGATCCACAGTCGATGTTTTCCCCAGAGACGAGTGCGCTGATCAAGGGGTTATCAGATAGCCCAGAAAGTATGATGTTGAAAGCTGAGATCTTGAAAAGTGCCAATATGTTGCAGCGTGGAGCCCTGGGCAGCATTTACTGTCAATAGCATTATTATGCAGTACTTGGGATGGCAAACTGCTACAATCTTTGTGGACGGGTTTACATCACATCAAAGAAAGGCTGAAAGGCTTAAGCAGCCATTGTTGGTGACCTATTGGGTATGTTTTTTGGGGCCCTGAAAAGGTTTCAAAAGGTTCCCCAAAATGCCCCAGAAAGATTTTCCACGGCTCTTGAGTACCACTTTGGTTTACCCTTTTGGTTTGTAACATGGAATCCCATACATCCCACGAACAATGTGTTATATAATTGAGATTGTGTCAGGTACCATGGTTGGCTCCACATCATGAGGCATGGTATTTGATAATATTTGCCTGATCCCAATGATGGGTTTTCCCCTGGCATGTGAAGAAGGGTCTTCTCCAAAACTTTCCGTCTCAGGATACTCGAGCGGCTCTGCTGGTGGGAGCATTCTTGATACCACAGAGGCTGCCACCCCTGCCGAGCCTCCACAAGGACATGGGGCCTTTCCAGACCCAGCTTTGCCTAAGCAGGTGCCAGGCGAAGGGGAGGTGCCACCGACAGTCGCAGGGCCCATGCCAGGGTTCAATACAACCATGGAAACACTGGAGAAAGAAATGATGGAACGGTTGCAACTGAAAATGTTAGAACTTGAGGAATCTTTCACACGAGAGATCCACGAAAAGAAACGAGTAGCTGAGCAGGAGTTGGAAAAAGAGTACAATGGCAAACGTGCCAAGCTCGATGAAGAAATTTTTGACTTACAGGAAAACTTGGTACACCAGCAGACACAGCTTGCTCTTGCCAGTGAACAGCTCCAGGAACGCATGCTTCTTGTTTCAGATGAACAAAAGTGTCTGGATGATTTGCGGGAGAAAACCAGACAGATGAAGCTGCAGCTTGAAGCTGCGGCTGATCACGACCCTCCAATGCACCCACCGCCCTGTACTCCAAGTTCTAAAGCCAAAGAGTTGTTGAAAAAGAAGTTGGAACAAACTCAGAAAAAACCAGCTGTGCCCATTTCTACCCCGAGCCCGGCATCGCTTCCCAGTGCTGTGCGCCCTTCAGAGAATACTGGTGACTTGGGTGAGGTGTCTGTGAATGGGCCTATGGTGCCAGTTTCCGACCAGAGGTTCACAAGCTCTACCCACCCCCAAGCATGGCATTGCCTCTACCGCATGTGTCGAAAACCGGATGGCATTGACAAAGAGATCTATGACAAGTGGCATTCAGGTCTGGTTTGCAGTTAGGGTACAGGCTGCCTTCCAAGACATACAGGGCACCCCCATTAACCCCAATAATCTTGAACTCTTATAATATTATATCATATGATATGGGTTTTCAAAATATAGAAATCACCATTGGTCACCCACTCAAAGTTATGTTTCTTTTCAACATCCCCCTTTGCGGCAAGGTGGTGCCAAGCGGGACCAGTTGCTCAAGGACTTTGTATGTCGATGCTTTGCCCCGGCTGATGACTTCAACAAGAACAAGGCTCATTATGGCCCATTCGGTGATGAATAGGGCTGCCCACAAAATTACAACCAATGTTTCTTCAAAAAAATGTCCTATAGCTATAATAGTAAATTGTGAGGGTCTTCCTGCTCTAAAAAAATCTTCCATAATGCTGCCTAAAAAATGTGGATCCCCTTTTTCAGTTTCATTCCACTCCTGTGATGTCGGCCATTGCAGGCGAAGTTGCAGGCTTTGATCACACTTCGCCAAAAGACCAGCCAGTGGCGTCGCAACCTGCAAGGGTACTCATGGCACACGGAGGAAGAGATGAAAACAGTTCTGAAGTGGAGCCAGTCATTTGGCTACAAACATGATCCGATGATGGTTTCCATATGGTACTAAAATTCAGGATGACATGTGCATGCTGAATGTTCAACCCTGGTCAAAGGTCAAAAGTGGATGGTGCCGTCAAATATTGCACGAAGCGAAAGATGACCAAGACTGGGGTTGCTGATTTTTTGTCGTGCTTCAAGTTTCAAGTTCTTTAAATTGCATACGTATACATGATATGACAATGTGGAGAACATTAAAACATATTCTGTGGCAAAGGAGGCAAACAGTTACCACTTGAAGGGGTATTTTTTTTCGGGCTTAATCATGTTTAAATTGTTCATGTGTGATTGACCGACCACACACTGTTTAGAGCAAAAACAAAAAATGACAACTTATTTGTTCAAGGTTGTGACACCCTGAGCCCGTTTGAAATTGTATCTGTTGTGGGGCCTAAGGAAACTGCACATCTTGAGATTTCAGCATGGATATCTCCCCTCAATATATATGTTCTTTCATGTTCCTCATTGTCCCAACTGTCCCAACCTGCAAAGCCAACACCAGCTGTCTTCTTCCAGCGTCCAGCTGCCTTCCAGGAAGTGCATCTACGATGTGACTGCTTTGAAGTTTCTTGTCCAAACCAGGGATGATGTGGAAGCTGGGGATGAGAAGATCAAAGAACTAGAAAGTGAGATGCGTGAGATTGGCCTGTTCGATTCGGAATTTTCCTTAGGAGATGTGCTGGATGAAGGGGAAGATGAACAGAGTGCATCCCCGAACAACGGACCCAAGAAAAAGAAACTGGAGGAGTACCCTGATGTTGAAGGGGATGAGTCGCTCCCAGAATACATAGGCCAATATAAAAGGGCATGCCTTAGCAGGAAGGCACTTTTGAAAACCACGAAAGAACGCTTGGAGAAGGACAATGTGAGCCCAGCTGACTACAAGCTTCTTGGTTGCAGTGGGTTTCAACTCTTGTTCAAAGCTTCATTTCATGTTCTTCCCCAGCTAGTGGAAATCCTAAACTTGTGGTGTTTCAGATCCAAGGTCTGACTATGATGCGTTGGCAACAATTGGAGGTTATGGGCCCCAAAGAGTATCAATGTCATGGCAACAGTACAAGTATGGCTTCAAAATGATTTAAATGTCAATATTCTGGGATTTTGGCTTACCCACACTTGGAGGTGAACTGAACGACCTCTTCAACGAGGTTTCCAAGATCGAAGTCTCAGTGCAGGGGAAGGAGAGTCTTGCCAACTTACGGTTGCCGACCCTCTGGCCTCATGTGAAGTCTCCCCGCTGTCTCTGTTCACCATGTTCAGGTTGATCACCTTGGCATAGGATCTTCTTTCAAGATTTTCTCATTTTCATGGGATTTTCAAGACCCCCTGCCAACAAGTCATTCGACCCCTCTGCAAGGCTTAAAAAGGTATGAGCAGATGCTGTGAAATTCATACCAGGGTATCACAGGGTATGAGTGAATCAGACTTTATACCCCAAAAACTAGCCCAGGAAAAAAGCCTATGGCAAGGTGAATGAGAAGATTCGCTCTGCGTGCCCAAGCTTTGCAATCTAAAAATTGGGAAACGAGGTTATTATTTTCCCCTGGAAAATTGAGGGTAAGGGTAAGGGAATGTCAAAACTTGTCAACTCAGGTGCATCCGCTTCAACAATGCCCATGCGCAGGTGAAGACACTCATTTGCACCAAGTACAATACATATATAAATATTAGAATCTTATTAGAACTCATAATATTGACCAGCATCTCATAATTGGTGAAACTTGATGACATGCCCTGTGAAATGTTTCAACGGTTAATGTCTCGACAGTTTGCCCTTTCCCTCATGGCTGGTAAATTTCCACTTGGGTTGGTTCACCAAAAAAGGCCCCCACAAAAGTGTTTTCCCTGTATTTTATGAAAGATTTTGGGACTTGTGGGGGCCTTTTTTGGGGGACTAACCCAAGTGGAAAAACATTCATGGCTACACCGAACATGTTTGACCCGAGGACTTACTTCGTGAAGACGGCAGCGAAGGCGAAAGCAAAGGCGAAGGCTGAGGCTCAGCCACCTCAGGACTAACCTCTGGGTTGAACGCCTGTGGGTGTAACTTTAAGGGTTGGAGGATGCTGGGTGCAGCGCACCAGTTGCTGCATGTTTTGGTATGGTATGACCTTCAAACCCAGTTGCAAAGGTTCGCAGTGTCAGGGCTCGGTGGAACCATGGCTGGCACAAACATATAGAAACAATTTCCTCTGTATATTTTTTTGATCATTGTTGCTGAATCACTGTTGCCTAGCAGAGTCCTGATTTAGCTTTCCGTGAGATCTTTCAAAGTATACATGGCGCAATCTGCGGTGCGAAACATCTTGCATCAGCTTGAAGTGCAGCATTGTTGCTTGGTTCTTGTGCTGCATGCATACTATACATACCATTAAGTTAAAGATCCACACACTCACACCTTGATTTTCGTGCCCGCCCCACGCAGGTGGTGGAGATGCAATGCCAGATGTTGTCAATGATATCCTCAAAACATATGTTGCCCCCTGGATTGAACATGATTGAAACCTTCACTCAGTGGAAACACCAGTGGGAAGATATGGAAACCCCTTCAATGAAATTCAGAAAATATCGGGTCCACAGGGTCCCCCCCAAAGTTTACTGACCAATCATTGGTGTGTGGGAGCCCTTATTTATGATCCCTTATTAGTTTTGAGTTTTGACTACGTGTTTATATCACCAAGTAATCATCATTGTGGTGGGTAATCTTTGGCAGGGACCATTCCAAGTTGGCTGGGGTGCTTGTTCAACTCTCTGACCCCTAGGCTACCTCAGCCTCTGCAGCCATCAACCAAGCGAAGGACACGAGCAAGATCGCAAAGTGGTGCGATGAGAAGTTCTATGTGGACGAGCTGGGGAAGCTAGCTGAAAACCGCCCCAACAACAAAAACCGTGATTTGGTAAATCATCTTGACAGAAGAGGATTTCTCTTGGGAGTGCCTATCTCCTACATCAAAGGGGTCGGTGGGTTATGAAATCGCAAGTTTTTCCTAGGTCTGTGATTTTACCAATGAATTACGGTCCCATAAGATCGGAAAACTATGGCAACTCATGGGTGATTGGTCATCTTCAATTTATTCCACTTTCACCCTCAAAAAGATGGTCCCAGAAGGACAGAAAACCATAACAAATAAGTTGATCACCTGTAAGACTATACATGCATGTGTTTCAACCAAATTAAATATCATCCCATTGGATTGGGTAAGGGTAAGCATAGCAACCAATAGTTTGCTGATCATCCTTGAGATCTGCCTTCGAAATATTCCCCAAAATCAGGAAACCATAACAACAAAGAATTGGGTGATCATATTCAAGATTATTCCATGCTTTGAATATCCCAACAAATTACTGTCCCATCAGACCGGGAAGCCATAGCAAAGATAATTGCCTATTCATCCCTAAGCTTACACGATATATAATTTTGAATATAATTTTGAACCTCCCAAAAGTATGTTCCAATAAAATAGGAAAATCACAGAAACAAAGGAACGGCTGATAATCCGCAAAACTATATGCTTTGAATTTCCCAATAAAGTATGGCCCCATAAGATTGGAAAACCATATGGCTGATCATCTTGTAGAAATTTGGGGGGTATATCGGTATATCTGCAAACATCTATGTTTGGTCCCTTTGGTGATTTTTCATGTTGGTTAAAACATGCGTGGATAGTAAGTCCCCTGCAGGTCAACTATTCCTTTTGGAAGAAGGGGAGGCGGAGAAGGAACAAGGTAAAGGTGCACCGAAGCCATGACCACCCCGTTTTGCAGATTTGGGATATGGCGAAGTATCTTTTGAATTCCAAGTACTCTCACAAGCTTCTTGGGTGTGACATCAAAGATGATGCCAGCTGGAAAGCCGAAGTCCTGGGTTTTTGGGAAAAGTTCCGAGCTGACACTCGTTTATGCCGTAGAAATAGAAACTTTGGGCATTGTTTCCCTGGCCTGTTTTTTGGTACTTTGTTGGTTTGGCCTCCCAGATTTTCACACACTCTTAAGTGGTGTAGTTTTGCCACTGCAGGTTGATGGTGGTCACGCGGTCTTCCTTGACCATGCAGATCCTGAGGAGTTGTGTCGCTGCTTGCCATGCCTCATGCATGGAGATGAGGGTGTAGGGCATCGGAGAAAACCTGTTCTCCAGTTGCTTTGGGGACCTCTTCTGAGGGTTGGTTTGGGTGCAACTGATAGGTTGTTCCTTGTCACCACGTGCCCTCACAAGTACTACTCAGGCTACAATGAAGGCACTGCTGCTGGGAATCAGGTGATTGACAGACTTGTGGCTGAATGCGCCAGGTCAGCCTGCAAGTCTTACTACCAAGGCATCCCTACGAGGTTTGGCACCTTCAGACTGGTGTTTTTGGGCTTGGCCGGTGACCACCCATTTCAAACCAAAGTTTGTGGCAGTTTGAGAAGCCATCTCCGAACTGAGATTTGCCCTTGGTGTCATGCCAACACCTCCAACATTCCATTTGAAGATTTTGCGCGGAGTGCTGCTTGGAGAAGAACCGTTTTTCAATCAGTTCCCTGGAAGTCCAGCTCGCCTTTTGCAATTCTGCCTGGAGGAAGCCACCCATCATTCATCAAATGGGATCTTATGCACATGGTGCCCCATGGCTGTGCGCGCAATTTTTGCGCATCTGTGGTATGCATGTTGTGTGGGCCTCTGGGATTGATTTCGCCCATGCCGGGACCTGGCCTTAGAAAAGACCGGTGCTTGGAAGCTGCTACCCGTTTGATGGATTCTTGGTTGATTGGCGTTGGCAAGAGCATGAGGGATCTGAAAGAGCTCACACCAGAGAACCTCCAATGGAAGTTGAACCGTGACTTTCCTGACAGCAGTTGCAAGGCCAGCGATTGCATTCTGTTGGCACAATGGCTGCTAGACCTCATTGGCACCATGCCATGGCAGATGACTGAGCCACTGCAGATGGCTTATGAAGGCCTACAGGGCTTGGACAACTTTCAGCGCTTGTGCTACACAGGCGACAGACTGTTCATGAATCCAGCAAGGCAAGTTTCTGCCAGGGATGCGTGCGACACATTTCTTCAATCATACACAGATTTAGCTGTGTACTGGAACAGCAGAGGTTGGTGCCTTTTTGGATACACTCCAAAGTACCATTTCACGGGCCATTGGGATGATGAGTTGTCTGGTGCCATTGAACGTGGTGAAGCTTGGGCTTGGAATCCAGGTGCTTTTAGCACACCTATGATGGAGGACTTTGTTGGTGTGGCCAGTCGGATTTCACGTGCGGTTCATCCAGGAGCTGTGCCAATCAACACTATCCGCAAGTATCTTGTGGAGATGAGAAGGTTATGGTGAATCTTCACCGAGATCTGCTGTGGAGGGAAGTGAGAAAGAAGGGATCGAGTCTGGATGGGGAGGAAGATCAGAGTTTTGGTAAGGGTGATCATGGCTTGGGTAGCACCACAAATCCCACAAATTCTTATGATCAATTATTTTTGGTTAAACCAATTATTCTTGATGATTGGTAAAAACCAAAAAAAAGTCATACGTTGGGAGCGTGCAGGTATATATATATATAACATTACAATGAAAACCATCGTCTGCAGCGGACCCATTCCGGCCCGACCTCATCTTCTAGCAGCCCTTCGAGATCGCTCATGGCCGCTCGATGGGCATATGTGGACCAGCCTGTCAAATCTATTTTTTGTTATAAATGGGATACAAATGGATAAGTGGATGATAGTGGATGTGAATTCCCCCGATATATGAAGAAACAGAGCATGAATTAACATGACTTAACATCATAAACATGACTTAACATCATATAGTCGACTATAGTAGAAGCTTGACCTGCTTGACCTATCCCGCTATGGGGAATGGGGTTACTGGTGAAGCTGCGGTGGTGCATCAAACTTCACATTCTGCGAAGCTTTGGAAGCAAACCGCTCCGAATGGCTCCCGACGGGTGACAGTTCATGTTCCAAAGAGAAGCAAGTTCATGGACCATTCAGACCATTCACCAAAAGTCCTTATCCAAAAAAAAACACTGTATCTTCTTTCGGGAAATCAACATTGACCCAGTAGATGTGTGTTATAATTAATACACTTGGGATCTCAAAATATGTGCTCAAAATGCTTGGATGGACATGATGGGCTGATGGTGACCATGTTCACTTTTGTCTGACACAAAACCGATTCTTCGTCACTGGAATCTTTGTCCAGTAGAAGCCACTCTGGGTGAAATCTTTCAGAGTAGGAGAGTGATGCAGCAGCTCAGTATTTAAATGCAGCATGATGATATATGATGCATATTAATCATATTATAGGTCTTTTCAAATTCCCTGGTTTTTCCATCACCAGCCGCGGCAAATGGGCCAGGTCTCTAAGACCGTCCGACGATCCTCATCCAAGATGTGGATCCTGAGGAAAAAGCTGGCTGCGATGGCAGGTACTTTAGCCCAGAAAAGCTGTTTTTTTTCAGATATGATTTATTGTGAAGAAACATCATATATATATATATTTATATATATATATATATTTATATATATATTTGATTTATAGATATAATTATATATCTATATATTTATTTATAGTTAGTGACTGGAAAAAAAAAAAACATCCAAGGTGTTTTTTGGAAGACCAGTGTCTCATTCCAGTCTCTGTGGAAGGTCTTGAACTTGACAGTAATTACTCCGTGGCGGCCCGGCCGCTGTGCCTTTCTGATCGGTTAAAGGTTCAAGATTACGAAACACCGCTAGTCTACTTGTGGGTCGCCATATCCAAGGTCTGCTCTGAAAATGGGCAGAACAAAGGCAGCACAATTCAGTGTCTTTTATCCTTCGCTTATACATGGACTTCCGAAAACTAGTCATGAAGCTTGTGCTACCGCTCCCAAAAAGAGTCCTTGTCCCCCCAGCATCCCAAGATCTCGCACAGCCAAGGTGCCGATCGTGTTGCTTGGTATGTGCACAGGAATGGTAAGGCTCCAGGCGCAGCAGCGTCCCTGGAGGAGGCCAGGTCATGTGGGGAATCTTCCATTTTAAGAAACCCGCAGTTGGAATGTCGTTGATGCAACTGTGGCAATGGGGCACGTCTATTGTCCCCGTATGGACACACTCTAATGCAAACCACTCTGGTCGAATCGCCTCCAAGTCAAACCACAGAAAACCTTGGGCTGCATCTATTGGAATCGATCGATTATTGGCACCAACCACTGTACATCAATATTCCATAGATATAGGTAACAATTCATTAATAATCAATGAAAACGAGAAAGTAACCATCCGCAATCCAGTAGTATCACAAGGGGTCCCAAGTAAGCCAACCATGTGCACCTATCATCTCCAACCACTGTCCCATGCCTAGAGGAAAGTCGTTGAAGTTCAAGGGACTTCCATCGCAAGAACTGATCAGCCCGGCCTGTGAAGTCCATGATGGGCCTGACCCACCCTGGTATGCACCCCTTGAACAAATCATCCAAATTAAAACTTGTATTTTTCACCTATTTATGGTGTATGAATGTGTATGATAAGACTGAAATATCTGACTGAAATGGGATATACCCTCTGGTTATAACTAACATAGCCATGGTATAGATGGTCCATAGAAATAGATGGTTTACCTATTAAAAATGGTGATTTTCCAGTTCGCTATGTTAGTTTACCAGAGGGTAAGCATTTATTGCAAATAGGAATCTGCCAGTGAAACGTCTTGGGATACTAACCAAATACCACTGAACTGCCCAATCTGGTTGGAACTATAATTCAGCAAATTGACGGTGAGGTGGGCTATAGTGAGGTCGGTCCTCACTTCAGCTAAACTCAGTTCCAGTCGACATAGGCTCCATGATGTTTTCCTCTATTCTTGAAGCAACCAATATTTAATATGTGGCTTGAAATAAGTGAGATATCTTCGGATCACAGATCTTAACTTCACCAACTACCACTGATAGCCTGATAGCACAACGATGTCATTTCAGACATGTTTTTCACTCTTCCGCACCAGGCAGGCGCCTCCTGTTTCAGGTTCACCACCTTCAGCTGCGGATAGCCTTCGATCCGTCCGAAGTTCGACGCTTCGCCCTGCTTGCTGCAGGCTGTCCAGCCCATGTCCTCGGAGGGGAACTCACTGGTTTTTCAGACCAAAATAGCTGGGAATTGTGGATGTTTTATGCATGTTTTATGGATGTTTTTATGGATGTTCACCACCCAAAATATGGATATTTTTTAATGGTATTTCAATGTATTTCGATAAGAGTTTCTCCGCTGCACCACCTTAAAATGAAGGGTTTTAGGGTTCACTTTCATCAATCAAAACACCCATGTCACAGCAAAAGAAATGGACATGTCACCAGCTTAAGTTGATTGATTCATGGGCATAATCATCCAAATATTTCCATATTGAGGCGCCAAATCCTTTGGTTCCACACCCCCTTTTCCGTAGAACATGGAGCTCTGAGAATTTCGATCAAAATGGTCCCACTTAGATGAACTAACAATTAATAGATCTCAAGTCTAGATCCTCCTGAGAAAAAAACAACAGTCACTGTAGATGACTTTGCCATATTTCAATGGATAATTGTATATAATTGTAACCCAATCGTTGGCCTGGAAGCCTCAAATTTCGGGGATTGAGTTCTGAGTCATCATTGAGTTTGTCTGCAAATAGGGTACCTTTAAAATTTATTGCCTAATCATCATTTTCCCTATTACTTAAAGTACCCAAACATCACATTGGTTTGAAAAATATCCCACCCATGATTGTATATTGTTTAATTCACTGGAGAATCATCATGTTCTCATATTTCCCCCTCTATTTTCCCCTAAATTTTAGGGCCCTTTGGAAAAAATGGCCACCGATCTTCCCAGGCAATTGACACAAAACTTGACAGCGAGGTACCACCAGCAGCAGATTCTTCTTGGGATATGCCCCGATGACGCGCATCAAGACCCGCACCGCAATGTCCTTTTCACTACAGGAGCCCAACGCCTGGCATGGCATGGGATGACGGATGCACAGACCTTGGGAAGATCCCAAGGGACTCGGGACCTACAAAAACCTGGGGATGCTTGATGGTTTCCAGGCAAAACATGAGAGAAATTGATGCGAACATAGCATGGAAATATGAAACGATGTGAAAGGATGTTGTATACTAAGATCATCCATGAAGATTGGAATATTCATATAGCGCTTGATCGTTTTCATGAGTGATTCAGTCACTATTTGAAGACAATTCTGGTGGGGATCACGGCTGACTCATTCATAATTTTCCACTTCGTTTCAAGGAGAACATCAGCGAGAACTCTCCCCACTTCGCATCTGGTAAAAGCACTGCTGACTGCTCCAACCAAAATAGGGTACCCTAAAAATCGTGTGGATTTTTGTTAAATCATATCTTACCCACCAAATTTGCCATGAAACAAAGGGAAATCAGCCATTATATCATATTTTTCTCATTACATCTAATGACATCTTCATAAAATGATTGGTTTCATACCCCCATTCAGCTTGGATCAGGTTGATTAAATCACCATAAATCTCATGAAAGTCACGACTTTTTTTTGGACAAACCCCACCCCACAACCCCACTCAGCATCGCCTGCTGCATGGTGTCGTAGTAGATGTAGTTCCCCGGATGCATCTCTGTCACCCCCGGCAGCGCTGTTGGAGGATTGGAGCAGGTGGGGGTGGAACCCACACCCACCACTGGCACCTGCGGTAGGTCAAAGCTCCGGCAACTGTTTGTCAGATTTTTGGAGCAAACTATCGATTTTTGCGTCTGTAATCTCTAGAACAAGATCGCGTTCATGTTAAACTCCCAGCTGTTTGTTGGTCTACGGCTTCATTTCTGGTCAACTTGTAGGTTTGCGAATCGTACAAGAAGGCCCCCCCAGTTCTTAAACAAGTTCTTAACCTCATCTAGAGATATATTCCCCAGAAATCCAATCGTTAGCAGTGATAAACCATTGTTTATCCATCATAAATTAATCTGGTTGGTGATTTCAATCCCTCTGAAACATATGAAAGTCAGTTGAGATGATGACATTCCCAATATGATGGGAAATTCATAATCCAGCCATGTTCCAAAGCCATGTTCCAGTCACCACCAACCAGATCACCATCATATTCCCATTGTTGTTGGTTTATAGCCCAAAAAATATTCCACTATCAACCATCACCAATATAACCAATATATCCAACCAGCTATAGTTCCAGTCACCACCAACCAGATGTTCATTGGTGATTTAACCCTGAAAATTGGGAGTTACTAGGATACTTATTGGGATTTACTGGGAAGGATTATCATCCAAATTATCATCTATTATATACCATCAACCATCACTATAAACCCAACTCCAAATTATCCAATATTTCCCATGATTTCCCAAGGCACCTGAAGTTTCCAAGGCTCTGCCCTCAGTGCAGCAGCGAACTTGGCCACAGCCTACATCATGCTTGTGGCTGTGAGAAACGAAAAACTGGGAAGAGCCAAAAAAAATGTGATTTCATGTGATTGAATGTGATTTAATAGGATTTAATATGATTTGATTTTGTACCAGAGTGATTGAATGGTGCAGCCGAAATGAAGATTTACGCACGACACAGTCGATTAGTGAGTTGTTCATAGCATGGGGATTTCAGCAAAGAACTATACGAACAACGAGGGTATCCTATGTGGATATCTGAGCAAAACATGGCAGCACATCCACCAGTCAGCGTATTTTTCCATATCTTTCCATGGCTGCTACTCTGAGTGAATATATAATGAAGGAACCGTCCACAAGGGGCAATTTTGGCAATTACGGAAAAAGCCAAGAACCATTGTCACGTTTCAGGAGATAAAAACGTCAATGTGCTTTCTTAGCTGACTCAACCATTTGGAGCGATGGACATGATACTATAGTAGTTTCGTATCCATTGTTGGTCAGTATCCACAATCATTGCTCGAATATGCCACCAATGTTTCATGGTTCTAGGTCAAGGATCGTAGACGCAACAATCTTGAAATACCACAAAAATCAGGGATCCCAACAATAATAACAATAGATCTGGGTATCTTCACTTTAGACTGGTGGGATTTCACGTCAGAATAGATGTTTTAGGCGATCTTTTACCTTGTAGCTTGACAAATTCAACGGATCCATGGTATGTTTGGGAATGGCCATCTTTATGCCGATGTGGATAGGGATCATGCTGTTTATTGGCGGCATCTAAATGGAGTTGGTTGAAATTCAAGTGTTTCTGGTTAAAACGTGTGAGAATAACTTCAACCAACATCAAAATATGTGTATATAAATATATTATATACAATATATATATATATATATATGTCGAACCCATCCTGGTAGGGCCCCCCTTCAGCCTCACATTCTTCCAAGGCGATCCGTTGAACGGCTTCCTTGTCCTGCCCGTCGGTAGGGTGTTTGAGCCATGATTGAGCTATGTTTGGGTATGGGAGCTGCGTAAGCACCAATCAATCACCTTTTTTGAAACAACATGTTCAGCACCATGTTTGCAGAAGTGGCCCATCCTAGCCAATCATTGCCAATCCTCTTGAAATAGATCCCCATAAACCCAAACAATCCTCAAGGTCTCCCGGTTTCCCCCAAGTCTCCCCCAAGTCTCCCCCAAGTCCCAACCGCCATCCCCTAGGGCCCAACCGGCCCTACCTGGGCGTCATAGGAATGGCCTCCATGGGTATAGAGCCCCGCCAGTTGCGTCTGGGGCGACTCCGCCAAGCCTTTCGCCATCGCGAAGGACTGCGGATCTGCCGGGTCAACACCTTGAAGCCGAGCTGAGAAGTGGGCTGAAAACAGCTTGGTATATGTGGGGATCATCAACCCAAAAACCCAAAAATGCATGTCGCCAAAATTGTGGGGACCATATGGGGACCATCAACATCCATCAACCATCACCCGAAAAGTGGACAAACATGAGTCATGCTTCTTGTATGTCACCAAAATTGATGAACTTTTGCTTGCACTTTCTGGTCATGTAAACCAACCACAAAACGACTGCTGTGTTGTCGCCGTCCAAGGAGCCATCACGGCCATATCCGCAGTCCACCATTAGAAACACCGACCAGACCTTTTCTGAGAACTGACATAAGGCCTGACATGGCGATGTCCCGTTTTGAGTTTTTTGGGACCAAGACATCTGAGATGGATGTCATTGATGCCACTGATATCACCATGTGAAACATTGTTAAACAACTTTGTTTTTGGGAGCGGGAAGAATTCCGTACCCAACTGTCCAAGTCTGCCGGGTGTCACTCAATTAGGGCCATGTGACATGGGCCCATGGGCACCCCGAAAACCTTTGCTGCTTGGAGTCACAAGACCCAATAGACCCATTTTCCGGTCTTCAACTGATCGAAATTGAATTGGATCCGAGGTGTGAAAAAGGTGTGATCCTATCGTTTCCCAGTCAAAATATGACAAGACAATAGAACCTATGTATGTTGCGCCATGACATTAATGGATTGCAATGGCTTCCCAAATATGCTCCACATTGCTACTCATCTACTTTTGCTCGGCCATGCCATGAAGTCGCTCATGGCACCATCTTTTGGTTCATCTGGGCTTGTCCAAAAAAGATGGAGTATCTAAACATCATCATCTTTCCCGATTCAAACTGTCATATGACAGATCCATACATCATACATCATCATACCAACTTCTTCCATGGGAATCTCAAACATCTCATGGTTCCAAAATGATGTGGCCCCAATGACCACAACGTGATGGATCCTGAATGGTCCCCACTGTCCCCACCTCCAGTGCCGCAGGGTGGTCAATGCACACATGGAATGTACAGCGTTTGGCCAGCTGCGCAGCACGCGGCAATTTCTCGGAGGTGATGGGCACGGCGTAACAAATGTCCTGCCACCATCTGAGTCGAGTGTGGATTTTGAGCCAAACATGGAGAATGGTTCAATATAGGGCTTTAATCAGTGAATAATGGATATTATGGGTTTGTTGATATCCATTATTCACTGGTTAAATAATGGATAATAAGTGAAGTGGGGTATGCGTCAAGTTCATGGCAAGTCGATAGGGAAAATATGGGACAAAAGCTATGAATTTGGCGATAGCCCTTTTTCAGACCCATGTGGGGTTGAGTCAACCATCCAAAAATGGGGATCATACACTTCATGGAGATAGATGTGCTGGAGATACAACCAGCTGGATATATAATGGATATATGGGGATCATCGAAAAATATGGAAAATTTGGAGAGTAATTGAAAGCATAAAGCAGTTTTGCTGGATTTCATCACCTTCTCGCAGAAGAAATCGGGGGATTCGCCAAACAATACCTGCAACACCATATGAAAGTGACAGTGGAGTAGTCATTTTCACGTGGCTTGGTGGATCGTTCTTGCTGTAATTTTGGCACCACTGGGAGAATTTCCATATGGAAATTGTTTGTTGGTAATATATGTGAGATAAGTTAAAACATCTTATGAGATACGTAAACCAATATCTTAAATGGTTCATAATATCCAATTTGTTTAATATGGTTTATTGGCAATGGCTGGGCTCCACCATTTTCTGTGAGACGACTGAAGGGTATACCGGTCAAGTCGGCGTCGGCACTCAAGGACCCACCATCACATTGACTCTTTTTTAAATACTGGTATAGATTTTTTTGGTATAACTAACATTTGGAATACTAACATTTGGAATAATATTAGTGATATAACTAACATTTGGAATAATCTTATATCATATATTAGTATTATAAAACTATATCTATGCTTTAAATAACTGCTATATAATAACCAGCATTTTTTTAACCATATTTTATGGTGATTTTTTTCGGATCAGTTGCTTGCAATGACCTGGATGTCTTTGATCTCTCGATCCATAGAAACCAGCGGAGTTTCATGGAGTTTCCATGTGGTTTAAATCATGTGCTCTCCCAGTTCAACAACCGGAAAAAAAAAAAAAACAATATTTTTGTTTGTCCCATTCTATTTTGATAATACAAAATAAATCCCATGAATTGAATCCCACTATCTATGATCCCCATATTGATCTAATAATTGCCATACCAAATCAGCGCAGCCCATCCGAACGCCCACCTCAAAGCCCGCGTCCGCATAGAACTCCGCCTCCGCCAGGGTCGACACAGTGATGCATCGCTTGGTGCCGCCCGTGGCCAAAATGCCACCTGCCATGGATGGCAATGGGGTGGATTTCACCGGCCAAAACGTAGGGATTTAAGCAATGAATCATGGAATGGTGTGGGTGATTGTGGCTGGCATGTCCCATCCACGATTTAAATACCTCTGTGATCCGTGCGCAGGCATGTAGTTCTACGACAAATCTGCAAAGGATATTTGCAAGATGTATTTGATATTATTTGATATAATGCAAGGAGAATATAGGCAAGATATATGATGTCAAATATATTTTAGGAACATAGATACCATATCAAGATGGGGTTTCCTTTCTAAAGGCCAAAGGAATTGATGGTTCAGCACGGTCAGCAGCTGGGCACGCCTTGAATGGTCTTGTGGGTCTTCATATGTGGTCGCAACTGACAGCCCAACTGCTGGGCTCGGCGCAGCATGCGCTCGCTGTTGCGCTGGATGATGGAGAGGTAACCCACATAGCAAGGCGTCACCAAATCCTCCACAGACCGTGCTGCCTAAGTTCCGGCGGGATAATATGGGATAATATGGGATAATCCTCCACATATGTGGAGGATTATCCCATATTATCCCATATTATCCCGTACTAATGTTGGTTGGCTGAACAACTGAACTGATGTGGTTTTTGGGCTGTTGTTTCTACAGAAAGGCGGGTCGGAGTTCGCCAACTGGGCGGTCAATTTTTTAGGCCCCTCCATATACAGAGCGCATTTGGTGTCACACCCGGACCCTGCACCATTAAGATGTCAACTGGGAATGAATTAAGAGGTCTCTATCCATCCATATCAGACTATCAGATCTTCCATAAACCTTATGTATTGAAGCTAATGGTGTTACAAACTCACAAATGGCAGATCTGATCATTTTTTGGGTCCACTCTGCGACAACTCTGCGACCCACAGTGCTCTGAGGATTGATCGGAAACACCCAAGGAATGCCACATTACAAACCACTTACTCTCTGGTAATGGAACATAGTTATTAAAAATAGCAATTTGTAGTTAATATACCTATGAAACATGGTGATTTTCCATAGCCGTGTTAGTTTACTGGAGGGTAACGAACTTGCCGGAATATCTCCGTACACTTAGGCAGATTCCTGGGCAATTAGCTATAGGATCCTGAACCACGCTGCAGCAAAGATGCTTGAGAGTCAGCAACGCCTGTGGCTTGTACCAATCGGTGGCATGCAGCACCAGATCACACAAAGTGCTCACAAACATGGGTATTCAATCTTTTAAACATGTACTTTGACCCATTACTGTAGATCATTTTTTATCTCTATACCTGAAGAGGCATGGCATACCTGTACCATCTGGCAGTACGGGCCTACAAGACTCTCGCGTTTACAAAAATACGTTCTTATCCCGAGGCTAGTTTCCTCCGCCATCCCGGGACCACAACTGGTACAGTAAAGGTTGGGATTTCATTGATAAAGTAGACAACAACCTGGCCGTGTTGATCATCTTCGAATCTCAGGAATGCCAAATGCAAAACGGCCTGTAGTTCCAACCAACGCCAAAGGCATGTTGCATCACTATTTCAAAATTGGAGGCTCTGGTTGTACGTAATTTCATCCTGGAACCATGGTCTATATGTCTTCAACATGAAACACACTTATGTTTGGGTGCTTGGGTGCTTTGGTCTGTACCCATTACAATATTAAATATATAAATAATCACACACCTCCCACGGTATCTGCAAGAAATGTTTGAACTCAATCAACTATTTCAAAGACATTCAAAGCATCTAATGATTTTAGCGCTTTCAGCGCTGAAACTTGGCACCTTCCAATCCTTCCACCTTTCTTCGCTTTGACGATGGCGATGATGGCTCCATGGCCACATCAGTGCAGTAAGTGTGTTGTGTTTTTTGGGCTATCGACCACCAACTAAGAAATGTATCCTATTGTGAACATCTGAAGAAAAAATGTTTAACTATAGCCAATATATCAATATTCCATTTCTTGGTTTTGCCAATGGCCAACTAGCATAGTCGTTGACTTGGGATCATGCTGTCAGCAAAGATTTGGCCAAAGCTGCAGTGACAGGCTACCGAGACCCCAGCGTACACCGCTGATTACGAAAAATTGGGCAAATGAAGATGCAAAACACAGCATTTATCTATAGGTTGTAGCAACCTGACAGTTGTTCGAAAAGGTCCACAGTAGTGGATAGTAGTGGTAAAGAAGGGTAGCAGGTAGCAGGAATCAGTGGAGGCCCCATATCCCAGTTGCAGCAATCAGGTGTCTTGCATTCTTTTCTACCACTTGATCAGTCTTAATCAACTATGGCCATCACCTCGCGTCATGGCACAACTGCTCAATGACGTTTCCATCTGCTTCGCAGAGGGCTTTTTAGGGCCAGCCGAATCTCGGCACCGGTGTGACTGACCCACAGGCGCCAGCTTCGGTGAAGTCAGAAGTGTCAGGTGGAATATGTGGAAATACATGTGCAATATTGACACAAACGCAACTACGGAAGATACAACTCAATCCCCAAGCAAAAATCCATGGATCTACAAAAGTTACAAAGATTCACCGGCTCCACCAAAAATCATCAGCACGATCATCATTCGTTCTATGCCAAACACCTCTGACTCTTGGAGCTGAGTTCGGCAAAAATCACAGTGGTTTGGCTGGCAATGTTCATATTGCAACGCTTTGGAGCATCAGAATATTATGTTTTTTTTTTGTTCAAACCGGAAAAAATTGCTTAAGCAAGCAAGCAATTCTGGCTTAAGCCCCTAAAGTTTCGACCAGCTTCCATCATCAATCCATTCATCATAACTATCCAGTGTTGCAACAGACACTGATATCAATTTTTGACGATATCATTTAGCAGGTTTTGCAGCACAACAGTTGGAAAATCTTGGGACCTGATGTCATAATTGAAATATCCAATGAACCGGTAAACATCCACGAAGATTTCTTGCCAAGCCAGCAAACTACATTTTGACTTTTAAACCATTGATTTCTGGCCGGCAGCTCACTTAGAATACTTAGATTTGAATGATATCGTTAGCGTCCATATCCCACTCATACTTGTCGAAAGCACAACAGAAAGAAACAACTTTAGAATATCACTGGGGCAGGTACTGTAATACCCCCTTGGGGTAGCTGAGATACTGTCTCCCATCATTCCCCATTTCAATGCAGAATCTGCAAGGTTATCACCGCTATCATAGGCTATCACCCAACAAATTCTGCTAACCAACCAGAGGAGATTCTGAAGAGAAAGGACTCAGCTCTTGTTCTCGTCCGCTTCATTGGACGACAAAACTGCTTCATTGAGAACGGGGTCCGCCTGCGAACCGGGGCCTGACCTGCCGGAAAAAAAAACAATGGGTTGATATCGGTCAATATCCACCAGCCATGAAGATAGCTTCCAAGAACTATACTTGGATAACCGATATATAAACCCATATATAACCCATATTAATGTTAATGGATGTTAATGGATTCCACCACAAGCCATGGTTCCGATCAATAAAAAAAAAAATAGGCTCGTTCCACGGACCCCTAAATAAATCACCAATTGCTGGGATGATCCCAGAATTTGAAGACTATAGTTAGTATAAATACCTTACAATCCCCCAAAAAGGTGGATGTATACAATATAAATATTATATATATCATATATGCATATATATATATTATGTACATACAAACATAGATACATAAATAATATACATTTGTACCAGTACATACATACATACATACATGCATGCATACATACATACATACATACATACATTACATACATTACATTACATTACATTACATTACATTGCATTACATTACATTACATTACATTACATTACATACATAAATACATACATACATACATAACATACATACATTACATACATACATACATACATACATACATAGCTACATACATACATACATACCTACATACATACATACCTACCTACATACATACATACATTACATTACATTACATTACATTACATTACATTACATTACATTACATTACATTACATTACATTACATTACATTACATTACATTACATTACATACATACATACATACATACATAATATCGTCTATACGCATGAAATGATACAATTATCAAACTTGTACAAGACGTACTTAAATAAGTACGTGTACACACCGGATATCATCCAGCTACCATCCCATCTTCAAGCTTCACCACCATCACCACCAGTGCCTTGTATCCATCAGAAGGTTTCAAGAAATCTTCCAGAGTCACCTTAATGCCGAGAAAGGCGTCGTGGAAGGGTTTGGATTTCCCATGAACATTGTATGAATACATATGGTTCATCGGTGAAGAACCATGGAGATGTCATCCAATATAGTTCACATGTTTTGGAATTAATAGCCGCCCATACTGTGAAAGAAATCCTAAACCAGTTGGTATAGATGGTTTATCCCCATATAATCCCGTTATTTACATTGTTTCATAGCTACCAAACTGGTTACCTGCAGGATGTTACGCAACCATCCACCGTTGCCGCGCGTTGCCACGGCACCAGGCTCACCGCCGGCTCGCCCGGCGCCGCCGAGGCCGCGAGCACCGAGACGTCTTCGTCGGGCTGGACGCCCGAAATGGACACGGCGCCGTCGGCGCTGACCTGCCGTGGGGATCTCTGGTGGATCCCGTGGGCTTCAAAATTGAATTTCCATTTACAGAATGTATTTTAGATATTTTTAGATGTGTTAACTAACATGTTTCACAAACTAGAATTTTTTGATGAAATCAGCACCAGGATGATGCAAACTATCACAATGTCATTGTGAAAAAGAGGTCTCAGCACTGTGATATGTGCTGAAACACTGGGATTCAGCCAGAGACAAGTAGCGCCCCGTGGTATGGAAATCTAGTACTGGTATAACATATTAACCATTAGTATACCAGCATACCATAATAGCAATTAAGGCTGGTTGTTGGATCAGAGATCATAAGTGTCATTAAAACCCTTCAATGCAAGATTGAATCTGAAGTAACGACATCCACAGGCAAACTGTGCATAATCATGAGGGGCCAATTTTCTGCAATGTTCTCAGCACCAAAGGAACCCCAGCGAAATATCATAGAAATCGACAGTGAGGCAAGCAAGAAGAACAAAAGCACTTGGGCATCGCGCACGAAGAAGAGGCATTCCCATGCCTCACAAATTCGGTATCTCATCCCCAAAAAGTAATCTATCACATACAACAAGTTAAGTGCGATTATTATGCTGTACTAGGGGGTTGTTAATACATCATACTATATCTATCTATTATATATATACACTTATATATGTTTTCTATCTTTTGGGAGTTTCCCACATTCCTAAGCAGTGAACCCAATCCTCATTTTATGACCCAACAGTTACGCAGCACACCTCAGCACGGGCCACACAGAAGCCCTTCTCATTGATGAAGAGTCCCTCTCTGGGCCGGCCGTTCTTGAACCTGGAAGCCAAACACGATCCATAGAGAATGTCCATGATGGTTTAATCCATGATATGCACAGAGATTTATATTATTTTTATTCGTGGATATTTAGGTTCAATATATTATATATGATGGTTTAATGCATGATATTATATATATATATATATAATTATATATGCATTATGCATGTGTATATATATATATATATGTATATTTAGCATCTAGTCATTTATTGTAATTCAAGAACCTGTGCTGTGCTTCTTGCATATATTTAAAGCTAGGGTACAAGTATAGTACGTATATCAAGAGAAAGGAAATGAAGGGAAAGGTCTTGGGCCATAGAACTTCCATGGAAGAAACCAAGCTCAGCAGTTTTCAACAGAATCCCCAACCATCGTAGGCCCGGGCACCTTCCAATGAAGGCTTCAAAGTTGGTACTTTTCCAAAACAGTCGCCCTGGCAATGACGACATGCACGGTGAATTTTCAAACACAACCGGCCAAAAGATGGGGAACCTTCACAACCACAACTTACAGCTATAAATCAGCAACAAATTTGGGTTCTATGTTAACTGAGTCTTGAAAGTGGGTACAAATGAGCAGACTTAGCCCCACTAAAAAAGACAGGTAGAGACTGGCAGCGGGCCAAGTTTTGGTGTGGCTGGAGAAGTCCAACAGACCGTGGGAATCTCCGTTGTGGTTGTGCAATTGACATGGATTTAATATATAAAGAAAGGATGCTAAATGCTAAATCCCAATAAGAAATATCTTTAGATTAAGTCAATATATACTAAATCATGCTAAATATATTTAAGTCAACACCTATTCCCAATGACAATATAACCATGTGATTTGGTTGTTGACTTGCAACATGACAACATGCTTCGTGTCTTTTTCCATCAGAAAACACATCAAAAATTTTGTCAATCTCGCGGTCGTCACCTTGGCCATGGGGGACATCCCCCATGTAGTCGCCAATGTACACCGGCGCATCATCTGCGTCCAGCAGGGTATCTTCATAGGCCTTGGGTCGTCGCACCAAGGGAGTCGCAAGTTATGTGGTAGTCAAAGGTTGGACCAACAAAGGTTTTTTCTACACGAACAAAATGTGGGATAAGCAGCAAACCATCACAATTCAAAAACGACTGAAGGTGGTGATTAAGACCATTTAAACCAATTAAACAGCAGCTTCTCTCTTACAGTAGGATGGTTTTTAAAATTGCGGTTCATTCCAAGATCTTGCCAACCTGTTCCAACCTGTTCTGATTCTATGGCTTGACATTTGCCAGCACCTCGCCATTTTCCTTGAAGCATATAGCTAATTAAAAAACAAGATGCAGCCCACGAACCCGAATGCTCACACGTATAACAGATGTCAAAACACATGGATATGCAATCACGCAGAACACTTTTCTGCAATAGTTTATTTGAACAGTCTTGAACATATTTCCCCTGTTACCAGTCTGCAGTGTGGAGTGTGGAGTGTAGCGTGTGGAGTGTAAAGTGTAGAGTGTGGAGTGTAAAGTGTGGAGTGTGGAGTGTAAAGTGTAGAGTGTGGGGTGGAAAGTGTAGAGTGCGGAGTGTGGAGTGTGGAGTGTAAAGTGAGGAGTGCGGAGTGTAAAGCGTGGAGTGTGGAGTGAGGAGTGTAAAGTGTAAAGTGTGGAGTGTGGAGTGTAGAGTGTGGAGTGTGGAGTGGAAAGTGGAAAGTGTAGAGTGTGGAGTGTAAAGTGAGGAGTGTGGAGTGTGGAGTGTAAAGTGTGGAGTGTGGAGTTTGTAAATTGTAGAGTGTGGGGTGTGGAGTGTAGAGTGTAAACTGTAGAGTGTAAAGTGTAGAGTGTGGAGTGCGGAGTGTAAAGTGTAGAAAGTCGAGTGTGGAGTGAGGAGTGTAAAGTGTAAATTGTGGAGTGTGGAGTGTAAAGTGTAGAGTGTGGAGTGTGGAGCGTGGAGTGGAAAGTGTAGAGTGTGGAGTGTGGAGTGTAGAGTGTGGAGTGTGGAGTGTAAAGTGTGGAGTAAGGAGTGTGGAGTGTGTAAAGTGTAGATTGTGGAGCGTGGAGTGTAGAGTGTAAAGTGTAGAGTGTGGAGTGTAGAGTGTAAGTGTAGAGTGTGGAGTGTGGAGTGTAAAGTGTAAAGTGTGGAGTGTGGAGTGCGGAGTGCGGAGTGTAAAGTGTGGAGTCTGGAGTCTAAAGTGCAAACTGTGGAGTGTGGAATGTGGAGTGTAAAGTGTGGAGTGTGGAGTGTGGAGTGGAAAGTGTGGAGTGCGGAGTGTAGAGTGAGAAGTGTGGAGTGTGGAGTGTAAAGTGAGGAGTGTGGAGTGTAAAGTGAGGAGTGTGGAGTGTAAAGTGTGGAGTGAGGAGTGTAAAGTGTAAAGTCTGGAGTGTAAAATGTCAAGTGTGGAGTGTAGAGTGTAGAGTGTAAAGTGTAGAGAGTAAAGTGTAGAGTGAGGAGTGTGGAGTGTAAAGTGTGGAGTGTGGAGCGTAAAGTCTCGAGTGAGGAGTGAGGAGTGTAAAGTGCAAAGTGCAAAGTGTGGAGTGTAAAGTGTAGAGTGTGGAGTGTGGACTAAAGTGTAAATTGTGGAGTGCGGAGTGTAAAGTGTAGAGTGTGGAGTGCGGAGCTTCCCCCATAGACACGGCGACGCCACAGGAAAACCAGAGACTCGAGACGAGACACGTGGGTGCAGAAAAACGAGCATTTCGCGCGGACTTCCTCCAATTTTGACAATTTCGACGCGTTATCAAACAGGTTGGAATGTCACAAAATGCCACGCCTGCCACGCAAAACGCCATGACAACCTGCGTGGAAACCTTCGAAAAGGAGAGCCACAGGAAACCAGAGACTCGAGACGAGACGCGTGGGAGCACCAAAACGAGCATTTCGTGCGAGACTTCCTCCAATTTTGACACGTTGCAGCCTCAGAATCGACGTTTTCCTACGAGTTTTCTTAGGAACCTCTAAATTTGCCACCTCAAAATCGATGTTTCGTGCGAGGCTTCCGTCAATTTTCAGCACATCTCACAAACTGCCACGTCTGCCACAGAATTTGCACCTTGTCGCCACTTGACGCAGCCCTGCCAATGCGATTCGCAAAAAACACGCAGCACCACACGTCTAAAGTGCTGCGCCTGCCACGCAAAATGACGCTGGACACGTCCAAAGTGCTGCGCCTGCCACGAAAACTGCAACGCATCTTCTGAAAACGTCGCAAAAGTATTGCGCCTGCCACACAAAACGACTTTCGACACGTTACAAAACACGTCTGAATGTCACGAAGTGCCACGCCTGCCCCGCGAAACGAAGCAACGAGAAGTTTGAAACCTCCAAAAATGACCACCTCTGCAGAACTTACCATAGGCACGGCCATATAGCAATCGCGCGGACGGTTGCGGACGGTTGCGGACGGTTGTGGACGGTTGCGGACGGTTGCGGCCACAAACGCAACGTCGAGCGAGCTCAACCCCCAGACCCCCAGAGTGAAACGGGAACCCTTGCTACCCATTCGGGAAAAACAAGACATGTCATGGTTGATCAGCGGCCCTCAGAAATATTCAACGTCTTCTGGGGCATCGGCTTTTCCCTCACGAATCGTTGCTGCCTCGGGGAGCGATGAGATGAGAAATTCGCAGGACCAGGTGTTGCTGAATCACAGTGATATTGTTTATGTATGTTTATATCGATCAGAAAGCCGACTTCAATTCTTGACAAGGCACCACCTATGACTAGTCTATATCTTAAAAAAAAAACTGTGGCTTTCCGTTTTGGATCGTTTGACTTGCGGCATCAGGGGCTTCACAAAGTCTCTTGCATCCGAATTTTGCCATTGAGTAAATTGAGTTGTCTTGAAATCTCCAGCTTCAGGTGTGCACTTTCTCACCCCAATGGAATCTTCAACCTATTCAGATATCTACAATTTTGTTCTAATTATGTACAACATTGCCAACGTGGGAGATCGGAATATCCCAAAATTGCAATCTGAATGGTAAACACAAAGGTAATCATTGAATCTGTTGAAATTGAGGGTGCCCTATTTTGAGATATAGCTAACTGCATTACTACCAAATAGATCATCTACCTACTGCAGAATCTACTTGTTTGTTGGTCAAGCCCCTAGTGTTTTGGTCGTAATCCTCATTCTGCATGTATAATAATCAATTATCACTTAAGTTGGACATCTATTAGCAATGATTTTGCAGTACTTTCAATTGCATTTACATTGTTCATCTCCATCCATGAAATCAGGTTAAAAAAACATCAATGGAACAACCATATCAATCCAATCCAAAGACATGGCTTGAAAATCTCAAAAAAATCTATATCATGCCATCCGTATATAAATCATGATCAATCCATAGCAACTCCATATCTCCGTGTGCCCGATGCGCCACGGTGCTGTGCGGTTGAAGATCACCCGCTTGTTGGCCTCCTGCGCTCCGATGGCTCCAAAGCGTCCCGCACCCAGGCAGCTGTGACCACCCAGGGTGTCCTGGAAAAGTCGGGGTGACAATGGGGAATCTAAAGGAAGGATGGGGAGAATACATGGGAAAATGGGGGAGAATAAGAGAAACATGATGGTTTTGTGGTGAACAATGATAGTTTTATGGTGAAAAAATGTGGTTTTATGGTGAAAGAATGTGGTTTTAAGATAAAAAACAATGTTTACATTCATCTACAATGAAGAAACACCTTGGGACAAACAAAACGGTTTGTTTGGGAAGTAAGTGGACAGAAAATGGTGGATGATGCAGCTAAAGTTTGTATTGAGAAATATCTCTGAACCTGAATATATATAATCCAGTTGACAGTTGGAGTTCTTGGAAAATGGATGGAGAGAACCCAGAAAAACACAACACATTAGCAATCTTGGGACCATGATTTCGAATTAAAGCTAATTTTCTGTGTCTTACAGGAGTTTTCAGCAGGGGCAGGTGGTGCAAAAAACATTGTTATTGGACTGCTTTGGCTTCTTGTTGTTGCCAGAGTCTCATACACACCCTTTCCATGGTGGTTTGCAAACAGCACCCTTTGTCAAAATCAGCGTACCCTTCAAACACATTCAAACCACAGAAAAAGGTGATGCGAGGAAGTACAAGAAACCCTGTAAACAATGTGGGGAGCGGTGCGTCAAAACTTGTGTTCCACAGGTTTCTTGCCTGGTCGCCCTGCATTTCCTCAGCTGTCAGCAACACTGAAATGGAACAACTGAAGTTAGTGGATCACATCCACTATTACAACCCCACTGAAATCACTATGTGAGCCATCTAATGAGATAAAACCAAAAGCATAAACCAATGTAAGCCATCCCCAGAGGCTTTGCAGAAGTGGATTTGAACCATCCCAGCTTGATGATTTTGGTGTACCCCGAAAAAAGTGATGATTTACTAAATATGGTACTCCAATCAAACAACGCAGGTCTACTCCGGTGTTGACATCATCCGATTAGTATCTCATTACTAAAGTAACAGTAAATAATCACCACATTCTCATCGCAATTATTTTTCCAGCATTATCCCAGTATGCACAAAAGGATCCCAGTGTATCATAATACATCCGCATATCATATTATATATGCATATTATAAATCCATCATGTAATGTATCCATATCATGATGTTGTCCCAGTAATGTATATATATATATATATCCCCTAAAAGAAAAACGATCATATTATACCTCATATTATGATATACTGGAATAGATGCATATGATATCAACCAATCACAATACGTCCATATGATTATGTTCTCGCAGAATTACATCCCATATCCATCACATTATGACATACTGGGACACGAATGATTAACCAATGGGTTTAGAGGTACCCGATTTTCAGACCATAATCCAAAATCAAATCCATAATCATATCCATCATCATATCTATAATCAAATCCATAATCATATCCATCATCAAATCCATAATCAAATCCATAATCATATCCACAATCATATCCATAATCAAATCCATAATCAAAAATCCATCATCATATCCATAATCATATCCATAAACATATCTATCATCAAATCCATAATCACATCCATAATCATATCCATAATCATATCCATCATCAAATCCATAATCATATCCATCATCAAATCCATAATCAAATCCATAATCAAAAAACCCATAACCATATCCATAATCAAATCCATAATTATATCCATAATCATATCCATCATCAAATCCATAATCAAATCCATAATCATATCCACAATCAAATCCATAATCATATCCACAATCAAAAATCCATCATCATATCCATAATCATATCCATAATCATATCCATAATCAAATCCATCATCAAATCCATAATCATATCCATAATCATACCCATCATCAAATCCATAATCATATCCATATTCATTTCCATAATCAAATCCATAATCATACCCATCATCAAATCCATAATCAAATCCATAATTATATCCATCATCAAATCCATAATCATATCCATAATCAAAAAACCCATAACCATATCCATAATCAAATCCATAATTATATCCATAATCATATCCATCATCAAATCCACAATCATATCCATAATTAAATCCATAATCATATCCATCATCAAATCCATAATCAAATCCATAATCATATCCACAATCATATCCATAATCAAATCCATAATCAAAAATCCATCATCAAATCCATAATCATATCCACAATCAAAAATCCATCATCATATCCATAATCATATCCATAAACATATCCATAATCATATCCATCATCAAATCCATAATCATATCCATCATCAAATCCATCATCATATCCACAATCATATCCATAATCATATCCATAATCAAAAATCCATCATCATATCCATAATCATATCCATAAACATATCCATAATCATATCCATAATCATATCCATAATCATATCCATCATCAAATCCATCATCATATCCACAATCATATCCATAATCATACCCATCATCAAACGCACAACATATCCATAATCAAATCCATAAACAAATCCATAATCATATCCATCATCAAATCCATCATCATATCCACAATCATATCCATAATCATACCCATCATCAAACCCATAACCATATCCATAATCAAATCCATAATCATATCCATAATCAAATCCATAATCATATCCATAAACAATTCCATAATCAGATCCATAATCATATCCATAATCATACCCATCATCAAATCCATAATTATATCCATAATCATACCCATCATCAAATCCATAATCATATCCATAATCAAATCCATAATCATATCCACAATCAAATCCATCATCAAATCCATAATCATATCCATAATCATACCCATCATCAAATCCATAATCATATCCATATTCATTTCCATAATCAAATCCATAATCAAAAAACCCATAACCATATCCATAATCAAATCCATAATTATATCCATAATCATATCCATCATCAAATCCATAATCAAATCCATAATCATATCCACAATCAAATCCATAATCATATCCACAATCAAAAATCCATCATCATATCCATAATCATATCCATAATCATATCCATAATCAAATCCATCATCAAATCCATAATCATATCCATAATCATACCCATCATCAAATCCATAATCATATCCATATTCATTTCCATAATCACATCCATCAGACCCAACCAGAAAGCTTGGGCCAAGGCGCTCCTTCGTTCGTGGCCGGAGTCACGGTGGAGGCCATGACGCCCACGCCCAAGGCCGTGCCTCCGGGGATCCCAATGCTTGGAATGGTGGGATGTGACTATAAACAGATGATAATATATGCATAGTTAACCTTAACTATAGGTGGTTAATCATGCTTTATGGATATTGTAACTATAGATGGGGAATAATTGGTAATAAACCATGTTAGATGTATAACATTCAATGACTTCTACTGGTGGAAGTGTGATTCGCCTGACAGATTCACCAGATTCCGGCATGTCGCAATGGCTGTAAGAAACAAAAAATGGGTTCCATCTGCGAGGCCAGGGTGAACTTACCCGTCATGACCCATTTGAATGTTCCGAACTAGTAAAGATGTGATGCCAGTTGATCATAACTCCATTTAATGTGCCTTGTTTCAAATCCATGGTTATTAACAATACTATTGCTCATGATCACGATCCCATTTTTCCTGGCATCGCCACTTTTCGTTCTTTAAATCCCAAGTTGTGTGCTGGAAATTCCAACTTTGCTTTTTGAAATCAGACATAATCCCATATAAATATCATATACCACAATTTTTTCTTCAAACTAAAATCAATTTCCATCACTTGACATCCTTCCCTACCGAAAGAACCCCAAGGGTTGCCGCGCCTGCTGCCGCGCATCTCACTGCGCAACCAGCCCAAATGCCCCAGCCACCCAAGGGGATGGTAACCTGACCCGCCATGGCTGGAGGTTTTCGATTTTTCCATGGAAATTCCAAAGTTTTCCCGTACTTTTCCATGGTTCATTCTAATTTGTCCATTATTAGTTTTCCCATCATATTTCCATGTTTTCTTCCACCATTCCCATGGTTTTCCTATAGTTTGCCATATTTTTACATATTTTTACCATCGTTTTTCCCATATTTTTCCCATAGGCTCAACCCCCAGCCGCCATCTCGCCATCTCTGCGGCTGAGGCGCCAGGAAGGAGGCCGCCGCCACCGCCATAGAGGCGTTCCGCACCGCCTTCTCGTGGCGTTCCGCTTCGATGACCTCGAGAGTGTGACATCCATCTCTGGGAGTGGATAGATGATCCATATATATATATATATATATAAATATGATCTAATAATGGTTAATAGTGATTAATACCTGATTAATAGTGGCTAATAATGGTTACTAGTGATTAATACCTGATTAATAGTGGCTAATAATGGTTAATAGTGATTAATACCTGATTAATAGTGGCTAATAGTGGTTAATAGTGATTAATACCTGATCTAATGAATAATATAGCTGGTTGGTGGTTTCAACCCCTTTAAAACATATTAGTCAATGGGAAGGATTATCCCATATATTATGGAAAAGAAACATGTTCCAAACCACCAACCATATACAACATGTAACCAATGAATATGGTGGACATTTATGTTCAATGGTATTCTGAATATGATGAAATATTGTTGAAGGAATTATCATAAACTCTCCATTTATATGTATAGTCTATATATATATATTTATATTTATATTTATTCGTATTCATCATAACGGAACATATATGATCATATCAAATCGTTAGATATCGTTAGTGGATATATACACATCATCATCAAATAAAGTTCATCCGCATCCGTCATCCGGATCCATGAGTGGATAAAAACCACGGATGATATTAAAGATATAATTATACGGGGTAAACACAACATCTGAATAGTACCATGATGGATGAACAATGTTGGTGGAGAATCACTAGATTCCTCTGCGGGCTATTATAATGGATCATATACAAAATAATTTAGTGGAATAAAAAAAATCTAGTGACTATTCGTTATATCTATCTATATATATCTTGTCATTATCATGATAGTGACTATACTAAAGTGGAATTGTCATAAAATATAGTTATGTTTGGCCATTTGAGAAATGTAATCGTATTGGATTTGTTCAACATGGCCCAAAAACACATATTCCAAGTAGATTCCCCCCAAAGAAGTGAATTTACCAGCGGGAAAACAAGCAATCACCTTCAGCAAATCCACATAATGGTCTTGAGAGTAGAATCTGCTTTTGTTTCAATCATTATTATCTTGCCATTCGTTTGGATGATTATAATCCCGGCTACTGCAAAGATAATATAATGTATGGCTACTATTTAACATGATTGCAGGGCTACTGGGTTAAAATAAATAAAGCTCTTTTGGCTACAACAAGTTTCGATGACCCTAGTTTATAAGGTATGCCCTTCTGATTCAACATATCTTGAAATTATATTAACAATTGGCGGGGGACTTGACGACTCAAAAAACTGGACCAAGGCATTGCCCATAGTTGAATTCAACTGATAGATATCCGACAATATGGTACATTTAGTATAGTTGGATTTGCGCATGATCCTAAGATGTTCCAAAAATCCAATGAAGCCTGCATCTATGGTGGGTCATTTTGAGGACGGTTGGCACCTCAGTGGCTCGCGCCGGATATTCCTTGCCGATGGTCTCCAGCCGATCCTGACAAAATCATACGAAAGCTGGGAATTTGGAGCTTCATCCCTCTCAATTTATTTGGGCACAGATTGGGGGAAAACAATATGAACAGATGATTGAAACCACTGACTAGATCTGATTGCTTGTTGTTTTATGGCAAGTTTATCTGGAAAAGTGGCCGAGTTTGGGTGAAACATGGTGAAGCATGTATATCGGCAACTCAAAATGGTACAATGACATAATATACATTGTCTGGGTAAAAGGAATACGTGGCCAGCCTCCCACCGCCCCACCGAACTTGTTTGGTGTGGACCAATATACAAAGCTTGATTCAATGGATTGGCTTTAATAGGTGTTTATTCCACATATGGGGGTTGCCTGTAGATTTTCCCATCATCCAACTCTGGGGGATTTCTGCTGCTTGGTGGTTGAGATAGCGATTTTGCAGACAAACACTTTGAACTCAACGCCATCTGCAGATTTCCAAGTTCTCTTCTGGCGCTTACAACTGGCCTATTCAGATTATTTATCCAGGGGTTCGCCAAGAATATTCAATGATATTTCATGGAAGATACCCAACTACCGAGCATGGATCCTAACTTCGGGTGTCATCCCAAGGTCTCTGACATGCTGCTGGGGATCCATGAAGATCTCATAGATCTCCTGTGACAAGCAACAGGGGAGAATGTTGGGGAAGCCAACAGTTCTGTTGATCATCTGGACTTGAAGGATGTATTGACGTGTTGAACCCGAAATGTCCAATGCAGCAACATGCAGGACGGAATATGGAGTGGCCCACTGAAATGCTTGATTCAGTTTCACCCTCAAAACTCCAGATATATCTACCATCAACATCCATAAACCGTATTTAGTTAACTCACCAGGTATCTCAGATCATCAAATCTCAGTTGCCGCCGTCCTTACAGAGTTTCAACTTCCGCGACATCTTCAGCTCCTGGATGATACCTGGACCATAGCTGGCGAGTCTAAGAAGACAAAATACCTCACCATCATGAACCGGCTATGAATCTCATGCAATTTACCACATGTTTGTAGGTGAAATCCAGTGAAATCCATTTTTTTTCTGAGTTAAGTCTGTGATGATTTCTGCTCCGAGATGCTATGCAAATCGCCCACCGAGTCGAGCAGTTGCGTGTACTCATGGCCGCCATTCATCTGCTGATCCACTGACACGCAGAAAACCTTTACATCACCTGGACGCAGCGCTTGGTTTCTCAAATGCGGCTGAGGGGTGGAACCTACCAGCGTCCATCTATGGTATGTCTCTATATTGGGTATTAATCTGTGTTACCAAATACCACCTAATCATGTTCATGTTTGGGAATCATACTCAGATAATATATTTGGACATATTTGGACGGTACAGGGTTGATGAGATGAAAAACATCTTTCCAACATATTCCGAAAACAACAAACCATAAAAAAAACATGGACATTGATGGTTCATATCATCTAAATGGAAAGCTGTCATGCATCCTTTCCCTGAAAATGGAGATATCTTCTTCCATGTAAAATGGGTCTGACTGAAAATAGGATACTCCCAACATCCAATTCATAATCATGAATTTGCCCACAGAAAAGGCCATAAATTAGGGTACTCGGACTAACCCAAATGGCCATTGTGCATTTCGCTGCATGCACCGAGCCACTCAGAAAACCGGGGAATAACATCAGACAGTCGCGGTTGGCCAAATATTGCAGCAACTCCCGTTTCAAGTCCTTGGTTGAAAGGAACTGCTTCAAACAAAGTCAAATAGAAAAATCAAACCCTTCACTTCTGAGATGGACTCTGATTTTAATTAACAATATATTAATTAGTCCAGATATATCTAGACTAGATGATACTATATGACACTATCTTTGTGAATGGGCAATTCATGAAAAACATCAAAAAACTGCAGTGAGTTCTCCACCGAGCGTCCAACAGGATCCGATCGCCCTTGGCCACCTTGGCTGGCAGCTCATCCTCCGAATCGTCCTGGCGGACCAGGTCCACCTGCCGGCTGCGGCGCAGTACGGAACTTGAGATAACACTGGAGTCACTGGATAGGAACAATGTTAGGATATAACATGATATAACTATATAACTATATAACTGATATCATGGGAATGTGGAATATGAATGAATATGAGTTACTGTTAGTGACTTAGTGATAAAACACCATGTGGATGAAACAACAACCACGGTATGCTGGACAAATCTGGACAAAGATTTGATACCAACAACTGGGTGTCCACCGAAAACAAAGAATCTCGGGAAATTCGATACCACACCAGCGATCGGTGTGTCACAATTGCTAGTGGGGATTCGATGAGCAAAACTGGACGCAGAGATTGGTTCACATAGATCAAACTACCTGCATCTACCTCAAGTTTTGTTGTTGATACGAAACTTAGAGTTCACCTTCAACATTTATGAGTGTGTGTGTGATCTATGTTTGTTCAAACTATGCGGTTCATGAATCTCATTCTCCCCCCCCAAAAAAAAACCTTTGCTAAACACCAAAAACCCAGATGACCCCAGCATCCGAATCAAAAAACATGGGAACATGTTTCATTCCAAAACATCCAAAACCTGGAGTCTTCATGATTTTCCATCCTTGGATCCGGGGGGCCAGGCGTTCCACCTGCGAGATGACGAAGGTCAAGGCCCCGGGTGTGGTGAAGAGATGCGGAGCTTGGACGGCGATGCGGTCCATCAGCACGGCCAGCGAGTCGGAACGCACCTGGACTCGTGGGAGCGGTAGATAGATACATAGATAGATAGATAGATAGACAGATAGATAGATAGATAGATAGGTAGATAGATAGAAATATATAGTAGATGATGATAATGATGATGATGATGATGATGATGGAGATGAAGATGATGATGATTATTATTATTCCTATATATTTATATATATATATATAGATACTATATAGAAATTTGGGTGAGTGATTGAACAAGCAATATTGGCATTTAACGGGATGGGATTGTTTACCAACAAACAAGGGGTGTGTGTGCAGCAGCACCACCCAGCACCCCCCATTATTTTCCCATGGGTTGTTGGTCAAGGGACCGCGCTATGCTTCACCAGGCAGATAAGTCCGTGACACATCGACAGCAATTGATCGAAGCATTCCTGCGACGGCCCGGTCCCAGGTGCGGTTGGATCTGGTTTGGAACCCATCTGGTAATATGATACCTGGCCCAGGGGACACTAAAGGGCTATTCAGTTATTCAGGGGAGACTTCGTAAGATTTATGTATATCATATGGGTGATATGAGACTTGCGTAGTGGAGATTTACCATCAACACTGGTGATGATATGGGGATTTTTCCCTCCAGTAATCAAACATAGCAATGACCCATCCCACATTTAGCAACCGATGATCTTCACAGCTAACAAACTTCCATTTTGATCATGATTTTCCAACCAACCACGTTTGATTACCAGAGGGTAGATACTATTTCAATCCCAAAACCATTTGGTATGGGGCCACCCGTTTTCTTGAGCACTGAGTGGCCGCACTTTAATTTCTGATGTATAAACTTGCATGTTCTGGTCCCACCTGATTGTGTTTCCGGATTGCGCTCCTCCCACTGTCCGAAGCTGTACCCGAAACTCCAGTCATCCCCAAAGCAACTGGTTGGCCGCAGATGTCAATCCCGTCAATCCCTATTTAACCGCTTCGTAGCAGGGCTCAACCACCAAGGGTGTGGGATTCACTTGCTTTCAAAGAAGCTCCTTTACCACTCATTGGAAGATGCCGACATGCAGGTGGTTATAAAAAACTATTTCTTGATATTCCGATACCCAAAACGTGGGCCTAATGACTTGGATGATTTGGGGTACCCCCAGGACTTAGGAAACCTCCACATCACCGACTTTCCTCAGCCAGTTCGCTCCTTCACCACGGGATTGTCCGTCTCATCCTGCCCAGGCATGTCCACCAAGCGCAGCGATCCATCACAGATGCCCAGATCGTGCAGGCGGCTCTGAGGTCTGCAGGAGATGCGCAGATCTACCACGTTTCGGGAGCCCTGGGCCGGGTATTTGGGGACAGCTGTTGGGTGGTCAAAGCAAATGGATCAAAGGATAACCGACGCAAAGAAAGATGGGTTCGAAGTTGTTTTGCCATTTTTTTAGAAGGATTTTACTTCTCTATTTTCTCGGGAGCGTTCTAACATTAATTCCATGATTTCTAATTGAAGTAAAGCGCCCAGGAATGTGAACCCAAACGTGCAAGGTCAGCTTTTAGCAAAACATATTCACCCACCAATCTCGAACCACTCAACAGCATACCAACTGAAAATAGATAGGACAGGTATGTGAGAGTGAAATTCAATTCTGATGAACACCAAAGGAATCATTGAATCATCACCCACGGAAATTTGAATCTCAACCTTTGTCACCAACAACCATTGTTTCCAATCAACAGCACATACCTCTGCTTTCGCCTTTCCCAGCTGCTTTGCTCCGAATCGAACCAAGTAACACTCTCTCGAATCTCCTGTTCAGCGGGAAACTATAAGAGGAGATGGCCTTTCCGGCTTCAATGGGAAGTGAGGCCATCACGTTCAAAACTTCCCTAATTAATTGTCATCATCATTGTTGCTGTTTGATAGTTTGATGCTGCACTCAAATCTGGACCAGTGTAGGTCTCATCTACATATTGCTACGTATCAAATTACATCAAATTGGTTCTAGACGAGTAAGTGCCATCAATATCAAGCCCTCATGCCTCTTGCTGATCAACCGGAATTTAACTTTAACACTAGCTTGTCAACAGCATCACGTCTCAATGGCAAAACAGGAATATTTTTGGTCAATCAGAATCATTACATATCACATCCATTAAAGGGCATCCTCTCAGCCATCACGGTCCAATTCAGTGCCGTGTCCTACAGCAGAGGCGATGAGCATCAGCTTTTGTGCCCCTTACCCGCTATTTGGGCTACCAGAGGGTCCAGAAAATAACGTCCAGCAAATCTAAAAATTATCAGAACCAGTCACCTTTCCACAACGCCCCCCAAAAATAAAAACAATATCGTCACCACCCATCCATCTTTTCTCCCCTTGCCAATCTCTCCTCCTTGGCCCCGTTTCATAGCAGTCAAACCCACACATTTGATCATTCTCACAAAAATCCAACTTTTTAACCCACTCAACAGCTAACCCACTCAACAGCTCTCAAACCAGTGAAACACTGTCACCTTCCACATGTGTTAAAATTTGAACCAGTTAAACACACTTAAGATCTACATGTTTGCTGTGAAAAAGACAAGTCCAACAGTTCACAGCACTTTGCAAGTGAGGAAGGTTACAACAACTCTAATTTCCATTTATCATTAGTCACTCCTTAAATCCAATATCACATATCCAACCTGTTTCTTTTCCCTCAACTCTCGACCATCGTCCAGCAACCTCTCCTCGTTCAAGGTTTTGATGCGACTGATCACCTCCTTGCGTCCTGTCACCATTTCGACAGCGTCCTTCCAATGAAGGCAAGCTCGGGGTCCCCGGAGTCCACCAGGCGGACGCTGGTGATGGCCGAGGTACAGGACTTGTAACCTGCGGATCCAACGGGGGTCCAACGGATCCAAGGACCACCCGGAAAAGTTAAGGAAAACCATGGGGATTCTGAAATGACAACGCGAGATTGAAGACACGACCTATGGATCTGGATTGAAAAGGGCTTTTAGCACCTATTAATACTTGTTGTTTGACATTTTGTAGATAGCAGTCGCTGGTACTGCGAGCACAAGACTGACTAGTGGTTGGAAACACCCAATTTCAGTTCCAGCGGGCTATTGCTGAGATGGGTAGGGACTGGGTGTAGGTTGCTAATTCACTTAAGCTACAACTGGTGAGTTTTAAGCTTTTGCGGGTTTGGCCAATTGGAAACCCACGGGCAACCACACGCAGTTCCCGTACGTTCCGATATCTTTCACAGGGGCATGGAGCGCCCATGATTTTGCCCAGTTGCTAGTGGGCAACAAACGTTGCCCAAGCAAGGCATTGAGCAAGGTGGATTTTCCTGTCACCACACTCCCCGGAGTACCCAGCTGTAGAAATATTTTGAGCGTTTAATAAACAGGATTTAAAAAGGCCCAAAGATAAAGCAGCAAAAATATAAAATATGAGCAAGCCCTTCAAATGCTCATTTTCCTAAACATAGAATGGTTAGTTTTGATCCCGTTTGTGTGTTTTGTGGCTCACAATGTGAAGTCATTCCTTCATCCAATCTGTTTCTATGGCAATGGATCTTTCTGAATCTGCCATCTGATGCTTTCAATGTCACCAGACCGATGACCTGACGACGAGGTCATTAGGACAAAAATATCATGAGAAACCGCGCTGCTTGCAGCAGCTTGCAGTAGGCCTATAGAAGTTGTTGGACTATTACTCAAATGTCAACATCAAGCATACCAAATACGTTGAAGCGAATAGGTCGGAGTCCAACCATTTGAGCTTCAAAAACCGGCCCTGAAGGCAGTGATTTCCATGAAGCCTGGCACAGAAATTCCCTTCGGCATCTCCTGTGCTGGAGTCTCCGATGATTCCAATCATGGCTGAGATGCCTCGACGAGCCTCGACGAGCCTCGACGAGCTGCGCCAATGCACTTGCTTGGATGATATGATCGCACTGATTATTTAAAGAATGTCAGAGACCGAATATGAACTAAAACTTCAAGGTTTCAACCTGTTCCAATTGCGGGCGGTTGGACTCTGAAACTTTCTGCGCCAAGATGGTCGCTGGACTCTCTTCTCGCTCGTAAATCGATGAAGTGAACTGCCAACATAGAGCCAAATGCTGTGGAAACGTGGTTTCGCCACAACGCTGCGACTCCTTTTTTGACTGTCCAAACTTACTGTGCTGATATAAGCTTGCTAGCCACAGTTCACCCCAAGCACTGGCAAACACATTTCAGTGTTGCATGTGTTGACAATGAATCTTGGCTGAGTCTTTTGCAGTTCAGACAAGCATACACTGAACATGGGACCCACTGCAAGAAGGACATGTCAGCATGGAAAACATGCCCATGCCTGACCCCATCTGTTCCCTCAAAAACGCTATTTCTGCCCCAATTCGCACAATCCTCTGCTCTGTGAGGGACAACAGATCGAACCGATGTAAACCATGTAAAGAGACTAAAAAACCTACATATCATGGCCGCTGCCACTCTCTACTCCGGTCTTCTCATGGGTTGAAGAAGCCGCTGATGTTGGCAAACAAGGATGCGATCCCAAGCACGGTGATGCCAATGATGTAGGTGTCGGGACTCATGTCGCCAAGGGCACCCTCACCGCCGCCCCGCGCCTCCATCTGCACGGACGGTGCCCGCAAAGACTGCTTCAGTGGAGTGCTTCCTGTAGCAGGACTTGGAGTGGTGCCCACAAAGCAAAGCATTGCCGAGCAGGCAAGGGCCAAGAGCACGCAAGCAAGCACACGTGAGGCGGAGCGAGCCATGTTGCAAGTTTTGCCACACAGAGAGCTGCACAGGAGTGGCCTTAAAAGAGCTCAAGCCGAAGCCAAAATGATCACGGAGTCCGACGTGAATACAAACCCGAGAGCAACACACTGACGCTCATGTATGTTTTGAACTGGGAATTCTCATGCAAACATCCAGGTACCTCACATCCTGTGGTGCACGCATGTGATCAAACCCAACAAATAATGTCTTTTGCTGCCCAAATATAGGATTCCTTTGGCTGAGTCTGCTGCAGTTCAAACAAACATACACTGAACCCGGGACCCACTGCAAGAAGGACATGTCAGCATGGAAAACATGCCCATGCCTGTCCCCATCTGTTCCCTCAAAGACGCTATTTCTGCCCAATTCGCACAATCCTCTGCTCTGTGAGGGACAACAGATCGAACCGATGTAAACACTGTAAAGGGACTAAAAAACCTACATATCATGGCCGCTGCCACTCTCTACTCCGGTCTTCTCATGGATTGAAGAAGCCGCTGATGTTGGCAAACAAGGATGCGATCCCAAGCACGGTGATGCCAATGATGTAGGTGTCGGGACTCATGTCGCCAAGGGCACCCTCACCGCCGCCCCGCGCCTCCATCTGCACGGACGGTGCCCGCAAAGACTGCTTCAGCGGAGTGCTTCCTGCAGCAGGACTTGGAGTGGTGCCCACAAAGCAAAGCATTGCCGAGCAGGCAAGGGCCAAGAGCACGCAAGCAAGCACACGTGAGGCGGAGCGAGCCATGTTGCAAGTTTTGCCACACAGAGAGCTGCACAGGAGTGGCCTTAAAAGAGCTCAAGCCGAAGCCAAAATGATCACGGAGTCCGACGTGAATACAAACTCGAGAGCAACACACTGACGCTCATGTATGTTTTGAACTGGGAATTCTCATGCAAACATCCAGGTATCTCACATCCTGTGGTGCTCGCATGTGATCAAAGCGACAAATAATGTCTTTTGCTGCCCAAATATAGGATTCCTTTGGCTGAGTCTGCTGCAGTTCAAACAAACATACACTGAACCCGGGACCCACTGCAAGAAGGACATGTCCGCATGGAAAACATGCCCATGCCTGTCCCCATCTGTTCCCTCAAAGACGCTATTTCTGCCCCAATTCGCACAATCCTCTGCTCTGTGAGGGACAACAGATCGAACCGATGTAAACACTGTAAAGGGACTAAAAAACCTACATATCATGGCCGCTGCCACTCTCTACTCCGGTCTTCTCATGGGTTGAAGAAGCCGCTGATGTTGGCAAACAAGGATGCGATCCCAAGCACGGTGATGCCAATGATGTAGGTGTCGGGACTCATGTCGCCAAGGGCACCCTCACCGCCGCCCCGCGCCTCCATCTGCACGGACGGTGCCCGCAAAGACTGCTTCAGCGGAGTGCTTCCTGCAGCAGGACTTGGAGTGGTGCCCACAAAGCAAAGCATTGCCGAGCAGGCAAGGGCCAAGAGCACGCAAGCAAGCACACGTGAGGCGGAGCGAGCCATGTTGCAAGTTTTGCCACACAGAGAGCTGCACAGGAGTGGCCTTAAAAGAGCTCAAGCCGAAGCCAAAATGATCACGGAGTCCGACGTGAATACAAACCCGAAGAGCAACACACTGACACTCATGTATGTTTTGAACTGGGAATTCTCATGCAAACATCCAGGTATCTCACATCCTGTGGTGCTCGCATGTGATCAAAGCCACAAATAATGTCTTTTGCTGCCCAAATATAGGATTCCTTTGGCTGAGTCTGCTGCAGTTCAAACAAACATACACTGAACCCGGGACCCACTGCAAGAAGGACATGTCCGCATGGAAAACATGCCCATGCCTGTCCCCATCTGTTCCCTCAAAGACGCTATTTCTGCCCCAATTCGCACAATCCTCTGCTCTGTGAGGGACAACAGATCGAACCGATGTAAACACTGTAAAGGGACTAAAAAACCTACATATCATGGCCGCTGCCACTCTCTACTCCGGTCTTCTCATGGGTTGAAGAAGCCGCTGATGTTGGCAAACAAGGATGCGATCCCAAGCACGGTGATGCCAATGATGTAGGTGTCGGGACTCATGTCGCCAAGGGCACCCTCACCGCCGCCCCGCGCCTCCATCTGCACGGACGGTGCCCGCAAAGACTGCTTCAGCGGAGTGCTTCCTGCAGCAGGACTTGGAGTGGTGCCCACAAAGCAAAGCATTGCCGAGCAGGCAAGGGCCAAGAGCACGCAAGCAAGCACACGTGAGGCGGAGCGAGCCATGTTGCAAGTTTTGCCACACAGAGAGCTGCACAGGAGTGGCCTTAAAAGAGCTCAAGCCGAAGCCAAAATGATCACGGAGTCCGACGTGAATACAAACCCGAGAGCAACACACTGACGCTCATGTATGTTTTGAACTGGGAATTCTCATGCAAACATCCAGGTATCTCACATCCTGTGGTGCTCGCATGTGATCAAACCCAACAAATAATGTCTTTTGCTGCCCAAATATAGGATTCCTTTGGCTGAGTCTGCTGCAGTTCAAACAAACATACACTGAACCCGGGACCCACTGCAAGAAGGACATGTCAGCATGGAAAACATGCCCATGCCTGTCCCCATCTGTTCCCTCAAAGACGCTATTTCTGCTCCAATTCGCACAATCCTCTGCTCTGTGAGGGACAACAGATCGAACCGATGTAAACACTGTAAAGGGACTAAAAAACCTACATATCATGGCCGCTGCCACTCTCTACTCCGGTCTTCTCATGGGTTGAAGAAGCCGCTGATGTTGGCAAACAAGGATGCGATCCCAAGCACGGTGATGCCAATGATGTAGGTGTCGGGACTCATGTCGCCAAGGGCACCCTCACCGCCGCCCCGCGCCTCCATCTGCACGGACGGTGCCCGCAAAGACTGCTTCAGCGGAGTGCTTCCTGCAGCAGGACTTGGAGTGGTGCCCACAAAGCAAAGCATTGCCGAGCAGGCAAGGGCCAAGAGCACGCAAGCAAGCACACGTGACGCGGAGCGAGCCATGTTGCAAGTTTTGCCACACAGAGAGCTGCACAGGAGTGGCCTTAAACGAGCTCAAGCCGAAGCCAAAATGATCACGGAGTCCGACGTGAATACAAACCCGAGAGCAACACACTGACGCTCATGTATGTTTTGAACTGGGAATTCTCAGGCAAACATCCAGGTATCTCACATCCTGTGGTGCTCATCTTTTTGCATGCGGATTCTCCCAGGTCGCCGCGGCACAAGAAGCAGGCAGCCATCACGGCATCGCCATGTCCTGGCGCGTATTGTATGTGGTGTGCTGTGGCACCTTGGGGCTTTGGGCTGGGCAAAAGGTATGATTTTTTTGGAAACAACAGAAAATTACGATTATATTATATATTTTAAAAACTTGAAGCAAATTGGAACAGAAAATGGTGATATCATAACAATCTCAAAAAAAAGGGAACATGATGATTTTGGGGAACCAAAAAATGGACCCACGAGACACCATGAGTGCTTCATCTGTACCCCCTCATCTTTCAGATCCTTTCAGTCTCCAGCCTGTGAAGATCCGCTCGCATCGGTTGCTCTCGATGTTCCACAGCCGCGCGGTACCGTCGCTGCTGCAAGTGGCCACACACCTACATCGTCAGCCAGGTCTGGGTCGGCCCTGTCATGTTACAAAGTGGGTCCCCCAGTCGTAGGTTACCCTCTGGTTATTTAACAGGTTGCTTTGCAAAACGACCCACGTAGAGATGATATTTACAGGAATTTAACTATAACAATTGTGCTTTTCCAGAGCTACGTATGTTAAATAACCGGAGGGTAGTTTATACAGCAAATCAAAAAAACATCCAACTGTAGATATCTCCAAATATCTCCAACATTAGTCCAACACTTAGCAAAGTTTGTATAGCGCAACGTTATACCATGTTATACCTATCTTGGAGGCACCACATCGTAGATGCCCTGCTAAGCAGTGTTTCGATTCAGCTGAGTCTGATATGTTCTATTCCTAGATCTATTCAGCGATCCAATCATATCCAACCCAAGGCTCATCAATACCTTGGAGTTCTCTCCTCATGGTTGGATTTTCCCTCGGCATCTGGTGAAATGGCAAGCAGCCCCGGTAAGTACCCCAAAATCCCTGTCTTAGGGGACCATCAAAGAGCAGGACATGCTTAGCCTTGGGATCAGTAGAAAAACATATCAGTCAGCCAACTCAGCCAACCAACATGTCCCAAAAGTGGCTATGTTCAGTCTTGTTTTGGTGGGACAAGCCATGACAAGCCGAAAATCTTGAGCTTCTCCGTCCCCCGAGCCCGCGGCAATGTCAAGGAACTGGCCGTCGGGGGAAAATGTGACAAAGGTGGCCACGTCATGGTGCCCCTTGAGGCACAGAAGTTGTTCCTTGGAGCCATCGGCTTCCCACAAGCGCGCCTCAGCTGAAGGATCTTTTACAATAATTGCCCCTCAGGGATGGCTTAGTGGATCTCTTGCTAGTTGATCAACATTTAAGATGCTCAGGATTTTTGAATATTCGAACCATGCTTTAAAGAGTTCCTGCCACCCAAGAAATAGTTCCTGGGGGATGGGATTAGTTATGATTAGTTGGTCATTTGTTCATTGGTCATTTGTTCCGTTCCCTGCCTCTCCGTCTGCACCAACGGCACACAGCAAAGAGCCGTTGGGTGAAAACATGGCCATGGACACCGCGCTGGAAAAGCCACCTTTGAAGGCGGATGAATCAATCTGGGCAATTGGAAAGAACAGATAATTTCATTTCACTGGCTGGAAAGTCTTCATGTTGAACAGCAAAATGTCTATGCTTGGATTCACTGACTTGAAAGTCTTCATGTTGAACAGCAAAATGTCTATACTTGGATTCACTGACTTGAAAGTCTTCATGTTGAACAGCAAAATGTCTATAGCCTAGATTTCCAAAACGAAATGAAGTGACTTTGAGCTACTGGATGTTCCACAAATATGTCATCACAGACATGCGGCACTGGTCGTTTCTGTCATTTCATCGACTGGTCCATGTTCACCCCAAAACCTGGGACGACCAAATCGGAGACCTTTACCATCTCAATGTGTTATTGATGTCAGGTCAGGTACAATAATGTATTCAAAGATATAAGATATTGACAAGTAAAACTATAATCAGCAATTCAATCTAGCTGCTAGCTATAGTTATAGTTTCCGTATCCCCGGTATAGCACTATTTTGTTGGTTACGGTTACATCACCATAAGTTCCAAGCCTCATAGATATAGTGAAAGTGAGCACCATATTGGAACTCTATATTATAATCAACCATAATCAACCAATATCAGATACTGTAACTTTATTTCGTTGGGGTTAGTAGCTCTTCTGTTTGACCTAAAACTATTTTACCATAGTAATCTACATTCTATCCCCATAGTCGTAGTATTCCGAATGATATCCCCATTAGTCCGACTAGTCATAGCAAAACTCGATCCGCATAAACCATTGATTCCATCAATAGTTATCCCATGGTTTTTCCCATGGTTTTTCCCATTATCCCCATCATATCCCTATATTTTTCTTGGTTACCCTCTGGTAAACTGACAGTTTGCTATAGAACATGGCCCATAGAAATATCTAGCTGATTTACCTATATGAAAAATGCTGCTTTTCCATCGCTTTTTGGATGTTAGGAGGGTAAGCCACCAGAACCCTCCCCCCGTTTGAAAACCACCACCACCCCGTTGCCGGCGCCGCTGTCGGTCCGCGGCACCGAAGACGTGGAGACACGAGAAATTTCGGTCCCAAAGCCTGACCTGGTGGTCTGCGCAGGCGGTACAGATGCGAGCACAGTCCTGGCGAAAGCATAAGGCGATCGTGAGATTTGATCCACAGTGACTAGTCATCATTAATATACCATATATCATAGTGGATATATCACGTAGTATATCTAAAACAATGGGATATGTGGTTTCTATATAGATTATTATATGTCTCGATATGATCCAACTGATAGATATATCGATAATGGGTATATCTATAGTCTATAGTCGTTAATGTGAAATTGGTGGGATATCTATTGAACCTGTTAATGTTAATGGGTTACAGTTATTGTGGGTAAAACAATGCCATAAACCACCCATGACTGGAATGGTTGATACCATCTATAAAAATGGCGATTGTGATGGTTTACTATTGTTTTACCGGGTATATCTATACCCTAGGGTGAACTATATAACATTATATAACATATTGTAGATGTGGAAAACCAGCCATTTGTGGACTATGTGACTATGTGGGGATAGAACTGGGATCAACTGCGTATTAATGGATTGGTTTTGGTGGGGAATTCTGCAGGAAACCATACCTTTTCCCATGAATTATGGGGAATCTCCGGTTTTGATGTTCCCTTCAACCCATTGAATCATGGTTTTGTAGGAAATCGTCAAAAAGTCCTCCAAAATGGCTGCTGTAATTCAGCAATGAGTTGTTGTTTTACATCTTTACTGAGATTTCGGGAATGGTGGATCCTTCCTCGATCCATATTAACAAATGGCTAAATATTCTCCTATGAACATATACTGAACTTGTCTGAGTAAATGAAGTGAAGAAAATCTTCCCAAACTCCATCAATGGCGACCATGGACTCCGGGCCCAACCACTTAAGTCATCCCATCCCGGTGCCTTGTCGAACTTGGCACTGTTCACCTCCCCTGGATGCGCCATGGCCGGCGCGGCCGCGGCCGCGGCGCCGTCGTTTGGCGCGTCCAAGTGCCACACCCGCGCGGTGCGGTCGAGCGAGGCAGTCAGCAGACAGGACGTGGGTCCCGCGTCGGCACCTCGAATTTGGGGTTTAAGTGACACAAGGTGATGCCGTTTAGGGGGGAAGCATTCAGTAACTGCAAAGCTGATTGTATGATTACTTTATAGATATGCGGGTTTCTTAAATTAGGGAATCCCCAAAACCGTGGGTTTCAATACTAAATGTACTAAAATTGTCGAATGACTTGGATGATTTGGGGTTAGAAAAGCTCCATAATTATATCAAATGTACTTGCAAATGGAGAACAAAACCAAAAATGACGGGCCGTGTCGCAACAAGCCAGGATGGATTTATATTAGTCAACACCTCGATGAACATCAGTAAAAATGCGATTGAAGGAAAAACAAAAACGAACATAAAACAAGCTGTCAAGCTAGGACATTTAGAACATCTGATCTTGTTTTGTTCCAACTACAACTCATGGGAACCAGAAAAACACATGGAACAACATCTATTTATTAAACAAGTAAAACCAGGAATTTCCGCTTGGCTCCTGGCCTGGCTCGGGGACAGGTGCCAGGTTTCCAAAGCTCACGCTATTCAGGCCATCACCTGAGGGAGCACAAGAAGATTTGACATTATTTGTTATAATGCATCACGTTCTCACTGTGTTGCTGATTTTTAGAAAGCAGGTGATGAACCCTTTTGTCCACTCTTTCACCAAGCATTTCTAGCTGCAAGACTACGGGTTTAGCGTTTCATATTCCAACAAATTCCAAATAAAAAACAATGGCATGCTTGCGAACAATATGGATATGTGTCCGACCTAGACCAGGGGTGGCTTGGCATCAACAAATTGGATTGGGGATTGTTTATGGTGGTTTTGGAGATGGTTTACTATTGGGTTTGCCACACTAACTATTTTTGTTATTGATGGCTGACACCCCTGATACTGGATGGCCGAATCCTAGAAATGAGAAGCAAATTGTAGATCCCAATTGGTTACTCAAAATCAATCAACATTCGTCCCCAATACCAACCAGAAAAATATCATGAGTGTGGTCCACCAAAACACATGCAAATACATGCAAATACCCTAAATCTCAGGCCCAAACTTCCCTGATCTTCCCTGATATCCCAAAGCGCAACCACCAAGGGGCTATGGCCATTGAGACTCTGCAGGCAAACTCCATCCTGGACCCTCCAAATTCTGGCGCTGCGATCGTAGGAACCCGTGGCCAGCAGCGTGGCATCCACGTTGAAGGCCACGGACATCACGGGGCCCTGGTGGCCACGCAAGGTCAGACGACAGGAACAATGCTGGAGAGACCTCGGTCCAAGTCAACTTGGTGGCAGTTGAACCAACAAACAATGGATCTTGTAGTGAAATTAATGGTTTATGGGTGGTTTATGGCTTTCAGGCTTTGAGCAAACATCATGGATTCAACAATGGGTTTAAATTAAAAGCTTTGCCAACGGAAATTTGGTGGCTTTAAGGCCGGAGAAATATAACAACATGTGATTGGGAACTGGGGTTTCAACATGTTGCAACTGTACAACTGGGCCCAGGATGACTCCACACCATATCGTAGGGTACTTGGTGACTTGGGTTTCCTTCCTCGCGCATCAACCTAATTATTCCATATCATTCCTAAAATTGGAGGGTTTCAGAGGATCAAATTTGTTTGAAATCCCTGATTTCATGGATCTGACGAGTTTCGACAATAACGGGTTGCAAGAATATCTGGCTGAAATGGTAAATAGGGCCATTGATATGTCGATTCATTCACATATCTTTCAACACGCTCATCGAACTCGAGTTCTTTTCAAGCCATGGGTACAAAGCTTCAATGGGTTCTTGAAACCAATTCCTGAACGGTAGGTTGATGGAATTGGGCTGCCCACATTACATGGCCATCCAAGCAGCCAAATCTTCACTGTGCAATCGAAAAGTCCCACAGCCAACTGCAAACTCTCGGCCTCATCGTCTGCTGAAGAGCAGAGGAACTACAGTTTAAAATACCGAAAGTCGAGAGTACCCCCAAAAATAAAAATCATATTGCCAATTGTCAATATGGTTATATGTGGATGGAAATTCCAATTGGCCGCAAATTTCCTTCCCGTTTTTGTTGAGACACCCAAAAAAGGCCATGAAAGACTATAGGATAATATACGTTATGCGGCCTTTTAGACTCCTAACAAGCCTGTCAGTAATTACTAATTAGATGGCCTGGGTAAAATCGCAATGTGCTTTGGTGTCTACAAATCTCACAAACCAGTCCTGAGGGTTTCGGGATTCAACAAATGATACGGTCTGGCAATTCAATGATGGTTTGCCAAAAAAACATGTGGAATTCACGTTGTCATGTTTGATTGCCGGGCGTTAAGGTATACCACATGGCAAGGTACTATAGGTGTATATGACTGTGACGATATACCACACTACCAAGTTGAGAACATCTCTGCAGCCAAAACAAACGAAGAATCATAAGACATCGCTGGTGCGTATACTATTCAAAAAAAAACATCGTGAAAATCAACAGCCCAAGGTTTCCCCAGTTTATGGATGTTGATTAATATTGATTTTTCCCACATTTTTGAAGGGTCCATTGTCCATTTTCAACCACCAATGGAATGGATGCTGTCCGCCCATCGGTAAACCCTGGGATTTCCGCACGTGAAAGTCCAAGGATGTGGCCCATTCGCCTGCGAATTGCTATAGGAAACCATGGTTTCTTTTGACGCAATCATGAAAAAACAATCATCTCATAATATATCCTGATGTATCATTTACAATGCCTGAACAAATGTCTATATAATGCCTAAATAAATATCTATGCGTATGATATTATAGGTGTCCTCCAAATTGGATCCCATGGCCATGACAACCATGACATTAAGCAGATCCATCCCTACGCTACGACATTGATGGCGCTTTACCTTGGCGATCTTTGCTGGGACCCGTAAACGAACCATAGGATTTCAGGGTGCCTCATGGAGAAAACGGCCAAAACCATAGAAACGTTGGATGATTGGACTGGGCTTTTAATGCCTTAATACTGGATGTGACCTGTTGCTGAAGAACATTGACTGTCAGATTTGATGGCTCACTACAAACAACCATTTGTTTCCATATGGGATACAGGGGAAACCAACCGGCGATGTTGTTCTTGCTGGTGGTCAAACCCATGGTAAACCTCCAAGGTATAGAACTATACCCTACCCATTCTGTACATAATATGAACATAGATTAAAGGCAAAATACATCATATGTCATCATATGTCATCATATGTCCATCATATGTCCATCATATGTCCAGATATGTCCCTTCTGCAACCATATCATACTCAAATCAAACGTTGCTCCTTCTGTGTGACATATCGCCGACCGACGAACTCACCAGGATGGGCCCACCTTGTTGTAAGCTACCAAGATGGGCGCCATGTTCCTCTGCAGGGCCGGAAATGAATGATTACCAGAGGGCGAAAACAGACCGTTTCATGGCAAAAGCCTGCAAAAGCATATCTTTTTTTCAGTGTTTATTTTCAGTCAAACCCCTGGTTTTATGTTCAGAAATCACAAAGAGTCCGTCCCCATGTCCAATTCAGGCTCAATTTGATACTCCAATGGCAAATCACTGGCCCACAATTTTGCGGATGTTCAATATGAAACCATCGTTTGTTGGTGGCCAATTCGTTCTGGGCGTTCCTGAGCTAAGCTGGTCCAATTTCAGGACTGTTGAAAGCTGTTTTAAAACTATATATATATAATATATGTATAATGCTAAATAATTATATATTTACAATTACGTTCTTCGAGTGATCCCCTCCACGGCATATTTTTCTGACATCCATCTGATATCTTATCTGGCAAAGATTCTGACATACTATTTGACATGTTATCTCACATTGTTGTACATCTTTACCCCGCATATATTCTGACGCTCTATCTATATCACAAACATTCTGGCATTTTGTTTGACATTATTTTTGGCATTCTATTTGGCATTTCATCTGACATTTTATGGCATTGTAAGGTTTTTTTCCGGCATTTTATACGGCATTTCTTAATGGCATCTGATCTGGCATTCTATCAGACGTTCTATCTGGCGTTCTACCTGACATATATTCTGACATTTTTCTGGCATTCTGACATATATTAGACATTCTATGTGAAATTATACCTTGCAATTTATATGGCAATCTGCATTTTATGTGGCATTCTTTCTGACATTCCCTCTCTGCACTTGACTGAGACGCAGTAGGACAACTCAAGGCACACCCCTCTGCAGCACAAACCTTCTCAATATGATTTTTAGACTCTTTAAGTTTGTTGTTGCCAGAAGGTATCACCATACTTCAGCGGTATTTGGGACATTGTCAAGCAAGTAAGCTAGACCCTAAGAACGTTTGGATAGACAACATTTCTGTGGTAGACATCGGCTCAACTTTTGTTCAGAACTTAATTGAGCTGAGCAATATTCCGTTCTGCCCATGCTGCAAGTAAGTGTAGTATCAGCTCAGCGAGTGGTCGCAGCAAGGACATTTCACTTCCCGAGTCCTCAAAAGTATACGCGTAATATATGATATTCTGAATAGTATCATCTAGAATAATATTATAGTATTACCATTATATACCATTATCCCACAATCATTAATTATGATAGATGTTTTTTTCCACAGCTATACAATCTTTTATCATAGATGATGAAATGTTCTGGGATAGATGTTTTTTGTTTTTTTTATTAACTATTATATCATAGATGTTTTAATTACAATCTGATTATTGTTATTATTATTTTCATCATCATTAACTAGATTACTAACTAAGCTTGGTTAGATTATCATAGATTATCATAATATTAAATGATTCAATTCTCCAGATTATTATGATCCACTATTAGTGACGAACTTATAATGAACTATTATTGTCATCGATTACAACTATGGTCAGTATAGTTCATTATAATCTATGATAACTATAATGGATAATAAGGGATAATCATAACTATAATGGGATACTGGATAATCTATAGTGGAATTTAATTATCTCAACAAAATATCTCCACTATTATTATCATTATTAACCATAGATGTTTTTTTCCTAATTAGATAATGGTTATGAAACCATATATGTTATAACATTAGAACAATAATAATAATACTTATTATTATTAACCATAGATTATTAAACATAGATGTTATCATTATTAACTAGAAAATCTATAACCACTATTATCATTATCTGTTATTATTATCTATTCTCATCCTCATCATCATCATCATCAATTATTAACTAAGCTTGGTCAGATTATCATAGATTATCATCATATTAAATAAGGTCATTATCCACTATTATCCACTATTATCATTATTATTCACCATAGATAAACAGGGATAATCCATATTAAACCATAGATGTTATTATTATTAACTAGATAATCTATAACCACTATTATTATTATTATTATCTGTTATTGATTATTAACCATTATAACCATAGATTACTAACTATCATAACGGTTTATCCCTGCCACGATCCCACGATCCGGTCAGGTTTCAGCATCCCACAGCCGCACCGTGCCATCCGCCGAGGCCGTCAGCAAGCAGCGACCCTCGCAGCGCAGGACGTCCAGCACCGCGCCGTCCCTGTGACGAAAGATGGCCGGTGCGGTTGACCGGGGGCGTTTCCCCTGGTGAAATGCTGGTTTGCATGGCGAAAATGCTGGTTTTACGTAGCAAAATGCGGGTTTTTCATGGCGAAAATGCTAGTTTTACCGGGGCAAAACATGGTAGTTGGCCAAGAAAAAACAGCCTATAGCCAACTTCGGGATAAAAACCCAAGGGTGGAAGATCAACATATGCAAAAGAGTTGAAACCCAAAGCCAGAAGAACTTTAGATTGCACTTTGGTGCATTTAGATAAATTAATTAGCTTTGAATTTCTTCGCTGTCCAAACTGTGGTACACGGCAAAATTAGCATTCTTTTTTGGTTTGGGGGCCTCCAATCATGGCATCGGTGCTATGTCCACAACTGGAGTTTTGTTACGTCCTAATCTTTGCGAATGTAGCAATTATCCCACAGCATGGTTGCCAAGTTCTAGCTTGTGTTGCTGATATCCATGTCATTGTCTTGCGCAACACCAGGGTCCATGATGCCACGCTTGCAGCCTGACACCAGCGCTGCAAAGTGGAAGTGGCCCAGCTAGGCAACTCTCCTGTGTTTTTCAAAGTCAACTGGAGAAGGAGAATAACAACTGATTGATCGCTTTAACATTTTCTGAATTCAGACAATCTTGATGGTTTTCGGGCAGGTTCATGGTTTGAGCATTTGGTTTGCACCATCCCAAAACAATGGCACTCATCAATTTGGATCATCATCACATTTGTCCGATCGAAAACAAAACTGCATAAGACCACCAACCAGGAACTATCACATAGCAGAAGCTGAAAACCTGCAATTTTCCCAAAAATGTGATATAAATAATATTCAACAATAGGATACAATAGGAATAATATCGTAGAATAGCCTGCTACTCATGAAATCAATCTATATAGTGGAGAGTGGAGACATGTGGGTAAAGCTGAACAACGCGGTCCTAATAAAAATTAAAGCCTTACTGTATCTCCAGTTGTGCCTTTAGAAAGAACTATGGTGGACACCAAGCAACTGGCCAAATCATCACTGGTGACGTCAAACCTACTCGACCAGAAGCTTTGAATCGCATATCCCACATGTTGGCAGGTCTGAATTCCTCTATTCCTTTTGTTGCTTCACTACAAAGCACCCTCCCCCTCGCAATAGGTAATCAAGTTGATTTAGAACTACAAGTAGGGTTTAATAAAGAACATAAACCAAGTATACCAACTTCTCTCCGGGAGTAGCGGACTTTGTATTCCATTCCGGTGGTTGTTTTCTCCACCAGAAATCCCCTGTCGAGCTTCTCCCAGAAGCAGCTGCAGAGGCCCTTCTTCCTGAGCAATTGGGTTTTGACCTCTTTCATCTGGATGATTTACCTGGATGATTTACGATTTACCTGGTATTTACCTAATAGCCTACTGCCACACATCACATTTTCTCATAGGTTAAAGCCCGGACACTATCAACAAATCATTGAGGATTTTTTTCGAGACTTTGCACGATGCGGATTTTCCAACTTTTGGATGCCGAACTCTCCATGGCTCCCTCCAAATGTGTCGTAGTTCGTATTCCCAAATCCCACATTTTGGAATGCTTCACCACCTGATCTTGCATTCTTAGTATAATTCCTGTTAGATTCATGTTTTTTCCCATCCATCATCCATTGGATGTGGCAGATACCCTGCCACCCAGGCCGCAGAATCGTCCCAGCGTCCGTTGCGGCGCTGTCGTCAAAGCACAAGCGCAGGACCGCTTCCCGCAGCGCAGCGACGCTGTCCAAGGGCCACAGGCGCACTTCGCCCATGGCGTCTCCTGGCCGTGATCGAAACTGCGGGATGTTCCACGAAGATGGCAACTAAATGGGGATTTAACAATATGTTTCAGCAATTTTCAACACTATTATTATCATGACAGATGTAGATTAACATTCTGAAATAACAACATTTTAATAATCAGTGTTTAATCTATTTAATATGACTTAACATGTCTTGACTATACAACACAAAATAGTTTATAACAAAACAGCATACGCATCGTGTGGAGTCTTGACACAAAAAAAAGTATGTAGCTACTTTCCCATATATATATATATATATATTTATGTATGAATGTAAAATATGATGTATATATATATATATATATCATACAGTTCGAATTCCCGCGGCACAAATAGATCGTCTACTTATCAATGATCATATTTGGTGACTTCGCCAAATTTCCTAAAGCATCGGTGGCTTACTCAGTAAGCGAAGATCCCAATGCTGTTGGCAAACTTCCCAGTGTGGGTCATCCGGGTATATGGACTCTCTGGACCCACAGAAATGGTGACAAAATTGTTGCCAGAGCATCCTGTACCATTTCTCCCTGTAAAATCCCTGACCCAACCCTACTGAGATACCCTTCCTGTAAGGGCACAGCGCAAGAATACCCGGACATTGCTGGGAGCTGCTGGTGGTGGTGCCAGCTGCGGCATGGGTTGGCACCGGACAATGTCCACGGCGAAACTGGCAGCAGCGTTGGTGCCGGGAATTTCCCCGTCCCAGCCGTCCCAGCAATAGCTGGTGCATAAAAGGTGCTTCAGTACACATGCGACAAAGTCATCCGTGATCACCAATCTCCCAGCATCTCTAATTCTGATATATCCTGATGGAAGACCATCATCAGCTATTTTCTGGGCTGTATTCCCAAGTACCATGCCCAGCTACAAGGTTGTGCCCCGCAGTTGTAAATTGGTTTGTAAACCATAGTGAGTAGTTCTATATATATATTATATATATATATCTACCATAAACCATAGTTATTGGAGTTATTTGCAACAACTTAGCTAACGAACTGGGCACCACCTTGTAACCCCCTCCCCATCACCTAGAGCCAGCCGAAGTCAAATCCCTCAACAGTTCGCCATCCAGCAGCAAGCGCCCAGCGGTCAGTAGCCACATAGAACAGGTCTCGCCAGCAGTCTGGCAGCTGGAAGGGGGTGATTGAAATGCGTGCGATATCCAATTTGAAATCCAATTGGTTGGTAATATATGGTAAAATATATAGTACTATGACCATTATGACTGGGATTTCAATATACAATTAATATGTAAATGATGAATGTCAATGTGTAAATGCAGATGTGATCCGAATTTCAATAGACTGGGCATGTGATGTTTTTAAGGTCACCACTTTCGACACACCGTCTGCTGGTCATCCAAGTTTTCTGCGGCGGGACGCCTTTGCAATGACGGATCTGAGATTTGCCACGGTCTCATCCAGGTTGATGTCCACCTGTGGATTCCGGATCCGCTTCGCTGCAGTGGGGAAATATAGAAATAGAATGAGATAGATGGAACATGGAAAGAAAACAAAACATGTTGGGATGGATGTTTTTCAAGATTTTTAAGCTTTTGCATTTCTTAGCCAAGGGAAATACATGATGGCGCTCAACTCAATCTTAAATTTCAACGCTATTTCCGGAAGTCATGCGGCTTCATGAGAGTATTTGGCTAATCCTCGTACGCCCAAAACGTAAAATTCACAAGGCTCCAAGACAGGATACGCCTGGTCTTCCACTGTTCAAGCAGTCATTTGCAAGCAACCTACTGTGGATGGTTGCGAAATCCAAATCCCCAGTTGAAAACGGTGGTTTATATATGTTGATCCCATTACTGAAAGGGTTTCAACCATCCCAAATTGGTGGTGCAGAACTTGATTCTCCCCGGGTGTGACACTTTTTAACTGGGAAGATGGGAGATTTGCCCCAAAACTCTGGGTTTTCACCAAACCCACTGTAGCTAGTCACGTTAGTCATCAAAGTCCTCAAAATCCAATCATAATACTTTGATAAACTCCCTATGATTGAAATATTTTGATAATAAACCACCTCATTTACAAACCCCTATAATGTCCTATCCAATCATATTCCTTCCCCTATGTTGGACACAACTCCCATCACCAGCAACGAACTCGGAAACTCGGCACCACAGTGAGCAGCTCGCCGCTGCATGCCAAGCGCGCAGACACAGAGGCCGTGGCAGCCATGGCTCACAGTCTGGGACCTGGGAGGTAAAGGGAGATCAAACGCCGCTGGTTGGTGGTCTCAATACACTTGGAACATGTGAAATGAAACATGGGAGGTAGGCTTGTGAAGGCTGGATTGTTGGGATATGTTGGGATATGTTGGGATGGAAGATGACAGTTGCGAACTACAGGTTCTGCAAAGAAACATGGTAAGAGTTATTATGGAGTAATACCGTGAGAAAGAACTGGGGCTATGTTTCTGCGTAGACTTCGGCGACTAAACATGTTGCAAACACCATACTTCGCCACAGACTTGCAACCAAGCAATACCAAGCATGCAAGAGCCACAACTAAAATGGCTATGATCAAATTATCCCAGAGCTTTGTGGCATTGAAGCCACAGCCATGCAGCTGAAATCTTGGCACATTCTCGGTGGACAACTCTTTCATGACTGGTGTTTGGTGATTGCAACAGGTGAAGCATAGCCATGGTATAGATGGCCCATAGAAATAGAGGTTTACCTACGTATACTACATGGTGATTTTCCATGGCTATGTTACATAACCAGAGGGTAGATTGAATGCATCAACGGGAAAACTCAAATTGGATGATCCGAGCCAAACAGGATTGCAAGAGACTCCCTTTTCGATCACTGGAACGGCGGTCCCGCTGGATACAGAACAGCCGTACATTAACAGCCCGCAGCGCATGTGGGGCGCAGTGGATTAACTTGAGCATGAGGCAGCTCAGAAAAGCGTGTCGACTGATGTTTTTGGAGCAAATGATTTTCGTTGGCATGAAGGAAGGTATGGGTATGGAATCGAAACCCTAAAAACTCTGAGATCTTGGGAGCAACCCTTTTTGGCCATTGTTGTTTTACAGCCAAAAAAATGATTCCGGAACTTCACACCTGGTGAATGGATTGTTGAGTTTTTGCCCCTTGTAGCTGGGGTGTAGCAAGCGCTATGTCCGTTATGTCTCCCTTGCGAACTACCCATCTTAATTCAGGGTCCACCCGTCTACGAGACATGTGGTTGTGGACTCCAAATCCACAGCTTTCCTATGAGACGCTCCTGGTGCGGAATCACAACAATTTTCGGCGGAAAACCGATAGGTCAGAAGAAAACCAGAAGCACCTCGGTGCACAAAACATGACGAAATCAACAACAAATAGCCGTGCATGACCCAGACCAGAGCGTAATACATGAACTAGTGATGAGTAATATCTTCATTCGATAATCTCAGAAAAAATCTCAAGAGTTATAAGAGTTGAGGTGTAACAACATCACTAGAAAATAAGCATTGACCGTCTACCAGAACTTGATATTTCATGAGGTTTCCATGATTTGATGGGATCAACTAGGGCTTGTGACCTCCGGATCCAAGGATCCACTTGGAGCAAACTGCAGCTGCAAATTTCAGCTAAACAAACATGTATATATATATACACTATACATATATATACTATACATATATATATACTATGAAGTAATGTATAGATGTACACTATCTATCTATCTATATATATATATAAATTATAAACTAACGGTCGTGTCATGATGATGACGAATCCCTACATCAAAAATTGGCTGTTCTGTCCGCAATCATCCGGACAGAATGGATCTATTTTGTTCAATCTTCGTGATGCAAACCCGCCGTTCATGAAATGGGGGTTTCCTAAGTCATATGGGTACCCCCTATAGTATCCCCTAGTTATCATCCATTTATTGATGGGATTTTACATGAAATAAACCATCCATTTGGGGATACCCAGCATTTTAGGAAAGCCCCAAATGCTGTTTTTTTTTGAGTTCACCCAACACCGTCCCCCCGGGGGGGGGCCCTGGGGGCCCCTGGGCCCTGAACGAAAATAGCCACGACCATGACCCAAATGCAGGTCTCAGCCGGATGACGGAGGATTTGTCCAAAGAAATCGATAGAAAGCAAGGTTTTCCACCAACCAAATACAGGAGAAGATTGATGAACACGGGAGTTTCATGGAATTTATATGAATTTATCCAATCCACCAGTTCTGGGATAAAATTATGGATGCTAAACAAACACATGCACAGAAGATGTTGGAAGTCCGCAGAGAAAGGCAACAGCACAAGGAAACACAAGGAAACAAACGGTTCCGTTCCTTCGCACAACTTTGATAAACACCCTGCCAAACACCATGGTTTTTGCAGTTTCAGATCTGTTTAATTCTTGGGTCCCATGTCTTTAGTCTTTAGAGGATTGTATTTCGATTTCACCTTCAAAACAACATCTTGAAAATCGAAAACCAACTAATTGCGCTATGCCAGTCTATAGGATTGCAGTTAGTTAAAACCCTAAACTATTCCAATTGCAGCTTGGTAAAAAAACATGTTAGAACAACAGTGGTATTCCTCGATGTCTCCACTGCCCCATCCATCGTCCAGGCCACCCAAAGCGCACACATTGTGGACTCCGAACTCAACTCGTCCAACTTCTTCTGGAGATGCCGCTGGTGCCATGGCCACTTGGCCAGTCATCTATGGTGGGTATTTTAAAATGAGATACACCTTAAACAAATCATGACATTTCATGAAGAAACACTCAAATGTACAACATATAGCGATCAAAAACAAGTGGGGAGCTCCTGACCAACTAGAGAATGGGGACTCGAGCCACAGAGTTCTTGGCTTTGTGACAGCAATTCTTGGGATGAAGAGTTCCAAGGGGCTGAGAACTGTGCAGAAATTCAAGGGACCAATGGCGGTTTCCTAAAATGGAGCTACCCCAAAATCATGGTTGTTTCAATACTAAATCACGGTCATCCATGACTTACTTAGATGATTTGGGGTGCCCCTATGACAAAACGGAACCCTCGGTTAAGTCATGGATGTTCCATTCTAATCCCAGTATCATCACCATTAAATCACCATACGTCCTTCCAAGTCCCGGCAGCCGCACCTGTTGTTGCTTTATCCTACCTCGGGAGTCGTCTGTTTGGTCCTGCGATGGCGGAGGTTTTTTTTGGCCCCAAGGGATACAGACGGTCTGGATATGTCTGGATCATGTTGTGAATTTCCTTTTCCAACAAGATCAGAATAGCCGAATGTCGATGTTTTTTTTGTGTTTTTTGTTTATTTAGTGAGAGGAAAATCAAGTTTGACACATCCAATTAAACACATCCTCAATTTTGATGTTTTGGGGTTTTGGACTCAAAAACCTCTGTGGAACATGATGGAACATCTGTGTCCCTAATAAGCCATGATACTTTGAATGTTTCACGGTGACTTGTGGTGGGATATAGCCACTGGATGCCAATGGCTATTCTGGGTACGGCTCTGAAGTTGGTTACTCATTGACCCACCAAAGGCATGCTTAGACAGGTTCAACGATTACCATTTTTTGACATGAATTTGAATCATATTGTAGCCATATTCCCAATTGATCCAAACAGTTTGTGTCCGGATCCCCACGTTCATTCGATGACCTATTAATACTGGATCATACTATGACCATACATTAATAAATAATACTATCAAAATATTACATAGTTAAATCATCCCACGAATTAATACTATCAAAATACTATCAATTTATTCACGTTGCGACTGGGAATTGCCAGTTTTGTCAAGTTACGCGACCTTCGTTCACAAAGCGAACTGTTCTGTGCTCATGGGATGATCGTCGAAAATTGGCACCACCAAACGACCATAAAAAGTATTGTTTGCATCCCCGTTCTACTATCATTGTTGGTTTGACCGTTCATCCGTGTTCTACTTCCATGTTTGATATTTCAAACCAGCAGCTCCTCCATTTCGCCCAGCAGTTTGCTATGAATATCAAGTTCCTGGCGCGAATAATGAATAGTTACCCAGTGCAAGGATCAAATAAGAAGATATGTGTGATTGAACAAACACCATGTTCCATTTTTTCCACATCCCAAGTTTGTAGGCGATATGTGCGGCATATACTCATGTTTATCCATTTTGGGATTACCCTCTGGTTATGACTAACATAGCCATGGAATATCCACCCATGCTATTAAGAACGGTAAACCATCTATTTCTATGCAAACTCTTAGTCATAACCAGAGGCCAATCGTGATAATATATCTGATGATATTAAGTTTAATCCACTATTTTTATCCATTTTGGGATTAGATATTAATTGTTCCCCATGAAGCACATCATTCCTATCATTCAAATAACAGAGCCGAGACGGGCCTCAGAGATGGCCCCACCAAACCTCTTCAGATTCCTGGGAGAAAACATAGGGAATTCCAATGGTTGGGGTATGGCAATATAACTATCAATGTTATGGGGGAATGTTGATTATGCATCAAAAGTTATAGTTCAGCTGAAGTGTGTATATATACATATATATATAGCAATTAACCATATAGCAATATTCCGAAATGTATCATCCACCTCGTGTTGGTCGTTTGATTCCTTTGCATATCTCTTATCCCAAATATCATCTAACATCATCAAAGATCAACTATCATCAATCATCAAGCTCATAATCCAACTATGTAGCAACTGCCACATATTAAACAAACTTTCTGCTACATTTTGACCTACACCCGGCATCCATAAGGGTGGCCCCCAAGGCATCGATTCAGCCGAGCATCTGCACGGTTCCTGAAAGGAAGTCTAAGGACCTGAGGAAGCAGTGGCTGGGATTGCAGCTGGAGGACAACTGCAAATAATAAGTACAGTACAGTGCAGTATCAACATATTATTTATATAACTATATATATATATCATATATATCATGTATATAGTATATAGTATATATCATATTGTATCATTATCATATTATATCATGAGCATTTATGATTCTAAAACCTTATAAGAACAATAAACAAAGCAAGCCATGCCGAAGACCTAGCCATGACCCAAAGTTCCAAAGCTCCGATGTTCGTCTGGGCGAAGCCGGACTCATCTTGCCGCTCTGTGTCCTGGGATCCATGGCGAAGCTCCATGAATTCCCCAATTTTTGGCCAGAAAAAATGGTGGTAATTGGATGTTCATTGCTTCATTTGCCATACGATTTTCTTGCATGAAAACTTGAAGGATGATTCTACCAGCACTTCCTCTAGTGTTCAGATAGTACATATAGTGACTATATAGTGACTATATCGTGACTATATTGTGTTTTGTTTCTTGCGGGAGTCTCGCTGATGTCTACACGACTTGTCAACTTATATCATGCATTGATGCTCGCGAATGATGGGGTGGGTTCTCCTGACTAGGACACGAGTCTCACAAATGGGAATATCTAAAGATTTGGAAAACGATGGCCTTACATGTCCCCAGCTTGCTAGCAAATAGCAGTCGAAAGAGATTCTCAGCGCTGTGCAATCTGAATTAGGCTCCCTTCAAATTCAAATATTGCAGATGTACAGTCTCATTCATGCAACTTAAGGCATGTTGTATCCATTTTGATCCCGCTAGGCAAAGTACCAACCATCATCGTTCCAAACAAATTTCATAGATCCTCACCTCGCCAGTTTCCAATAAAAACTGCTATATATTGGGGCGTTGTCCTCCACTTCATACACACCATAATTTTCCTCAAGAAATGGATGGTTTATGGTGATTCATCATTCAAAATCACCAAGGGATGAGTATGGAGGAGTCCTTTCCATGATTTTCATTTTCTATTTGGAGGTGTCCTAAGTCATGGAGGTACCTTCAAATCCAAGTCATTTAGTATTGAAACAACCATGGTGACTCGGGTTTTCTTGTTTTAATATGTTCATTAATCACTATTAAATCTCCATTAAACTCTATGATATAAACCCCCATTTTCCATGAACATCCCATTTTCGGAACCCCTCCCATTTTCAGACACATGATACACATCTCATCAATGGATCCAGCCGGCCCTCTGAGTTTTCCCCGCCATCCGCGCCATTGCCATGCTGGCCGCGGCCCGGCTGGCGCGCCGGGGCGCCCCTTCCGGATGGATCTGAGCCCGGGGCTGGTGATACAGGGCTGACCTCTCTCAATATCTCTCTTTGTTTAGAAACAAAACATTAAAATAACTATGATGTTGGGATGGTTGTATCTATCTCAATTTTGTAAAATTCAATTTTGCATAGTATGTTATATTATATTTATATGTCTAGTGTTTGAATTGATGTTGTCTTTTTTGAAGAACATATTGGATTAGCATCTCAGTTGGCAGACATCCGCACTCACCATTCCCAGAAGACCAGATCCAAACATCTTGCAGATGGCTTGATTGTGGACGTAGGTTGAAACCCAACACATATTCATATTGTGAAATGTATTTTCAAGGCTGATCTGAGGTGCAAAATGTTGGAAAACAGGTTGATTTACCGGCATGCACATCTCAATTTTGTGAAACTGTTCATTTGAATGACTAACACAGATGCTTGTATTTGCTAACCGCGCTGCTAGCGACCCCAAAGGAAAACGCCAATTTCATATTTTCCCCTTGGTTGTGATAACGTTCACTAGCATCCAACACATGTACAAGGAGGCACACTTGGGGGGGGTTGGGCGGGGTGTAATAACGTTCTCCTCGCGTGCGTTTTTTTTGTGTCATACTTTCTTTTGTGTTTGGAGCTTCTGACACGCTGTTGATGCTACGCTTCTAACATGTTCTTGGAACTTCTGACTTCTGACACGCTCTTGAGACACTCTGATGAAAGACCTGGCCAAGATGGCCAACAAATGCCGCTGAAGATGAGAAAAAAGGAAATTTGGCGTGGAAGCGACCTCGAATCAAATTGTTTGAAAACAAAAAAACCTTTGAAATGCAAAAGTCCAATGGTCAAAAAGAAAAATTGCCTTCCTGTAAATACCAATGAATCCTGCTGTTGGACATGAGTGGGTACTTGTGGAAATGTTGCAAAACGCATCAAAACGCTGTATTTTTGAAAAATGACTGATGAAGCCATGTGCAAATTTTCCAGGGTCGCTATTGGCGCCGGTACCTTGTATTTTAGTAATGCTATGGATAAGACCCTCGAAAACATGAATGCAGAACATTGCAAAACACTTCCATCTATCCTCACAGGATTAACTTGCTGCATTCTCACTCTCTACATCATACCCCAAACGTGATGCGAACCCCTTTTTCCATGGCAAAACGATGAGCTTCTTCCCCGCGGTCACTTCGGAAACAACCAGCAGGCCATCAGTTCGATGGGCCGGGTGTTCCATGAGTCCAAAAGATATGGAAAATGAATGAACATGTGAGGTCAAGTGAACTCCCTTCATGATCCGTTGCAACAATTCAGAAAGCTTCGAATTGAACGCCTTCAACAAAAACTAATACAACAATGAACATGTTAAAGAAGTACTAAGTACCATCTTGCCAGCTTTACCATCAGATTTTGTTAGCTCAGCCGGTGAGATAAGGACTGCTGATCACCGCATAACCTGCAGCTACACCGCCCTCATCGACACCTTGCGCTTTGGTGCGCACCAAATGTCCAGCATGCCGTGAGAAGTAGACTCTCCTCCACGAGCCACGAGCCGGGCCGTAGGGGGTGGAATGGACTCCCCGAATTTCAGGCCTTGGAAAAAGCCTTAAACATGTGGAGCTTATGGATGACTTTATGGATTGGTTGGAGGTTAGCCAACTTCTGAATACCTATATACATAACATGTGTATATCTATATGTATATCTATATGTATATATATATATATATCTACAGTATGTGTATATCTATATGTATATCTACAGTATATGTATATCTATATGTATATCTCCGGTTGGTGGTTTCAACCCCTCTGACCCCTCTGAAAAATATTCGTCAGTTGGAATTATTCTTCCCAATATATGGAAAGTCAAAAAAGCCATGCTCCAAACCACCAACTAGATCCATATGTATATCTTATCCAATGTTTTTGTGTCTTTTTTCAATGTGTGCTTTGTTTCACAACAACGGGACCTGCTGAGCAAATCGTCTGAGCAAATGGTGGGACCTGGGACTGAAACCACGCTTCTGGTCATTGCTGCTCCACTGGGGTTGTTCACCTACACTAGGGATGTTCACCCAACCGAAGTGGCATGCAACCCTAGTTTATGACCTTTTTGGCTTCCACTAAAATAGATGATAATAGATGTCATATATATATATATATAATAGATGTGGACTCCAAACCATTTCACTAAACCAGTTGGTCCCCATGATGGCACCCCCACGTTGGAGGCACCCCAGCCGAAATCTCCCAACATTTCCAGCGGCCGAAAACCCACCGACTCGTTGCTCCTTCCATCCCCAACATAAACGGAGTAGAAGCCAAACTCGGACAAACAATTCATCACCTGGCTGGAACTGGAAACCAAAAGTTTTCAAGGGACAACGTCCTAGTTCTTCCTGAATCTGCATCTAAAGCCCAACAAAAATTGGCTTTAGGCTTGAACGCAATTGCCAGAGTGAGTGAACATAGACATAATTATATTATATTATGAGATGGCCTTTGTTTTTGGGCCTACGGCTTCTTAAGGCCGTAGGATATTTCAAACATCAGACCCCCAAGCATCCCCACCAACAGCCTTCAGTTGCCCTTGGCGTGTCATGACCGAAGGCTGCAAGCCAGGCATGATGCGTTGCATCAAGATGTAGGCGCCACGATCCTCTCGCGACAGCTCCTGCAACGAAACGCTGGGATTGGATCAACCAAAATTGCTTTCAAGATGCGGAAAAAACATGAATTAAAAACACACACACAAAGCAGAGCAAAAATCGCCAGCCAAAGGATGAAGGTAGGATTGTGATTAATTTTCACATTTATCACTCCAACGAAACATTTGAAACAAACCATGTTTCCTGCGATTCGTGGAAGTTGGGATCACTCGGGATCCCCGGTCGACCCGTCCTTGAGCTTCTTGGCCACATCAGAACCTCGGATCAATTCGTTGACGACGGATCTGTTGGATCTGTTAGGTTTAGGCTCCTGTTTTTTTTTTCCCTCGGATTTATTGACAATCACCGGTGATGAGGTCGAATTCGATGTCCCAACTTGGCAGTTCCAACGAAATCTCTTGCTGTCCAGCGGGTCAAGTTGTGGGCAGCAATCCTCATGGCTGTCCCGTTGGTGGTACGCATAGAATGGCACTTTCAATGGCAAACAATTTCAGACAAACCCGTGTTGTGTAATGGATTGTCTACCAAACCCTGAATCCCTAAGGGGATGTTTCACCAACCATAACCACAACAACATCCACAGTTTTCAAAAACTGGCTATCATAAATCAACTATAGTATCTATACATTTCCATTGTGCTTGGTAAATAATTCACCATAATCCATCATAATCCAGCATTTTTGCTGGATTTGGTCAACTTTCCCACCATGCTCGCACCATAAGCCAAGCAATTCTGCCAGGGTGCCATAGAAGTTGTGGCCGCCGCCCTCGCGCTGCGGCTTCAAGACGTAGTGCTCCGGACTGGCCATGGCCGTCCGGATGATCTCTTCATCGTCCTGGCGTCGCACCCGGTGGGATGGACAAAACATATGGGGAAAAACCAATATGTGGTAAATCTTAAGGTCAACCCTGGATTAATAAACCATGGAGGAGTACCCCCCCTTAATTTTTATTAATCATGGTTCATGAATCCGGGGTTGACATTAATATAAAAAAATTGGATTGCCCACAATTTTCCATCAACCTTAAACCAAGCTTCACCGATAATGGTATAATGGTGATATATCTGGGTAAATTATAATATTTCACTAACCTGAATTAAGGCCATTTGGGGATGATTTCCGTAAAATAAACCATGATTTCCAGTGAGGGAGAACAGTGAGGTCGTTATAATTTACCCAGATATATCCGCCGACCCCAGACGATGGCAGGGGGAGCGCGTCCGAGGAGCACCTAGGCGATGGCGGCCCAGCAGCATGTCCTTGGCCACCTGCCGGGCGCTTTCCGGAGATTTTCTTCTGGTTTCAGAAAGCAACGTTAGGCAGTAGGCTGGCCTTAAACGCTTCCCGGCGCCCTAAGCTGCCCTTAAACCCTTCCCGGCGCCCACCTGCCTAGGCGATGGCGGCCCAGCAGCATGTCCTTGGCCACCTGCCGGGCGCTTTCCGGAGATTTTCTTCTGGTTTCAGAAAGCAACGTTAGGCAGTAGGCTGGCCTTAAACGCTTCCCGGCGCCCTAAGCTGCCCTTAAACCCTTCCCGGCGCCCACCTGCCGGGCGCTTTCCTGAGATTTTCTTCTGGTTTCAGAAAGCAACGTTAGGCAGTAGGCTGGCCTTAAAGGCTTCCCGGCGCCCGAAGCTGCCCTTAAACCCTTCCCGGCGCCCTTGGCGGCCCAGCAGCATGTCCTTTGGCCACCTGCCGGGCGCTTTCCTGGAGATTTTCTTCTGGTTTCAGAAAGCAACGTTAGGCAGTAGGCTGGCCTTAAACCTTCCCGGCGCCCTAAGCTGCCCTTAAACCCTTCCCGGCGCCCTTGGCGGCCCAGCAGCATGTCCTTTGGCCACCTGCCGGGCGCTTTCCTGGAGATTTTCTTCTGGTTTCAGAAAGCAACGTTAGGCAGTAGGCTGGCCTTAAAGGCTTCCCGGCGCCCTAAGCTGCCCTTAAACCCTTCCCGGCGCCCTTGGCGGCCCAGCAGCATGTCCTTTGGCCACCTGCCGGGCGCTTTCCTGGAGATTTTCTTCTGGTTTCAGAAAGCAACGTTAGGCAGTAGGCTGGCCTTAAAGGCTTCCCGGCGCCCTAAGCTGCCCTTAAACCCTTCCCGGCGCCCTTGGCGGCCCAGCAGCATGTCCTTTGGCCACCTGCCGGGCGCTTTCCTGGAGATTTTCTTCTGGTTTCAGAAAGCAACGTTAGGCAGTAGGCTGCCCTTAAACCCCCGGCGCCCTGAGCTGCCCTTAAACCCTTCCCGGCGCCCTTGGCGGCCAGCAGCATGTCCTTTGGCCACCTGCCGGGCGCTTTCCTGGAGATTTTCTTCTGGTTTCAAAAAGCAGCAGTGGCCACCTGCCGGCGTTCCTGGAGATTTTCTTCTGGTTTCAGGAAGAATTGGAGTAGGCTGGCCTTAAACGCTTCCCGGCGCCCACTGCCCTTATAAACCTTCCCTGCGCCCTTGGCGGCCCAGCAGCATGTCCTTTGGCAGCCGGGGCTTTCCTGGAGATTTCTTTTGGTTTCAGAAAGAAACGTTAGGCAGTAGATTGGCCTTAAAGGACTTCCCGGAGCCCTAAAGCTGCCCATTCAAACACCATTTCCCGGCGCTTGGCGGCCTAGCAGCATGTCCTTTGGCCACCTGCCGGGCGCTTTCCTGGAGATTTTCTTCTGGTTTCAGAAAGCAACGTTAGGCAGTAGGCTGGCCTTAAACGCTTCCCGGCGCCCTAAGCTGCCCTTCAACCCTTCCCTGCGCCCTTGGCGGCCCAGCAGCATGTCCTTTGGCCACCTGCCGGGCGCTTTCCTGGAGATTTTCTTCTGGTTTCAGAAAGCAACGTTAGGCAGTAGGCTGGCCTTAAAGGCTTCCCGGCGCCCTAAGCTGCCCTTCAACCCTTCCCGGCGCCCTTGGCGGCCCAGCAGCATGTCCTTTGACCACCTGCCGGGCGCTTTCCTGGAGATTTTCTTCTGGTTTCAGAAAGCAACGTTAGGCAGTAGGCTGGCCTTAAAGGTTTCCCGGCGCCCTAAGCTGCCCTTAAACCCTTCCCGGCGCCCTTGGCGGCCCAGTAGCATGTCCTTTGGCCACCTGCCGGGCGCTTTCCTGGAGATTTTCTTCTGGTTTCAGAAAGGCAACGTTAGCAGTAGGCTGGCCTGAAAGCTTCCGGCGCATAAGCTGCCCTACTGGCCTTAACGCGTCCCGGCGCCCTAAGCTGCACTTAAACCCTTCTGGCAGTAGGCTGGCCTCTCAACACCCTTCCCGCGCCCGAAGCTGCCTTAAACCCTTCCCTCGCCCTGGAGGACCAGAAGCAGTCCTTTCCACCGCCGGCCGCTTCCGGAGATTTTCTTCTGGTTTCAGAAAGCAACGTTAGGCAGTAGGCTGGCCTTAAACTTCCCGGCGCCCTAAGCTGCCCTTAAACCCTTCCCGGCGCCCTTGGCGGCGGCCCAGCAGCATGTCCTTGGCCACCTGCCGGGCGCTTTCCGGAGATTTTCTTCTGGTTTCAGAAAGCAACGTTAGGCAGTAGGCTGGCCTTAAACGCTTCCCGGCGCCCTAAGCTGCCCTTAAACCCTTCCCGGCGCCCACCTGCCGGGCGCTTTCCTGGAGATTTTCTTTTGGTTTCAGAAAGCAACGTTAGGCAGTAGGCTGGCCTTAAAGGCTTCCCGGCGCCCTAAGCTGCCCTTAAACCCTTCCCGGCGCCCTTGGCGGCCCAGCAGCATGTCCTTTGGCCACCTGCCGGGCGCTTTCCTGGAGATTTTCTTCTGGTTTCAGAAAGCAACGTTAGGCAGTAGGCTGGCCTTAAAGGCTTCCCGGCGCCCGAAGCTGCCCTTAAACCCTTCCCGGCGCCCTTGGCGGCCCAGCAGCATGTCCTTTGGCCACCTGCCGGGCGCTTTCCTGGAGATTTTCTTCTGGTTTCAGAAAGCAACGTTAGGCAGTAGGCTGGCCTTAAACGCTTCCCGGCGCCCTAAGCTGCCCTTAAACCCTTCCCTGCGCCCTTGGCGGCCCAGCAGCATGTCCTTTGGCCACCTGCCGGGCGCTTGCCTGGAGATTTTCTTCTGGTTTCAGAAAGCAACGTTAGGCAGTAGGCTGGCCTTAAAGGCTTCCCGGCGCCCTAAGCTGCCCTTCAACCCTTCCCGGCGCCCTTGGCGGCCCAGTAGCATGTCCTTTGGCCACCTGCCGGGCGCTTTCCTGGAGATTTTCTTCTGGTTTCAGAAAGCAACGTTAGGCAGTAGGCTGGCCTTAAAGGCTTCCCGGCGCCCTAAGCTGCCCTTAAACCCTTCCCGGCGCCCTTGGCGGCCCAGCAGCATGTCCTTTGGCCACCTGCCGGGCGCTTTCCTGGAGATTTTCTTCTGGTGTCAGAAAGCAGCATGTCCTTTGGCCACCTGCCGGGCGCTTTCCTGGAGATTTTCTTCTGGTTTCAGAAAGCAACGTTAGGCAGTAGGCTGGCCTTAAACGCTTCCCGGCGCCCTAAGCTGGTATATTTACCACCACAACTGGGTGATTTGTTTGGGTAAAAATTGGTAAACCTTCCACTTGCCGTCTGGTCAACTATGACATCACTATGGACAACCATTTTTAAGAGGGAAATCAACTATAAATAGCCATTTTCAATCGCTATGTTAGCCATTACCAGAGGGTACATCAGTTGGGCTAACTTACTGGTGCTAAACGTAGGGAATGGATGGGAATGGATGGGTTGCTGGGGGTTGCTGGGCTGATTATTACTAGTGATTGTGGATCATTCCCTGACTCGTTCCCTGCGTTTCGCACCGGTAAGATCATAGCAAATGATCATGATTTTTTTTAGACGAACTTGTAACATCTTATGATCCTACTTGGGGTGTGACGTTACAAATGTAACCATGGGTTATAAACCACAAGTTGGAATATAAGGCATATTAATGACTATGGCTATGATTTGTCTAAGTTCTCCGAAACCGCACTTACAACTAAGTGGGATTTAGGGAAGAACTGTCACCGCCGAGATAGGGACTAGGATGGACCGACATTTTGGACCAAGTGAACCAAGTTGACGGCCATTTGCCATCTTTCTGCGTATGTTCATGATTCATCCCCAAAACTCAGGTTCCGTTCCTCTTGAGGTTCCGCCTTTTTTTTTCTATCCAAAGATTCCCCCATGTTCCAATTGGATCCAGCTCACCTGGAAACCATTTTGAGCCTCCAAACTTCGAACGTCTCAAAGAGGGAGCTCTACACGACAGGTATCGCAGCATCCGCTGTTGCGAGCGATTGGAGCCGAGGAGGCGTTAATTATTGATCATTATTCACCATCAACAAGCAATAACCATCATTAACCATAACCCATTAAACAAATGTAACCCATGGATGGTCTCTCATTGATATATATAGTTGATGCTTGGTGGCGACTGGAATAGATGGCTATCTTCGCTCCACCATCGGGGGATCACCGTCATGGTTGGATAAAGCCCCAGGCATAAAACCACAGTCTACACTCTACACTTGACACTCTTCACACTCACCCTCTACACTCCACACTTAATCCTCCACACTTTCCACTCTACACTCTACGCTTTACCCACTGCACACTCCACACTCCGCACTTTACACTCCACGCTCCTCACTCTGCACCCCACACGCTACCAGGGGTCGGCGGCAGGGGGCGGCAGCCCTTTAATATATATATATATTATATTATATATATATATCTATATATATCATATATAACATACATAACATAGCTGGTAAATGGATGTTCATCCCACTAAAAATGTATCTATAATTATTGACCCATACCCATGTGGCAATATGGCAGGGGAAACATGACCGTCCTCTTGAGGACCGAGGCCCCAGAGGCCGGCGAAACAGCTGCGCAACTTGCTGCTGTCGCGGGAGCTGAGGAATCTGCCGGAGAGGTACTGAAGTCACAAGGATGGAAGGTATATCAAACTTGAGTATTTTCTGAGTCATCTAGATTAGCAACTCTATTCAGAAGTTTCCTGGTGTCCCAAAAAACAACTGGATGTTTCTCGCTGGTTCATGGCAACTGAAAGTTTCAGCAAAAAAACATACAGCGAAGTCAACATCCAAAAACATATCTGAAGAATCAAGGAGACACTCCTAAACATATCCAACTCTTCTGATGGGATCCCTGAAGGTTGGATCTGTGATTGAGACGTGGCGTAAATGAACAGCTGACACATCTGACATATCCAGGTATATAGCTGTACGTGAGCTGTTGGAAGTGTGACACTGCGTCCGATTTCGATGCTTATTTAGTGATTTGCTTCCATTTTTGGGGCTACCATCCTCCAAATATATGGACTATTGACCATTCAGACGTAAGAAAATATGGTGTCCATGCACATCTCATTAGATACATGGATACTAGTGTTATACACATTATATATATATAATATAACCTTTAGTTAGACAATGGATCATCATTACAATAATGGATATATCTGATATATCCCACTAGATATATGGATGAGAAATGGTGTTACAATACATCCCATTAATTGTACATCCCATTACCCTCTAGTAAACTAACATAACTATGGAAAATCGATGGAAAATCACCATTTTGAATAGCTAAATCAACGATCGAAATCACCATATTTTCAATAGCGAACTGTAACAAATTGCCAGAAGGTAAACGATTTTCATGTACATCCACATCCCAATGGTCTGATAATATCTAATCATCTAATCTATATATCCATAAGTATATTCATAGTGGCATGGGATCAAATAATCCATAATATCCATAATATCTATCTCTAATCCATAAAAAATATTCATGATAAGAGATCCCATGCCATGTGTCCCAATAGCTTCCATGTGTCCACAGCTTCGAAACGCACGCGCTCTTCGCTTGGGTCACAGACCGCACCTTTCCACGGCTCCGGGTCTGGCAAGGGCCTGCTGCACCTGGCGTTTTGGGCGATCTATGGATCTCGTTGGGAGATAAAAAATGGTGAAATGGATATTGAAATGGATATTGATTTAGAGATATTGAAACAGTATCTATGGTTATTAATATTATGGATATATCATAGTATATAATGGAGATTTATATGGATATGGTTATGTATATATATATATATCTTTATAAATGGAGATATCATGGATATATCAGGGTATATCATGATGTAACAGTTCTATTTCACAGTATATGATACACTATGATACACTATGATATACATGATACTTCATGTTATCCGCAGTATATCAGTATATGATTCAACTATATACGCAACATCAGCAACAGTTGCTCAGTAGTATATATATATATCATAATCTACTGATATATCTTCCACTAAGCAGACTGAGCAGTTGAAATATACCAAAAAAAATGTGGGAAACACCCAACTTAGCACTGGAAACTGGGAGAAGTCCCTTGGTTGGTTGGGATATCAATACATGTTACATGTATATATATATATATATACATCAAGGATGAAACATTATGATATGATGATATACTAAGAAATATATGGATACACGAATGATATAGCATGTTTCTACTGTTTCATGCCAGCAGGTTTAAGATTGATGAACCATTGTAAGATACAGAAGCAATGGGTTACAAATGGTGTGTGATGGATGGTTTCTAGTGCTGAGATCCCTGTGTAAAAGAGGGTGACAGATGGTTTCAACCACCACGACTCTTTGGATGGTATGAAGGAATTATTTTCTAAGCCCTGCGATTGCCACAACGACCCACTATTATTATGCCAGTCTTCCATGGCAAGCATTCATCCAACACATCATCCAGAATCAAAAGCCTCTGCTCCAGAAAAATCCAGCAACTATTATATGCCAAGATATACTCATGGAAGGTGTCACAATAGCCAAACCACAATCACAGCTAAACGTCTATGCACATGTATCCTCAAACAACACTTGAATATGGCACCAGCACCATGGCATTAACATCTACCACTGCGCCTTCTTGGCGCCCACAAGCTGGTAATCCACCTCATTTTTTGGGGTGAAGAATCCTGGGGGAAATCCAAGCTGGGACATGGGGATGGAATTCACACACTAGCGAATTTGGCCGACTGCGCAAATAGAAACTAATAATGCCTAGCGCAAATAGAAACCAAAAAAAATGCAGGATATTTTTTTCACAAGAACAAGCTCATGGCGAAGAAGATCGGCTTCCATCCTTTTCCATCCTTTTCATCTTTTCCATCCGAGCTTTTTATTGGGACAAGATGCGGAAGGGCACTTGATGGCCTTGGAGCGTTCCAGCATGCCTCGTGCATCCCACTGCACCTGGCAAGAGAGGAACCGCTGGATGCTTCCCCGACATTTTTGGTCACGGAATCTCCGAAATCACAAGCATCATTGGTTGGTAAAGATGGGTTTCAATCATTTAATTTAGTGAATGTGATATTTAATGATAAGCTTAAATATCATCATTGGTTGGGTTTTAATCCCTTAGTGATATATGTAATGAATGTTCTCTCCCCATATTCAATTGCTAGTATATACATATTCATGAAAAAAATCAATTTGCGTGTTTTGTAAAATAAACAATGACAAGTACAAACAACAGTTACCTATAGTTTGGTAGAATCTATACCATACATTAGTTATATGTCAACATATTAATACCATACATTAGTTATATATCTATATTTGTGTGATGCATTTTTTACACAAATCGATCCGTTTTGTCCCAAGTCTTTTCTTTCGGTGCACCTCAGTGGGGTAGTCCTCGGGTCCATAGCCTGCGCGATAGTAGACCACTGACACCTGGCATCGCGGTGAAATCACCAGAAAAAATCAGGGATCTCAGGGGGTCATGAGTCGTCTTAAAACCATTAATATATACCCTCTGGATCCCTCTGGTAATTTAACATAGCTATTGAACATGTCAAGTTTTAATAGGAAAATCAACTATAAATGGCCATTTTCAATAGCTATGTTAAATTGCCCGAGGGTAAGTGATGTAATTACGCAGAATTCATGCTGTTGATGGTGGCAAAGCTGCAGGTGGTGATGATTGTCATCAATGCGCTCAACACAAAGCACTGAACGTGAAGCAATTCGAGCAATGTTGCTGTTTTCAAATACCAAGAAATACCAAGAAATCATCAAGCAACTGGTTGCTTTCATTCAACAGTTTCACAATGTTTCACATGTTGATGATGTCGGACAATCCTCATGAAGTCAAATGCACTTTCAATCTCAACACTGAATGTACAGAAATCTGTACTCTTCGAGACGTTGAGCCATGTCTTCGCCGCAGGCAAAGCGATGCTTTGCACCCACGTGAAACGCTGTGAAACATGCTGAAACCGGGTCGTGGAGCTGCACTCAGCGTCTTCCAACCATCAGCAACATCATATTATTGCTGGAATTGTTCAACATTCGAGTTGCCCTTCAGAGCCTCAACCTTCACACCTTTCAAAGTGCCATTGCCATGTCCAATTGATGCCACCGTGCAGGAAGCGAGGGCCCTTCGTCCTATCCAAGTCGCAGGGGATGGGAATGGATTTCCTTCGGCGTATTTGAACGTCTCACCATTTTTGATCCATTTTGGATCAAGTTTGACACACAACTGCAGGCAGCCCACATGCCAGGTCTGGGTGAGGAATTGGTGACATTCTCATAGAATAAACATGAACAGACACTGCAGCTGCCATGGCAAGCGGCATTCTTCCGAGCGAGCGCCCACAGTAAGGTATTCTCACGTGGTTATCATTGGCCAATGCTGAGACCGAAGTGACGGAAACCTGTCGAAGTTGTAGAATTCCCACTGTTTGTCCAAACTGTTTCAAGGGCCAGCTCCGATATATCCTTGACCGCATCAAATTGATCCAAAGTTGGTGATCTGGATCCAGTGATAGCCGAGATAGACTCGAAACAGTTGGGATGTCATGTTGTTTGACAAATAGATTGTAGAAAACCGTGGTCTTTGAAGGATCCGCCGGGCGCAACGCAGTTGAAGTGGCAAACGAAACGTCCACAGTAGCATGTTGTTCCTTTCCTCTCCGAAGACTCCTCTGGACCATCGATGTGGAGTCGCAGACCATCGATGTGGGGTCACAGTGTGCAAGCGCTGATGTCAAAAACCCAAGCAACTGCCATTGATGACATTATCGCAAGATTCGGTATATCAACGATGCTTCAAAAAGCTTGAGCCAATGTCCTTGTTCCAATACAGTACAGCAAAAACTTGTTCCAGTAAACCTTGACCTTTGCCAATGACCTGGTTTTTAGAGACAATTTTGTAACGGATGGTATCAACGAGACGTCCATTTGTTTATTTGTTTGGTCACCAAATACCATTCAAAACCTTCTAGTCATGCGAAACCACATTTGCTTGGAAACAACCAAATTAAGTGTGGATTCACTTGGAGGTTTCCTACAATCGGGGGTACCCCCAAATCATCCAGTGTCTTTTTTTTCAGGAATTTCCATGAAATAAAGCATCCAACTATTGCCCATAGGATCCATGTATGCTATATATGGTAACATTTACCATCAATATACCCCCAATGTTAGTATATATACCAGCACCATGGATCCTATGGGTTGGGAACTTCCCCAATTTATGGGGTTTCCCAGACCCAAAAGCCCATCCCAGCTACCCATCGCCTCGCTACCGTCCAGGCGAAGGGTCCCATCTTGTTCCATCGTGGCCTGCTGCTTCAGCTGCGCCAGGGTCCGTTGCACCACGCGCACGCCGTGGGTCTGCCACAAGGCGTACTCCAACTGCGGCGTGGTAGAAATGCTGGGGGGCCATAGTTGTTGTTTTTTCCCATGGTGATGGGACAGCTATGTTTTGATGATCTTATTTATAGTCAGGTTACTGTGTTTAGTATATCTGGAACACGACTCGACAAGTGGTGGCAGAGTCTGCAATAGAAAAGCCTCCGACCACCATGCAAGGTCTCAAAAAAAACAACACCATACAACCGCAATAAGACAGTCCATGTTGATATGATCTCCACCTATTGCTTTATATCATAGTTTCTCCCAATGATACCCCAGTTTTTTTCCCACCTGACACCAGTCGGCAAAGTTCCTGAGATCCTCGTTGACCACAAAGACCACCTTGGCGTCTTTCACACCATAGGCCTGGTGCGCCTGGGCCAAGAATGGGACCCCGGTTTCAGCATAGCAGATCCATGTGGATAAAATCACAAAGTCACGAATTCATTTCATGTAAATCGGAAGACCAAAAGCCAACCATCATCCCACCATCTCATCATAGATCTCATCATTTTTCTGCTGATGTATTTGACATCTGAAACATCACAAGTTCATGGCTATCCCAGACCCCCTCTACCAATTGGTTTCAGCCTTGAATCAGCTTCAATCACCCTCGAAATAGATGCTTTACCCATCAATAACTCCCCAACTCCATAGCTCTCACCATCCCAAGCCCCCCTCCTCCCACCCAACCCATCCCCAACCCATCCCCAACCCATCCCCTGCCTTGGCCAAAGCCGCGGGGATCGCCTGCAACGTGACGTTCTCCGGCAGGTGCCGTTGCACGTCCCGCTGCGACCAGCCGCTGCTGGGGGCCAGGCCGAAGTGGCTCTGCAGCGCCTGCGCCACGCGGTCGCCGTCGCCGCCGAAACGGGAGAGGAGGAAACGGTGCAACTTGCCTACCTGGGATAGGATGGAATTCTGGGAATTGCTGGGTATGGGTAAATCATATGTATGGCAAATATACTATATGGCTAATGGAATCCCGGCAAATATGAATAATATAGCAGTAGGATTACCAAAATGATTGCCACCTGGTGGGATAGGATGGAATCCCGGCAATAGGTGTATGCTAGACATGTTGTATATATCAAGTTATCATTTCAATTTATTTGGGTTCTGAACATTAGGTACCACATTTAATTGATCATCATGTTCCCTACTAACATTGTTGGGTGTACCCCAGTTTTAGACACACCCATTTCATGATGTTAAACTAAGGTATTGATGGGCTGGAACGATCAACCCACTTAGGTAAGTGGCTAATTTTGCTGGTTTTTGTCAGATATCAATGGACATAAATGGGATGACCCCAAGGAAGGGACTGGCTAAGACCAAGCTTAGCAACCAGGTATCACCTGGTGGGATGGGATGAAAATTCAGTTTATTTTTTGGCTGAATCTTTGGCCTCCAAGGCACGTTCAGGGCATGCGCTCCCATGGATGAGGCAATGGTATTCAGCTCCACTTGCAGAAACCGTGGCTCCGAATTTTCGGAGCCCTCGTGCAACATGTAATCGGAGCGATGAATGCCCAACATGATGGGCTGCTTCAAACCCTGGTGGCCGTGTTGGGAGAACTCCGGTTGAACTGTGGGGATGGGTCAAACTCCTGGAAAATGGCCTGGGGGAAATGGAAAAACATATTGGAATGATGTCAAAATCATCAAATTGTTGGTTATATCCCATCATTTTTCACCGTCAGAACAAGCATTACACTTTAAAGCATCGGGAAAAATCCAATAGTGGTCTATCACCATTTTTCCTATCATTTCTGCTGGCTAAAGCCAGGTTAAGCGACAATTTTCCATGTTTTTGTGCTTGCATCTTAATTTGTACTCTTGATCTTCCTATTGGTTGGGTAAATTGTCCACAAATTAATGGTGGTTTCCTACAAACCCCTTCACCACATCCCTGGCAGCCACTGGCATCGCTCGAATCCCATACAATACCCCAAACTAGTTGAGGCAAATACCCTTTGTGCCTACCTATAATATATATATATATATAATTATATGACATAATAGATGTAATATATAACAAATATATATAACATAGACCCGGGCAAGCCGGCGGCGGAAGTTTCCCAAACATAAATGACCTATAGTTCAAAGACACCCTGTCCCGACCGTGTCCTTCCCTCGACACTCCACACCTCACACTGCACACTGCACTCTTCGCAATCCAAACTTCAAACTTCACACTCCACACTTCACACTCCACACTTCTCACTGCTTCCTTCACACTCCAAACCTCACACTTCACACTTCACACTGCACACTTCACACTTCACAGTCCACACTTCACACTGCACACTTCACACTTCACAGTCCACACTTCACACTTCACACTTCACAGTCCACACTTCACACTTCACACTTCACAGTCCAGACTTCTCACTTCTCACTTCGCACTTCACACTTCACACTTCACACTCCACATTTCACACTTCTCACTTCTCACTGCTTCCTTCACACTCCAAACTTCACACTTCACACTTCACACTCCACATTTCACACTTCTCACTTCTCACTGCTTCCTTCACGCTCCAAACTTCACACTTCACACTTCACACTTCTCACTTCGCACTTCACACTCCACACTTCACAGTCAACACTTCACACTTCTCACTTCTCACTGCTTCCTTCCCACTCCAACCTTCACACTCCAAACTTCACACTTCTCACTTCGCACTTCACACTCCACACTTCACTCACACTTCACACTTCACAGTCCACACTTCACACTTCTCACTGCTTCCTTCACACTCCAAACCTCACACTTCACACTTCGCACTGCGCTCTTCGCACTCCACACTGCACAGTCCACACTTCACACTTCTCACTTCACACTTCTCACTTCTCACTGCTTCCTTCACACTCCAAACTTCACACTTCTCACTTCGCACTTCACACTCCACACTTCACAGTCCACACTTCACACTTCTCACTTCTCACTGCTTCCTTCACACTCCAAACTTCACACTTCACACTTCTCACTTCGCACTTCACACTCCTCACTTCACACTGCTTCTCACTTCTCACTGCTTCCTTCACACTCCAAACTTCACACTTCTCACTTCGCACTTCACACTCCACACTTCACAGTCCACACTTCACACTTCTCACTTCTCACTGCTGCCTTCACACTCCAAACCTCACACTTCACACTTCACACTCACTCTTCGCACTCCAAACTTAAACTTCACACTCCACACTTCACACTTCTCACTTCCCACTGCTTCCTTCACACTGTACACTTCACACTGCACTCTTCACACTCCACACTTCACACTGCACTCTTTGCACTCCAAACTTCACACTCCACACTTCACAGTCCACACTTCACACTTCTCACTTCTCACTGCTTCCTTCACACTCCAAACTTCACACTTCACACTTCACACTGCACTCTTCACGCCCCACATTTCACACTACACTCTTCACACTCCACAGTTCATCTCATCTGAGCTCTTCTCACCTTATCCCAGCTCATCTCTTCTCATTTCGTCCCTTCTCATATGTCATCTATTAAGCTTTCATTAATCAATTCCCAGCACTACTACTAATCACTGTCGAACCCTTGATGCACCTACTCCAATACGATTTACGAAGTCCAGCTGCAAAAGACAATAGTATTACGCATGCAGCCGCGGCACCAAGCAACCTTGACGCAGCCATTACAATGCGATCTGCAGAGACTGAGTTGCAAAACACAATAGAACTACGCACAACGGCGTCGGAAATTGTAGCTCCAAAACCGGATCTCGACGCCAGAGCGAAAAAAAGACGATTTTGAAGCACTTTTTAAAAGAATTTTTAAAAAGAAAATCACTGGCGCCAAAATGGAGAAAATCTGCTGACAAATCAATGTCGCAGCCTTCATGCAGCCACTCCAATACGATTTACGAAGTCCAGCTGCAAAAGACAATAGTATTACGCATGCAGCCGTGGCAAGAAGCAACCTTGACGCAGCCATTACAATGCGATCTGCAGAGACTGAGTTGCAAAACACAATAGAACTACGCGCAACGGCGTCGGAAATTGTAGCTCCAAAACCGGATCTCGACGCCAGAGCGAAAAAAAGACGATTTTGAAGCACTTTTTAAAAGGATTTTTAGAAGGAAAATCACTAGCGCCAAAATGGAGAAAATCTGCTGACAAATCACTGTCGCAGCCTTCATGCAGCCACTCCAATACGATTTACGAAGTCCAGCTGCAAAAGACAATAGTATTACGAATGCAGCCACAGCACGCAGCAACCTTGACGCAGCCATTACAATGCGATCTGCAGAGACTGAGTTGCAAAACACAATAGAACTACGTGCAACGGCGTCGGAAATTGTAGCTCCAAAACCGGATCTCGACGCCAGAGCGAAAAAAAGACGATTTTGAAGCACTTTTTAAAAGAATTTTTAGAAGGAAATTCACTAGCGCCAAAATGAAGAAAATCTGCCAACAAATCACTGTGGCAGCCTTCATGCAGCCACTCCAATACGATTTGCGAAGTCCAGCTGCAAAAGACAATAGTATTACCAATGCAGCCACAGCACGAAGGAACCTTGACGCAACCATTTACAGGGAGGGAGGGAACGATCCTAGACTTGCAAATCACAATGGAATTCCATCGGCAACTCATCCACCAGCACCACTTGCAATCCCATTTACAGTGAGGGAACGATCCTAGAGTTGCAAATCACAATGGAATTCCATCAGAAACTCATCCACCAGCACCACTTGCAACCCCATTTACAATGCGGGAACGATCCTACAGTTGCAAATCACAATGGAATTCTGTCGACCACACATGCACGAAAAACAGTTGACACCCCATTTACAATGCGGAACCGATCCGAGAATGATCCGAACATGATCCGAACATGATCCGACCACACACGAGACCGTCTCGCACCCGTCGCACAGCAGAGGTAGATCATCGACGTTCGGGGACGCACTTTGTCTGGAAAAACACAGGGTTTCGTGCATCTGCTATCTCTCAAAAACGCATTTCGTGCGAGACTTCCTTCAAAACTCCATCGGCAACTCATCCACCAGCACCACTTGCAATCCCATTTACAGTGAGGGAACGATCCTAGAGTTGCAAATCACAATGCAATTCCATCAGCAACTCATCCACCAGCACCACTTGCATCCCATTTACAATGCGGGAACGATCCTACAGTTGCAAAGCACAATGGAATTCCATCGGCAACTCATCCACCAGCACCACTTGCAATGCCATTTGCATTGCGAGAACGATCCTACAGTTAACCTCTGTTCTTTGATTGTGATAGTTTGGTTTTTGAAAATGATAGTTTCATTTTGGGTGAAACAATGCAGTTGTTTTTTGCTTTTCAATTTGGGGATGGTTTTCCAACATGTTTCTTTTCATTTTCTAGGGATAAGTTTTCATGCTAAAATTGAAACCTGGAGAGGTGGGGGCAGTTCAGAACAAAAAAACATGCTGTAATTCAAACAACAAGTATCATGATTGCTGAACCAAACACACACACACTAACCTGGAGGGGGGGGCAGGTCAGAACAACAAACATGTTGTAATTCAAACAACAAGTTTCATGATTACTGAACCAAACACAAACATACACACACACAGACTGCCAATGACCATCAAGCATCATGAACATAAATATATATATATTTAATCAAGGGTCATGCACATATGATACCAATATAATGTCACCAAGAGTCATAAAATCATAAAATACCACCCAGTGTCCCCGGGTTGTCATCCACTTGTGATACCACCATGCACACAAGTCATGAACATATATGTGATACCATTAATTTGTACCTGCAGGTTTCCTGGACAGGTGATGCCGTTGCAGCAGCCTTCAGCTGGGGATGGTGGGGATAACGTCCCTGAACAAGGGACTAGCCCTGAACAAGGGCATCATAACCCCTAAAATAATAGGCTTCAATTCCAAGACTTGGCATTCCAGGCCTTGGCAATTGAATTAAGACATCAAATTCAATTCCAAGACTTGGCGTTCCAGGCCTTGGCAATTGAATTAAGACATCAATTTCAATTCCAAGACTTGGCGTTCCAGGCCTTGGCAATTGAATTAAGACATCAGCTTCAATTCCAAGACTTGGCATTCCAGGCCTTGGCAATTGAATTCGTATCCGTTCCAAGAAAAGGGTTAAACAAAAATCTGTCCCGTAGCTGGCAAATACATACATACACCTCCCTTTCATTTTCAAAGTTGTGAGAATTCATCAGGAATAATTCCAGTCTAGATTTTTTTCATATTCTTATTTTCACAAATGAGCTGGATGACTATATGCATAGTTCTTTTTTTTTTGTCTGGTGCGTGGCATTTTTGGGGCTTGGTGTGATCTACAGGTGTTCAATGCATATACATGACTATACTCATACACTTCTAGTGGATTGCATGCTCCAACCATCAGGTTCCCAAATGTGGTTGTAGGAATGGAGCTGCATAGGAACCTAAATACCGACTGGTTTGACATTAGGATTTCAAATGGCAGACCTTCAGGCAAATTAAACAAAAACACACTGTTTTTGAAGACATGATTAG